TGATCAACCATCTGTATCTAGACATCCCCAACTAGTTAGGCTCCATAGAAATCAATCAATATAATCAGTCTTCTACTTTTGTCGTCTTCACAACACAACCCCAGTCATTCAGTCTCACATCCCTTTGAAGGATACTGGACCGGTGTTCGTGATTTTGTGGAGACCCTTAAACCGTAATTCGTGACAATTCAAATGCTCACTGGTGTGGTTATTGGCCCAGATGATCGTGCATCGATCACAACGGATCTGAACAATAATACGCCTCAATGGGCTTTGAGAATGTCGCCGGTCCTCGGAGAAAAACAAACTGATCCCATGCTTGGCATTCCAGTCGATGTAGCCGATGTAGCGAGAGCGCACGTCGAGGCCATCAAGTCGTCTATTCCGGGGAACATTGATTATACTCTTTCTGCCGAGTCGCCGGAAGGTATAGAGTGGGATTCCAATTTCCATGAATGAAGTGGCTAAGAAATATTTCCCGGACCGAGTGGGAAGCAAAGAGTTGTCACTGTGACAGTCTTGGGCTTCGCCCAGTCTGTGTGTTGTGGCCTTGCGGCCTAAGGCAGAAGGGATGGGTAGGCCGTTTGCCTACAGATGTAAATAGCAGATCGCAGTGAGAGAGATCTTCTCCTTCTCTCTTTAGCAATTCAACAGCGTTACCAGCTTACCAAATCCTTCGTGGTTTGGGCCCATGACAGTCACTAGGTGGAACATTGCCAACGATGAAGTGGAGAGTCGATTCTTGAGACACCGATAAGGCTTTGGTTGGAAGTTTGCGACATTTGAGGGTACGATGAAGGCTATCATTGGGCAATACCTTGACCTTGTTGATATAGAGACAAAGATGAGTGGGAGGTGGATATGTTTTCGACCAAAATGTTCCGTAATGCCTTAAGGCAGATGCTCAACTTCAAATATGGGTTCTCTATCAGTAGCATTGACTACAACCAGCCGGCATTAGTTTGGTTCCCAAGCTGTCATGAGATCGAGGAAAGTTGACTTACCAATGCCCATGAACATGATACCAAATTCATCGGCGTCTTCTAACCATAGCTGAGCTCGTCCATCCAGACCCACTCCAGATTGAATGGTAAAGTACTCCCATTGCATATATTGCTTCCCATCCCATATCACTAGCCACTTCAAGTAGAGCTTTTCCCATTCCTCCTGGTTTGTTGCATGCCAAAGATACTTCGCCGCTGGCGCCGGCATTATACCCAAATCTTGACAGTCGTAGCTCGGCAAGCAATGGTAAACCGAGTAAGCCCAGTGTATCAGATACAAAGCGAATACCGCACGACGTTTGGATGAAACGCGAATCCAAGACGACCAGGTAGGACGCTCGTGAGCGTATTCTTCTGGTAAGGTAAGACCAGTGCCGATGGTGTGGTAGACAATGTTCCTGAGATCACGGAACAGGGACTCGGGGAGCAACGAGACAGAGCGTTGGGATTTGGTAGGAAAGAGCAAAAGAATGGTGTAAATGACGAGGGCTTGGATAGCTGGGACGAGAGTGTCTTCCGTAAGGGATTGATACTAATATGTCAGGTTAGAACAATCGGACATGGAAACGGAGCAACTTTACTGTATCGATCAGAGTTTGCATTTCTTTTTTAACAGCTTCTAGTACCATGGAGCTTGTTCCAGGACACTGTCCATCCCACATCTTGGTCAAGGTATAGCATCTGGCTAAAGATGCTGGCATAAGACGTTCGGATGTCACTGTATCGTGGATAATTGGCGGGGCGAAGATGCCCTTCGCTATCATACGTGGCCATGTTCGCAGACAACGAAACAAGGTATGCATGCTGTGGGTGGCCAGAACTGGCGTGGTCGCCGTCGATGGAATCAAGGCGAGATCCGGCTGGGAAGTTGGGTCTGGGATGGAAGTACCGGTTATCCACGACACATAGAAATCATCGAAGTCGTGCATTGTTCCCCGCACAACATCAAACGTGTTGGATATGTTATTGTCGGATGCTCTTTGCGTCGGCGTTCTGGAATTAGCGGATAGCAAAGCATCGTCCGACAATTGATCCAGAGGAGTGGCTTGAGTGGAAGCATCCAAACCCACTACATCCGTCCTCGCTATTGGGGGTCTATAGTGGGGAGCGTCACGGGGGTCCGAGGAGTTGTTAGAGCTTGCATCGTCGGAACCGGGGTATTGGCAGGTGAGGCTTCTCAGCGAACAACGACTGCATGTTGGTTTCCGTAAATCACATTTCGTTTTCGAATCCGAACATTTCTGACAGGATTTCTGGCGAATAACGACTGACCCTTTCTCGCATTTCCTGTTTCTGATGTGTCGAACCAGGGATGACGCTGCCGAGTTGGATTAAATCCTTACGACCGAAGAGTGTAGCCGACTACTTACTTTTGCTGAAGTACTTTTCGCATCGAGAGCATCTAGGTTTCTCCATGGCTTCTTGAGTAGATTACATCAATCAGTTTGGAGTACGTAGGAAGTGGTCTTGCCTCATGAATAGCTAATTCGGAGTGAACGGGCGATCTGTAACAGCGTCTAAAATTTGCACTCGGAGTTCCGGGTTGACTGAAGATTTTGTTCAGAAGCCAACCTCTGCTGAGTAATAATGTTGACGTATTCTCATCAATGGTTGTCGCAGGCCAAGGCATGAGCTCTAGGAGTCCAAGGCTACAAACTGCATTAATAATCTTGCCGTGACTCTCGTATATCTGTAGGGCCGGGGGACCAGGCATTCAGCTAGAAAAAACAACTTACACACAACTTACACACAACACACAATAAAACAACTTCGCTGCTGGAACAACAGCACCTCACCCCAACCATTTTAGCACATCACGTGCGACAATGGTCCATTCTGTTGTATTTATCTTGCTTACATCAAATCGGTCTGAGCAGAGTGAGATCCTATTGAGGCAAGAAATTTCTGCATGTTCCCCTGACAAGCAGGATGTGTGAGGATTCACGAACCCAGAGTCTGTAGTCTGTACAGCCGTAGAACGCATGGAAGTCCCTTGCTCATTGACCGAAGCTCGAATTGGAATGACTGGGGTGGGAACACGATTCCGGCAATATGATGCGGACCGGTACTTGGTGGCGAGCGACTCCATATGTATTATGTAGTAGAGTATTAATATGAACTCAATCTTTACCGTTTTTCGAAGCCTAAACATCAGTTGGATAGTTAGGGGATAACTCAACTTACTTATGTCCGGTAGTCCGTTGCCGAACTCTCGGAGCTGGTCCAGTTTTGTCCACAGTTCAGGGCATATTAGTTTCCTGGCCGATCTTGAGCCATGCTGTACAATTCTCTCCACTCAGAGCTTCCGGGTCGCTTGTTGGGGAACGATGTAAGGACGTGATCCGTTTTGGCTGTCGAAAATGAACGACGTTGGAGCTTGAAAAGGATAGTCTGGGCTTTGGCAGTGTTCTTTGCGTTCGCGGACGCCGATTCCATAGATGTAGGACACGCGGATGTCGTTTGATCGCCCCCAAAAAGTAAGCTCGACTAAGTTAAATAGTTATAGTAATTTACATAGTACAGCTGAGGAGCCGCAGATGTGAAGGAGAGAACCGGCCTCAAATTCTCAAATTCCCGGCAAGAGAGCCCAAAGTTCTGGAGCGATCGTTCCATGCGGATTGCGGCCGTCTCCTGAAGCTATGAAGCCACGCGAGCAAGCTATGTCATTGGCAGCTAAGGAGTAAGGGTCATGGAGAGAAATTTGATTCGTCCCCCAGTTTGCTACGTGGGCCTCGTATCTGCCTGCTCTGTTTTCAAGAAATCAATCATGGCCAGACTTGTGCACTTTGCACTGGAGCGACTGATTGGATGATTGCCAGTTTCAAAACGGTCTACCAGGCACAGTTGACGGAATTGAGAGTTGAGACTTAGAGATATTATCCTCGCGTGGCCAGCCAGTTCAAATCCTTCTTCGGTTTCCTAATCTCCTCCAATTGCTGCAGGAGCAACGAACATGCAGTTGGCGGCGAGTTTATTTATCAATCATTAGCAGGAACTGAGACCAGGCCCTCGACTTCTTGGTCGACGTCCACATGCGCAGTCCATCTCTATTCGTCTCAATTCCTCCATCACTGATGTTTCCAGGATGCTATGCACCTGGACCGGAAGAGACACGGTATATCGGCCGTGAGGGATACCCTCTCGCGGATTGCCTTGCATTTTGCATCTTGTTTTCAGGCGTGGAACACTTACTGTTGCAGGGATTGATTGGGGATTCGAGCAATCAAAGATTTACTGATCGCAGCAGTTCTGGGCATCATTGACTGCTAGAGATATCAAATGGATTCATATCATCCATGGAGGGAGGAGCTGATCACTTATGAGTGGATGAATTAGGTCGTCCTGGCGGACTGGCTTTCGTGCTGTCCAACACCCCTTCGTTTCATTGCGAAGTCTAAAACGTATGCCGAATGCATGCTCGTATGTCTCGCGCCTCTACCGAACATCTCCTATCCAATCACTTCCTTCCCAAGTATGTGAAAGAGAAGGCATGCTGGCTATTGTTGTGTACAGCCAAGGCAATATGGCGTTCAATCCCGATGCGCATGCGCATCGTTCACATAATCCCACTTCATCATAGAGCGGTGTATGAGGAAGGTTAGAGTTTGCTTGAGTCGCCATCCTTCACGATCTCAACCACCAACTTGCCAAATTGACTTCCCTTTTTCATGTCCTCAAATAGGCCATCAATGCCCTCCAGGTTGTCCAGGCCACCCTTGGAAACTCGAGATACCACTGGCTGCAGGCCGTGGTCTTTCACAAACTGCATCATCTCGGCAAACTCCTTGCGTGAGCCCATGGTTGAGCCTCGAACCTCAATGTTCTTGAGCACCGCCGGCATCAGGAACGGCATCTTGGGTGACACGGTCATGCCGTAGATGGAGATGACACCGCCAGCCTGATCCAGTTAGTACGGGGCGGTTCGGTGCCGATCGGAACTTACCTTGAGGAGCTTCGCTCCCTTCTCGACAATGTCGGCTCCCGCTCCATCGATGATGGCGTCCAGCACTTTCCGCTCCTTCGGAAGCATTGCCTGCAGCTTCTTGTCCCAGCCGGCCTCCTTGTAGTTCACTCCGCCCACGGCGCCCAGCTTCTTCGCCTTTTCGATCTTCTCTTCGCTTCCGCTGGTGACATAGACTCGGCAGCCTTTGGCGACGGCGAAGAGTAGCGCCATGATGGCGACCCCTCCACCAATGCCAGTCACGAGGATGTTGCGTCCCTCCATTGCGTTTCCGCTCTTGGTGACCACCGCTCGCCAGGCTGTGAGGCCTGTCAATGGTAGGGCGGCGGCCTCGTGGTCGCTCAGATGCGGTGGAATTTCCTCGACTTCGCCGTGTCGCACCGTAGCCACCTCGGCCAACGTCCCGACCGGGTTCATGCGTGTCCCACCAAGGATGGCATATCCCGAGGGGTCCTCGGGGCCGTCCGGATGCGACTCCCAACCCGTGCCGGGGTTCAAGACGACGCGTTTGTGGAGCCATCGCTTCGCCTCGGGGTTGGAACCGGTCGCGACGACGACGCCGGAGCCATCGGCGAGCAGCGGGACGCCGAAGGCGATGCCCGGGTACAGATGCTGGCGGAGGAAGAGATCTCGATGGTTCAACGCCGCGGCATGAAGGCGAACGACGACCTCATCGGGTTTGGGCGCGGGAGACGGGAGCGTGATACGCTCCAATGGATAGTAGACCTTTCCTGGCTTCCCTTCGATCTTGCGGATGACAATGGCGGACGGCATGGTTGAGTAGTGGATGGAATCAATGCGCTCGAGCTCAACCGAAATCGTCAATACGTAGGATCTTGTAGGACGACATCTCTATCATCGCGGCTCAACGACGGAGTTGGTGACAACACGGAATGCGGAACACAACCGAGGTGTTCAGTCGGATACGGATGATGTTCGGGCAATCGGTGATGTCACCATCCTTGGCCGATTCCCGGATTCCGGCCCCTGACGGCTGACCAGTCATCGGATTCGAGCCGAAGGGACGAACCCTCCATGCCAGGACAGCATCGACCATGAGGACCGAGAGCGTTCCAAATCAGCGTGAGATGGGAGGATGGCAATGCATATATACTTGATTCATCGACAAGGGTATCTATCAGAACAATAATCGCCAACCTAAACGATGCACCTAAATACCGTCATGCTGATTACACAGGATCCAACCCCTAACAACCGTATCAATGAGGCCGGGACATCCCATATCCGTGAAGTCTGGTGAGAAACTCCTCGCCCCGTCCCAAGCGGTTCATCCGCTCCTTTGCCTCTGCTCGGGCATATGTCTCCTCGAACTTGGCCTGTACCTCCGCCTGCGTCTTCGCACGGTCCTCCGCGCTCATATCGTGGATTCTTCCGGGCGGTTGCGCCGTAAATGTGTCGTTCTGTGGAAGTTTTCTGCTCCTAGCGTGCAGACCTTGTAGCCCGTCGACCTTGTCGAGGTGGTCCGATTCCAGGTGGCCGAATTGTTTGAACCGCGGCGACCAAGCGACGGAATGACGTGTATCTTTGGTTTCCGAGGCAAGGGCGCCGAACGGCTGGCCTTGGTTGGTTGGCCGAGCGTTCGGCCGGACTGTTGGACGGTAGGCACTCCACCTCGGCTCCGGAACCTGTGTTTCGCATCGCAAGCTCTCTTTCCCATCCGGGACACGGTTCGCGAACACGACTCGAATGTCTCCGTACAGCCAATGTCGTTTCGGTGCCGTGCAGCAGATGTTCAAGTGCACCAGGTAACGCAGCGGGGCTCTCGACGCCGACTGTGTGGCGTTCATCCCGCCCATTCCAGGCTCCCAGGCTTCCGTGCTCTCCACGAAGCTTCGTTGACGGACAAAAGTCTTGGTCCCAACCGGCATGTCCGAGACATCGTATGGGACCCGGAAAAGCTTGACGGCGGTCTTGTGGGGATTTTTGATGATGATTTGAAGATGGCCCTGAGGGGGAATCCGGTATCCACCAACGGGCGTTGTGATGGGGCCCACGGTTTCGCCCGGTCGCTGCGCACCGCTGGCTCGGATCGACCGCGGCACAGGCGAGCCGGATCGGGAGCGCGGTTCGAGCGGGGCCCTATCACCGCCTCCTTGGCGACCGGTGGGTGCTAGCGGACTGGAGTCCTTCGCCTCCGCATCGCATCGTAGCCGTCTCAGTCGCTTCTGTTTCCTCGCACGTCGCTCCTCTGGCGAGCGGCGCCGCTTCGATCGCTCCGATGCCGTGCCCTCGAGGTCGATCAGGCCGACATATGGGCTCGGCTGACTATCCGCGATCCGGGTACCGCCATTGTAACTGTAGAATACGGCAGGAAATCCCACCATCACGTGTGGTGGGCATTGTAAGCTGGGTTTGCATTCCCCACGCCCCAAGACGCCGATTTGAGCGACGAAGTTCAATGGTCGTGAGGGAGTGGTGGACATGCGACCCCGCAAAATGGACTCCTCGTACGAGCCGACCAGGGGGGCATGGTGCAAAGGGGGACTGTCCGACGATAACGACGGACGACGAGAGCTCGGAGTTTGGGGGATGAAGCGGGAAATATGCTGCAAACTCGATCGGTAGGATTGAGATGGGTGGGTCGGATCGTTCCGATCAGACACGTTGAGAGGCGATGATGAGAACAATCCCCTGAAAGCGAAAGGAGATAGCGTATGGCGGCGGGAGGCGGCCTCAACATCGGAGCGTGACCCGTCGGAGGTGGACTGTTTGGCTAGTGGACTTGTCGGTGGCATGAAGAGCAAGCTGGTGGTCGAGGCATTGGAAACGGCTCGGGAGCGTACCGGACGCTTCTCGTACACGATGGGATCGGCCTTTGCGGGCAACCGTGGTGTCCCATCGCCACTCCCCGGGCGTGAAGCCAAGGGCTCCGGGTTGTCCGAGGGCGTATCGGCAGGGGATCGGTCACGAAAATCTCCCGAATGAAAAGCAGAACGAGGCCGTTGTATCTCCAGTCCTGCCGCGTGGTTGCTCGTCATCGGGTCAGGGCTGGCATCGGGGGTCTGGATACCTGGTTGGAAGGGCGGCAGCAGACGTGGGCTCGGTGGACGTCTCGAGGGCGATCCCAGCGACGGGGTTCTCGACCGTGTCTATATTTCGATTCAGCAGGAACTCCGACGGGCAGTCACGGCAAGCTGGCGATCCTACCTCACCGGCAGGCCATCCCGTATAATGATTTCCTTCCTTGATTCGAAGGATCAGCTGCTCCCGGGAGATGGAGGGTTGTAATAAGCCGAACTCCGGGGAGGCTTCGACACGTCGTCCTGGTTCATGGTCCCGGCGTTGCTCAGGAGAGCGAACGTCGGCCGGGTGGTCGAAGGGCGGGCGGGAGGAGTCATCTTTGAGGATGGGCATCGTGGTATCGTGGCCTTCGCCGTTCAATCATCCGGGGCAATTGTCGACTCTCGGCTCGGACACGGGGACCAAGGATTCTTTGAGACTCGACGGAAGCATCTAGGGGACCGTTTCCTTCTCGGGCAGGCGTTCGTCGAATGTATGAGTCGGGCAGGTAAGATGAGTGGTGTGGGGGGCATGGCGAAGCATAGAATGGAGTGATGCCGTCATGCCCTTGATTGGTCAAGACGTGGTGGCCCATGACTGAAGGCAGGTTGGTTCCTGAGGCATGAACGGTGCCACTGAGGCTGGAGAGATGTGGCGAGGAAGATAAAGAAACCGAATGGAAATTGGAACCATGCCTTGTTCTGTCCAGTCCTGATGCAGCGAGTAAGTTACAGCAAGGTGCTCCAGTCTCCAGGATATGATACTTGTATGATGATGATTTCTGCATGTGGTGCTGATTGCTGAGGCGGCTGAACACACAGGCTGATTAGATGATTAGGTAATACATGGATTGTGGCGCATATCACGTGATTGCTGCGCCACCGTCGCCAGTCTGGTACTGCACCGAAAGACGATACCAGACAATACATACCAGAATTAGGCAGCAGCAGAGACCCCAGGTATGAAAGTCTCGGCTGCCAGAGAGTGGGTTTGCTGAAGACAAGCAGATCAAAACCCGCCATAGGGATAAATAACACCTCGACCGGAATCAATTCCACATTCCCGTGTATCCCACCGGTCATCGATTGTATACATACAGAAATTGTGAGCGACTAGTTGTGGTGAATGACATGATAAGTGTCCCGTGGACGACGAGTCCATTCCCCTCCTGTGTCGTGTCTACCTAGCATATTCTTCGACAAAGTCATGACATGCGCCTCGACACGATGCTTGTCTGGCTATGGGCGCTCCCACGTCGCATCGCACCGAAAGGGTTGATCGGCTAGAACATGCGTGGACGATGAGAGCCATCCCGGAAGCCGCCCGTTACACAGCCTGTGGCTTCCGTCACACTCAATAAGTCTGGCACGGCCACGAGGCGGTGGTCGCGGCGGGTCCACTGGCTCGCCGCGCAGCGTGTTACCAAGCGCGAGATCTTGTAGAAAATGCCCATGAGACGGCTGGACAACGGAATGGAGTCTGAGAGACGTCTGTCCTTTCATCCGCTGTTCATTAGCCGCCTTGCCTTTTCCAGCAATAACGGCGCCTCCTTCCCGAGTTTCTTCTGTCGACGATCGACGCTATGGATGCCACCGCGTGCTTTCAGCATGGCTTTCTGGTGGCGAGCACGATCTTGCAACTTCTTCTGTTTCTCCTGTTCGCGATCCTTGCGAGACATGGCCGGTGGTTCAGCAACTGAGTTCGGCTCCTTCGCGCGCTGAGAGGGCCCAGATGACCCATCCAGCAATCGCTGTCGGTCTGGATGTAAGGGGGCCGGATCAATCTCGTGTCCGCTCCCCGGCGATGGCTCGGGAGAATACGACGGAATAGTCGGAGGTTGTGGCTCGGCATTTGCCTGGGACTTGAAGAACTGTCGTTTGATCTTGGATCGTTCGATCAACTTCCGTTTTATGGCTTGAACTGTGAAACGGTTAGCAACGATGCGTGGACGGAACTCGATCATCTCTTGCCTTTCCGTTTGTGGACTCCATCGGGTAGATTGTCGGGCCCGACCTTGAAACCTGCTCGACGGTGTGACATTGGAGATATCACGATTTGAATCCACGACTTGAGTTGTCGATTCGAAAGGTGGACGACTTATTGAATGAAAGTTTAAACTCCGCCCTCCACGATGACAAGCAGCGGATTTTCCACACCAGCCGGCTAAATCCCGGCTGCAAGGTGAGGTGAATATCGCCCGCGTCATGTCCATGTCCCTCTCTTCCTCGCTTCTCTTTCCTGTCTATTGTCGTCAGCTACAGGTAGTAATTATGCAATCGTGCCGGAAGTATCCTGATTATGCGTTTAGACATGCAGATACGTGGCGCGCTCGCGTCCTGCTTGGTTTTCATTTAGCAACTTCCCGACCTGACCAACAAGCCCGATGATCAATGTCCAACGAGAACTTGTCACTCACTGAAGCTATTCAAATATTGGTTTCTTGTCATCAATTGAGTCAACTACTCTACGTTCAGTCACCAGTACAAGTTCGCTTTCTTTCTTTGCCCGTTATCTGGATTATGACTCCGGCATCTCTCAGGTCTACTCGTCTAAAATTGGGGAGAGACGGAATATCCGATCACATTCTGCCTATCCTCTGAATACTACTTGACACTCTAGAGCAAATTGACTAGGCATTGCTTCTCTTCCTGTTCATGATTGCGTCGTTAGTGCACAGCTCTCAACCTTATCCAGATGTTCATACGCTGGCACAACACTTCAACCGCAGCAGGCTGCACATTCCAACCATACGGACATTGGGGTCATTCATGTCGCCTGGTGCGTCTCATGGATCTTCTTCGGGCTCTTCTACTGGACTCTCCAGAATCATCTGGAACTCACCCAGTTTGCTTTTGGAACCACCTCATTAATCGCAACTTTCGACGGGCTCTCAGGTACGTGGGACTTGCAAGAATATTCTGGCTTCCATGGAATTGTTGGATTTTGGCAGAATGACATACTGGATAAGCCGTTTTCCTGACCTTGCATTCGAATGTAACTTGGACGCCATGTGAAGGGAATCTGAATAATCTATTCGTTTAAGACTAGTTAGTCTTCGTGATGTACAAGTTCTAGCTCTTCTCATCACGTGTTCGATTCGTTGCAAGTCTAACGGGTATAATCGGTTATGAACAAGAAATGGGACGAGCGCCATATGCGAGGAGCACCCGGAGCAAATTGACCCCAGCTTTCCCGCGGTTGGTCCCCACGCCGCATGCAGTCGCCTTAGTGCGCTCCCAACGTGGTTGCAGCATACGCGTAGTATGTCTTTGCAGAATATATTCGCAGTCGCTTGCCGAAGGGGACCATTAGCAGAAACGATCCTGTGCAGGTCAATGATACCATACCGACCGCGACGAAGCATTTCAGCATCCCCTGGTTTTCGATCCAGGGTGTGATAGCATACGAAAACCCAAATCCGAGCGTGTTGCGGATGATGATGACGGTGACCATGGTCTCTCCGGTGAGATCTTTGAAGCAATCCGTCGCGTAGGAAAGGGCCGTCGAGCCGCCGCACACCACCCCGAACGTGAGCATTCCCGTTCCGAAAATCAACCCTGGTACGCGGTGAGCTACAATGCCATCGAGGTGGTGTGTTCGACCTACCCATGAAGTGTACGCCCTCTGCTGCACCCACACCCCACAAAATGAGGCCCCCGGTGGCGATGATGCCGGAGACGAGGAGCGTCCACAGCCGGTGTTCGGGTTCGCGGATCCCGCTGTTCCGTCGAGCGAGTCGAAGCGCCACCTTGTCGCCGACCCAGCCGGCCCACACCGATGCCAGCGACGCCCCGACGAAGGGCGAGAGATAGGCCGTCCCGACCATACTCGCACTGAAATTATACGGCGCGCCACCCAGAACTAGCGACATGGTGGCGTTGAGAACGTTGTACCACGACAGGTTCGTGCCGTACAGGAATCCCGCCCAGGTGACGTTGGGGAACTGGAAAAAGATCACCAGCGGACGCCAGGCCATGGTGAGCAGCTGCTTGTTGGAGGGGCGCTCGGGCCAAGCGACGAAGAGGTGAAGTTTCTGGAGATAGCTGCGCTCCGGGCGATACGACGGCTCCACCGTGGACACCCTGCTCGCATCACTGTTCATGGCGAGGGTGGGCTCGTCGGCACCTTTGACTTTCTCCGTGTCCGCGGGTCCACGGTCGACCGAGACCCCCTCGAAGGTCTGGCGGAAGTACATGGTTTCTTCCATGCAGAAGAACATGAGGACGGCCGTGACCGCTAGAACGATGGCTCCAAACCACATCACGGCGCTCCAACCCATCGCATCCAGGATGAAGCCGGAAAAGAACGGGGCCAGAAAATTGGCGCCGAAGAGCATGAAGGCATAAACGCCCATATAGGTGCCACGTTCGTGCGCAAAGAAGAGATCCGGGATCGTCACTTCCGGCAACGACTCGACCGGAGCCGCGCAGATGCCGATCAGGATGCGATGGGCGTACCACTCGCCGACAGACGACGAGTACGCCGTCCAGATCATGGGCCCGATGGCGAGGACACAAGAGATGATGTACACCCCGCGGCGACCGTAGACGAGAGCGATGGGCTGCCATATCAGATTACCCCACCCCAAAAACAAAAACATGAGCCCTTCATTTCGTCAGCCACGGGTCGTGGGATGTCGCCCCGAAGGTCCCACCTGTTCCGGTATTCAATTGCGCGAGCGTGATTCCGGTGTCGTCCTCGATATTCGTTAACACCGAGTACTGAACCGCCGTGGCGATCCCGATGGCGATGGTGTACAGATAGGCGGACGCGACGGCGAGGCCTTTGCGCCATGGTTTCCAATTCAAAGGATCTTGGGGGTCCGACGTGGGTTGGGGGTGAAGGACGATGGCCGCTCCGCCTTGATCGTGGCCCACCCCAACGAGCTGGATCGTCCCAGGAACCGCAGTGGTATTCATACTGGACAGGAAGCAAAAGATTTGAAGTGGGGAAATAATGGCCAAGATATGTGGCTATCAACTCACTTTATACCTCGACCCGTAACTTGAGGATGCTGCTCCACGGTAATGTTCGGGACTCCAGGGCCACGCGAGCTCGACCAACTCAGGACTCTGCATGATGATCATCGCCTACCTTCCAGGTTCTACCGCTTCACTGCTGCCAACGTCGACACCGGCGCTGAAAAATGGCACCAAATCCATTGGGCGAAGATTTGATCGTCGCTGCTCTCCACTCCTAGGTCCTGGACCGGCACCTGTGATTTCTCCCATGATCTCGGATCCTCTGTTCCTCTTCCCCATGGTGCGGTTAGCGTTGGCGGGGGAATGAGATCCAATAGGAACGACGGGATAGGCCCGATGGGATCCACATCCACAGGATCCCGTCAGCACGGGTTATGGTACGACACGCGGCGGCGAACCAAGTACCGCAGATAGATCATGGATGGGGATTGGGTGGTATGGCGTCGGCTAGATAGGTATTGAATCGGGACAGGGTGTCGATCGTTGATGACTTTCAATTACAGTTGAGCCGTTGCAGCCACAACGCTGAATGATATTGCTAGTCTAAGCGTGGGGGACAGTACTGGAGATTGTCTTCGTCGCAGGATCCGACGATATACGCAACCGGTGGGCTGATTGAAACTTGAAACCTGTATCAGTGCAGTGTACCTATTGTAATGGGGGACGAAAGAGAGTTCAAGTCACGAGGCAATTGATTGCGACTCGAGTATGACTCGTGAATTTGTTGCTGTTGTTGTATTCCGCACTCTCACTTGACTCGTGTTGAGCCATCAATCACATGATTCGCATCATCGCAATAGATCCAGGAATTAACTATTAACTATTTATTGTTATGGCCGTTATTCCCGTAATATGCAAGATGCGAATCACCCTAGCGGCCACCACCCGCCAGTCATGACGGAATGACGATCACTTCGAATCTTTGATTGCCGTCACAACATGACTCCAAACTTGTATGGCGGTATGGCCTGATTATATCCTCAGCAGTGCAGGTAATTCATGAGGTGGTGTGACTTTCGGTCGCGAATCTGAAGACACGTTCGGCCCGAGCATGCCGACAACAATAGGATGCACACCCCGAGCATGTGGAAGGCGCAGACCACCAGGATGACGGCATATCTCCTAAGTCATGGATTTCAAGGCATGCCCTCAATGGCATCGGTATCATCATTGACATGACTGCTGCATGCCTCTCTATCGCTACACTAACCAACCATGGCTCAAATCACTCCCTTTCCGTCGGCACCTGCGCCATGGAAGCTTCGATCCGAATCGTATCTGTTGATGGTACGATTACCCAAGACGTTGCCAGATGGCATATATGACCCTCTGGAAGCATCCTCCGAAGCATTCTCCGATCCAGCCCGATCAGGAAAACACCGGGGAGGTTTGGGGGCTATCCTCATCGTGCGATATACCGAGACTCCAGTCGGTGAGTCAACGTCCATTTCCACACTGGGTCAGATGCTTACGCTACACCAGGCCCATACGACGAGCTCATGATCGTGCCTGGAAGTTACCAGGTCCCGGGTCACGGCAGTAAACGAAGGATCGCCCGCATCTATGTGAACCAGAAGGAGACCACATACAATGGTATGCGCCGTGCTGGGGCTAAGGAGCGAATGGCTGACGAGACCAGGTCGCACCAACTGGAATATCCCCAAACATCTCGCCCGCTTCGCCTTCTCCGCTCCCGCGACCAAGACCGGCTCGAAACCTCCGGAGTCTTTGCATGTCGCAGTGTTTCCTCCATCGGAATCTGCAACGGAGTCGTTCTTCTCCGTGACCCTAAAGCCCTTCCGGCGCTTTCCCGCCGTACCCTTTTCGAGTCGATACCTCCCGGTCTCCATATCGCTCACCCAACCTCCCATCCCCAGTGGCGAAGCGGACTACCTTGTTGGCACGGATACCTGGGCCGAGTACGGTATTGGAAGCTCGACCGGTCGTACGCGTGGTGCTTGGGTCGAGGTTCATCCACCTGCGGATGACCAGGCAAACCGTGAGGCGACGAAATGGTGGCCCACCAGCGTGAAGCCCGTGGCGTTCGGTGTCTGGATGGAAAACGTGACCGTCGATATCGGGGAAGCGACGCGCTGGAAACCATGAGCATGGCAGACTTCCTATTCTCACTTGCGATACACCCTGGAGCCCTGGAATACCCAGTCTAACCCTTCATCTACTCACTTTTCCAATTACCCAAGGTACTGCATGTGACCTTGAGGGGTAAGGTCATAGGAAGTGGGTCAGGCCCTTGTAGAAGATCGGAGCTTTGTGTTCGTATAGTCAGTCGCTCAATCCACTCTATAATTCGGTTCCTTTATCATCCCAACCCAGAGCGGTGCATAGATGCGGTGAAGTACCGACCTAGCAACCAGTCGAAGAGAATGCCAGAAATTACTCGCCATACAGAGAGGAACGGTGGACAGATGCTTGAACTTCAGGCGTCGCTGAGTTTGACTCTTCTTTAAATCGGTTGACGAAAAAAAGCTCCCGATCCATTTGATTCAATCCCTGACACAGGGTTTCTAAAATGAATCCTTCGAATGAAATTCAGTTCTTTTAGCGTCGCTGAGTAGTTGAGCGACGGCCTCATGCCCATTCTCTGCGGCCCACGACAGCAGCGTCTGGCCATAGATCTCATCCTTTGAGTAGACGTCAACTTTCCTGATCTTGAGTAGCACCTTGACCATGGCCCCGTGTCCATTATCCGCGGCCCACGGCAGCGGTGTCCGGCCATGGGTAATCGTATAGTCGAAGACTCCCTTAGCGTCGAGGCTGAAAATAGGCTCGCAAAAATATCTTACATCTTACGTGCTTGCCGGAGCCAAAGGGGTGAAATCAAAGGAATTTCCGCTCCGAAGCACCCCTGATAATAGAAGGATGTAAGGGTCTCACTGTAGGGAATCTCCAATCGTGAGGCAAACATTGAATTGTTGCTATGAAGGAGGAATCTATCTAAGGTGTGCGAGGCGTTTATCTGTTCTGGTGTTTACAGAGCAAACCTGAACGGGCCACAAGGCCACAAGGCATCCAGGTCGATAGACCTCTGATCCATCACAAGTAATAATGGAAATTAATCGTCCAATTTAACCCAAGTTAGCGCAATGACCTTCTAGAGCAGGGCATCAACGCAAATACGCCAGCAGCAATTCAACCAATCAGAGCGCTTCTTTTGGCTCAATATCACGTGGGGTTGGATTGAGGGTCACGTGGGGTGGTGGATCGATGCGCTCCCCGAAACGAGGGCGTGTCGCCTAGGCGGAAAACCGCAGAAAACAGTGTCAGAAACCTCCGTTTTTGGAGGCCATTTCGGTAGCACACAGCGTTACTCCGTACATGGTATGGTCCGGCATCGAAATTGTGGGTATCGTGCTTGGCGCCATCCTCATGCATACATTAGTATCCGTAGTTACATAGTTACGACTTGTTGACTATTGCCCGACCCTTCTGAGTTCTATCAACATATCGTTGATGCGATACGGTATATGGAATGTTCGGGTAGCAACTGGCTTCATCTAAATATGTCCTGACACTCGACTACCATATTCCAAACCACCCGCATATGTTCTCGACGTTCCTGTCGAGCGTTTGAACCCTTTGCTAGTTCCCAGTCGCCAACATGTTCACCGCAGCGAACGCCCTTCTTTCCATCTCCGCGCTGCTTGCTTGCTTGACATTGGTCGTCGCCTCCCCGAACCCGCCATACCAGCCTCCTCTGATCGTATGGCATGGCCTAGGCGACACCTTCGACAGCGAAGGGTTGCAGTCCGTCGCAAAACTTGCCGCTGAAGTTCATCCATCGACCTATGTCCATGTCATTCGCCTCGGCGAGGACGCGTCGGCCGATCGAACCGCGACCTTCTACGGCGACCTGAACGTCCAGGTTCAGCAAGTCTGCGACGACCTCTCCCAGCACCCCAACATCTCGTCCGCCCCGGTCGTCAATGCGCTCGGATTCTCACAAGGCGGAGTCTTCCTGCGGGGATTGGCCGAGCGCTGCGGCCCTCGGATCGCCAACCTCGTGACCTTTGGCAGCCCGCACAACGGCATCGTCGACGTTCGACCGTGCAAATCGGGGGACTGGTTGTGCGAGGGTGCCATCGCGCTGTTCCGGTCTAATGTTTGGGCCGGATGGGTTCAAGGTCGCGTCGTCCCGGCGCAGTACTATCGGAACTTCGACGACGAAACCGGAAAGCCCTCGTCCGAGTACCTGGACCGGTCCAACTTCCTCGCCGATATCAACAACGAGCGGGACACGAAGAATAAGGGGTATGCGCGGAATCTCGCTGGCCTGCGTCGTTTCATCATGTACATGTTCGAGGACGATACGGTGATCATCCCGAAGCAGAGCGCGTGGTTTGCGGAGGTCAACCGTGCCACTGGCGATGTGACTCCCCTCGTTGAGAGGGATATATACCGCGACGATTGGCTGGGCTTGAAGGCAGTGGACCAGAGGGGAGGAATTGTCTTTCGGACCGTTCCTGGTGAGCACATGCATCTGAGCGACGACATCTTGGAACCGGCCTTTAAAGAGTACTTCGGTCCCATCAATTTGCGCTCGGCAGAGGCTGACACGGTCGCTTTCCATGATTGGGAGCTGTAAAATTGGCTTCTCCCCAGCTTGTTTTATTGCGGAATGCTTAAATATACACATGAAGTGAAGTCGAAACTCGGTGCTGACATTCCGTCCATAACCGTTGACTATCGTTACGGAAAGGTCCCAACACATGAAAAAGACGCTTGATCGCCACACGTTCAAAAAGATCGGGATACCCTCTCATCTAGTGGAATCATAGCTTGGGGAGACCGATCATGTCCAACAAAACGCCGGATCCATGCAGTTGAATCGCTGGTGGTCGCTTAAACATTGGTATGCGCCGCTATAATTTAGTCCAGTGCACCGCCAGTCCGAAAGGAGAGTACTATTTTAGTGACGCGGCTTCTTCCAGTAGTATTGCTATATTCAGTCAGCGAGGTATCTCGGATATTGGACAGAGGTAGTACCTTGTGCGTCCGGCGAACCGATCGCAGTCCCGTACCCCCACGACTTCCCAGCACGGCATCCCGCCTCGTATCGTTGTCGTCTAGCTCCGGGACGTAGTAGAATTCGGTTTCCAGCGGCTTCCCGGCGGCATCTTTGCCCTCCCGCGGGATCTCCCCGACACTCGGGATGCCGTTGAGAAGAGCGAGAAGCTGCGATGGGGTGAAGTCTCCGTTCGTGGACATTAGAGCCGCGCCAGCTGAATCGGCAGGCGGGCCGACGCTGGTGCTGGCGCCGTCTTTCGCCCGCGACGATCGGATCCTCTTCAGCTCGTCCGGGAGATTGCCGAAGATGGTGGACAAGGGGACGGAATGCAAACGCGAGAAGGCTAGTTGATTGACCACATGGTTCTTGATGGGAGACACATGAAATCGTGACGGAGAACCATGCACCGGTTGCGACGGAGGTTTCAACGGGGTTTTCGTCCGCGTCTGCGACGGTTGCCGAGGGCTGTGCGAGGTATTGAACGACGCGAACCGAGGGAGGATGTTTTCCCCAAAGGGGCCAAACGAGTGAACCACCGGATCGTTCTCTTCATTGTGATCCGACAAGTCGTCCAAGGACTTGGCCAACTTCGGTTGCGATGATCGGCGCTGCTCACGGCTCCGAGTCGGAGTGGCGAGATTGCTTTCGGCCGCACGGCCATCGAGCTGCTCCGAGTCCGGGTCCTCGTAGACCTTGATTGCGTTCTGATGCTCGGACAGTTGGCTGGAAAGGTCCGAGATGCGAAACGTCTCGTGATGGGAAGACCGTTGCGATGATCGACTTCGGCTTTTGAGAAGGTCATCCACGGCAGGAGGGCTGGACGGAATGGTCTGGGGTCGATGGCGTTGGGACGGCGAGGGCGTATCGGAGGCGGACTCGTCCGAACTGGTGGATGCCGGCCTCGAGCGGTCGGACGTGGGCCACGACAGAAACACGCGAGAGTCATGCACGTCGAGGAGGATGTCCTGGGATGGGTCGTCGGAGCAAAACTCCTCTCCTTTCTTCAAATCCACGGCGCGTCCGCCGCAGTGCACCTTCACTCCGTTCCACCCCAGACATTCGATCGTCACCTCGCCCGAGGATTTGGAGGGTGTCGGGCTTCGATATCGAACCCGGACGTGGACGCGGGAAATGACGCGATTGGACGAGAGCTGGAAGTTGGACGAGTTGCTCGACCGTCCGAGCAGGACGGGTTGCCCGTCGGCGGGGAGTTTCACGTCGGGCACGGTGCTCAACGGAGCACGTTCGGAGAGCGTCGAGACGGTGCGTTGCAGGGCGGGACGGTCGGGGGACGAGGGGAGGATTCCGGTGGACGAGGTTGGGATGGGGGTGGGATAGAACCTCGACGTGGCCTTGGACTGGTTGGGGGAGCCATCCAGCTTTCGCTTGAGGGATGGACGGTGCGGTGGAGAGGAGGAGAACGGCTCGAAGGCCGGAAGGAGAGAGGGAGGTTTGGACAGCTGCTCCGACGCGCTGGAACGCGGATCAGCATCTTCCGGCCATGGCGATGAGAGATCCATTTGATATCCGTGGCGTGCTCAGCACCGGCGAGGGCAATTATGTTCGGTTGATCCTAGGACAGGACCGTCGACATTTCCGAGGAAGACGCGCTGCAGTGAACCCAGAATCGACACGATTCGGTCAAGGGCGACGTGCAATGGTACAGGAGGGCAGTGGGATACCGATGAACCGACCAAGCACGCAGACAGTGTTAAAGAAGCGAAGCGAGACAAAGAAGGAGAGAAGCAAGTGTTTCGAAGGTAAAAATGGATGGACGGTGGTGGGCCAAGGTCAAGGGAGGGCCAGGAAGCGCGAGACGTGTATTGGGCGTGTAGAGGCGTGTATAATATGTGGGCGTGTCTAAGTTGGAGCGTGTGAGCGTGTCGGAGCGAGAGCGCGTGTAACTGCGGCCAAAGCTTCTCGTCCGAGGCACCACGCCACGCTTTTTTACCAAAGGATTGGAGGGGAAAGGAAGGGGAATCGAACACTGGAAGTCGAGTCCAATTGCAGGATTTACCAAGCAACAACCCGCGTGAAGAAACAAGAAATCAATAACATGAAAGGACCCGAATGCTGGTGGGGGGAAGTTGCAGGTGGAGAGACTCGACGCGTCGAGGATGGTGGCCTGAGGCATCAAGGCTAGAAGATGCACTGCGCGTGGGAGTGGCTGGTGAAGTGGTGGTGCTGGTGGTGCTGGTGGTGGTGAGGTGGAGCTGGTGAGAGGGGACGGGGGGAAAATGAGTGTCACGTGTAAATCACCAGCCACACCTCTGCCACTGCCAAGATTTCGCGATTGTGGCGCCAATTTTTCCCTCGAAGTCCCTGCAACGAGTGGAGTGGGAGGTTTTCCTCATCGAACTTCTGCACATGCTCCTCCCAATTCCATTCCACTCCCGACACGCACGACTGTTCGGTGCCCGCTGGTTGTAAGCCTCTGCATATATTGCCGACCGTAGAGAGAAAACTCCCGCCCAGTCCTATCCACCATGGCTGTCCCGTCCAAAGACTCGGTGGCGGCACCGCACCCCTCAAAGTCGCCATACCAAGTTGACCCGGAACAAGTAAGCACCCTCACGACATACCCCGTGCTTTCTCGCGGTTCTGACCCCATCGGTAGATCCTACGTGCAACCAAGGCGCTGGTGAAACACATTCAGACCTCTCGCGAATCCCAAGCGAAGTCGTCCACCGCGGTGGACTTGCTCGCGGATGAAGAAACTTCCACCACCACAGATGCCGCGTCGGACGCCATATGGCTGATCCTCGCGACGAAGAAGTTCATCTCGGACAAGAAGCGCCTGAAGCCGTTCAAATTGTACGTCGATTGTCACCATTTTTGGTGCGGTGACCCGGCTAATGCTCCCTAGGCCTCTCCCGCATGCTCCTCAAGTTTCCGAAGGGACCAATATCTGTCTCATCACGGTGGACCCGCAGCGATCGTACAAGGACGTCATTGCTCACGCCAACTTCCCGGAGCAGCTTCGTCCGCTCGTCAAACGAGTGATTGGCATCACGAAACTGAAGAAGAAGTACCAGTCGTTCGAGTCACGTCGGCAATTGTTGGCCGAACACACCCATTTCCTGGCCGATGATCGCATCATCACCTACCTCCCCCATGTTCTGGGCAAGACCTTCTACCAGTCCACGGCCAAGCGGCCCATTCCCGTGAGCCTCCAGGGAAACGCGGCCCACGGCGACCGCCGCGCGCAACTGAAGGGCGAGAAGAAGCAGAGGCAGGCGGCCGAGAACCGGTCGACCACCGTGGTTGGCTCCCCCGAGTTGGTCGGGAAGGAAATTCAAAAGGCCCTGCAAAGCGCTCTGGTCAATTTGAGCCCGGCGGCGACCACCTCGGTGCGGGTTGCGTTTGCATCGTGGGATGTGGAGAAGATCCGGGCCAACGTGCAGGCGCTGTTGGCGGGCATGTTGGAGGGCGGGGAGAAAGCGGAGCGGATCATCCCGGGAGGCTGGAGGAACGTGAAGTCGATCCATCTGAAGGGCCAGAAGACCACCGCCCTGCCGATCTGGCTGTCCGAGGATCTGTGGATGGATGATGACGTGGTGGAGGCCGGCGATGCGGTTCCGGCCGAATCGGGCAAGCGGAAATCCCGCCATCAAGACGCGGCGGAGAGCTCGGGAAAGAAGGCCAAACTGGGTGAAGGGAAAGCTGCGGCCAAGGATTCGTCGCTGCAGAAATCGAAACTGCAGGACCAGAGGCAGAAAGCGATGGATGGGTTGTTGGCATGAGTCGAATTCTACGTTTTACAGGCGCTGCAAAGGATTGTGGTGAAAGACTGCTGTGATTGCATGTGTGGCGGATCTAGCGACGCGTGGATGGTTCAATCAGGGTGTCACTTGCGAGGAGGCGGCGTATCCGGCGAGACATGGATGGGTTGGACGTGCATGGTGCAAATTGGATATTCATAATCGTCTGCATTGAATGGAAAATACAATTCCGAACCTCAGAAGCGCCTGATGAGTATGCCACAGTTCCCCGTTTCTTGCGTCGTCAAGGGCAGAGATCCCGCCACATATCGATGGGAAAACTCGTTCGAGATGCGGCCGGATATGCCCATGTCGGCACACATCGCCCTCCACCGAACCCGATCACTTCAGCTTCTTCTTGGGTCGCAGCTGGTTGGTGTGTCCGCACTTCTTCTTGCGGCAGTTGGTCGCTCGGGGCGGGAGACGGGCCTAACGATGGTCAGCCGCATTCATCACAATCGATCCAGGGTGTCATACATAGCATTTCCGGCAGATCATCTTGTCGCAGTTGTACTTGCTCGCCAACGCCTTGAGCGAGGGCTCGATCAGACCACCTCGGAGACGGAGGACGAGATGGAGCGTCGATTCCTGTGGCGCATGTCAGTCTCTCTGTGCATTTCCAAGCTCCAATCCGGTGCGTTCCGCGTCCTAGGAAACTGAAACCACGATCCGAATTGCCCACTCCGTACCTTCTGAATGTTGTAGTCGCTCAGGGTCCGGCCATCCTCCAACTGCTTGCCGGCGAAGATCAGGCGCTGCTGATCCGGAGGAATGCCTTCCTTGTCTTGGATTTTGCTCTTAACATTGTCGATCGTGTCGCTGGACTCGACCTCGAGGGTGATGGTCTTCCCCGTGAGGGTTTTGACGAAGCTGCGGAACGGGTAAGTTTTCGAAGTGTTGCGATAGTAGAGCCAGCTTACATCTGCACTATTGGAGGGGATCCATATTAGCGAATTGATTATGCGAGGAGCAGAGGGGTCTGGGAGACAGTTGACTTACTCTTGATCGTGGATCTTTCGGCGTTGCGAGGTTCTTGACGATACAGTTCGGTAGGGTTGGATGCGGCGGTGATGTAAAGAAATTGCCAGTGGGAGAGAGGTTGTGCCGCGGGAAAATCGATGTTCCGGAGGATTGTGGCCTGAGGCGCTGATATGGTGGCAATGGTGCCTGATGGGCTATGCACGTGCATGAGTCAGAGATATAAGATCACGTGATCTGGAGATCTGGTGATCTGCCTCAGCTGTCCGAGTGTCCGACTCATCCGAGGAGCGAGGACTGAGATTTAAGTACTTCATCAGATACCGCAAGGTCTTTCGCAGGATGGGTATTTGATTTGATCCGTTCACAGGTGTATAAATTTGAGCTAACTATGTTGGATTCTGATCCTCCAGTCTAGGTAGATTGTCTCAAGATCTTGCGGTATGTACACTGACAGGTATCACGGCAGATTGTGCAGTGTGGTCAGATGCCATCTCGATGTGTGCACTGCCAACTCCACAGAATCCATTCCAGTCCTCATTCCTTAGGGAGCCCAGGTGATGATCGGAGTGGAGTGGGAACTAAAGCCACGCCGCTCCGCCTCGAAGCAGCCCATGTAGTCCTTCCACGCGTGATCCCCACCACCTTCAGGTCACGGCTCATCCATCTTCATGTCCGCGTCCTCGTCCGCCCGATCTCCAGTCGACGTCGAATGCTCGTCGGTATCATCGCAGCTTGAGCTCTCCCCGGGCAGGTCCCACTCCACGACCGATTCGATGGCGGCCACTTCGAGGATGCCACCTTCGATGTCCATGGTATCACCAGACTCCCCGTAGATGTCGTGATCCCAGGCGAGCTCGAGGGATTCATTCCATCGGATTGCGTCGAGAAGCCTGGGCTAGCCGGTCCCCCATCGTCGAGGTGTCGGGTCGAACGTTATCCGCCTCCACCCTCCGCAGCCACGTTTGCTGGTCGTCTCCTGGTTCCAATGGTCCGGCCACACCTGATTGCGCCGTGAGGCATCAGTGGACATCGTCGTGCCGCTTCCGACAAAGAACTTGTGATGGCAACTCGCAAATACAAGGTGCAGCTTTTTGTGATTTAGGCAGTAGACGATGCCGGCGCACGGGATCCGACCCAAGTTCGTCGCATGGTCTTTGTCGAGTAAGTACTCAACGGCGAAGCACGATCCATTGGCACACGTGGCTCACTCCGCGCTTGCCCGCTGGAAGCCGACCATGGTAGGCAAGGAAAGCCACCCGATGCAAATCAAAGGATTGTTTATGTGTGGCCATGAACTCCGGTACAGACGCGTCATCCTTGGTCGCCGCGATTTGTTGGAGCCGGGCGTTCGAGAATTCTCGCACGTTCGGATAACGTTTCAGTCGATCCACCAGATCCTTAGCGCGGATCGGACGAGCCAACATCCTGTCCACTCGCCGAATTGGTCACCACCGCGTTCGATTTGGCGTGTAATGACTTTGCGCGCGCGTGGGCGCTTCAACACCTTGACGAGGTCGGCCGGCTTTCATCATGGCGAGATATATTACCCGTCTAGCCTTGAGATTGACCTAGCCTGTTCCATCTCGCCCTGCGTAGGCGGTAATGGACCACTCCAGAGTCGTTTGTGTCCGCCATTTGTTGCAGAAACTAAGGGAGAGCCATTATTGTGGTCTTTCACAATGAAGGCCTCTCGGATAGAACCATGGATAGAGAGTGATTGATTGGCAACGGCATAGACGTGAAAGGACTTGACAGAACGATCAGATCTTTGAACCCAAAGACTCAGGCCCCTACTACTGTTTTTCCGTCTGTTTCCAACGGACCGGTGGAACCTGCAGACCCAAAGAAATCATATACACGTTAAGGCGCAGATAACATTCCCAGGAACATATATGGATATGAAAGGAGGCAGACATAGCATGTGATCTCCGACCCCATCTCCGCATGGCCTCGGCGTGGGTACAGTCACTAATAGCGAAATTGGCTTCCGCCGAAGCGCAGCCTAAAACTTTGTTTCGACCTGTCGCCAAGGCATTAGCCCTCGATTCCCCGAAGCTATCATATGAAATTAGCGTGATTGAAACTTTCCAAAAACGCAAATATCCGTCCCAAACCCGCTGTCGCAGGCCAAAGAATTAGATCCAGGGGCCTGAGGCTACAAACTGCATTAATAATCTTGCCATGAGTCTCGTATATCTGCAGGGCCAGGGAACGGGCATTCACATAGAACACACAACTCACACAATACAACAACTTTGCTGCTGTCACCAAATCACCTGACCCCCAACCATTTGAGCACGACGTACCTGTAGTCTTTTACATAGGATCGAGAGTGGGCAGCGGTCCAAACTTTTCCAGAACGATTTTACCAAGACGTATCTGGTGACAATCGTAGAGCAATGGAAATATGGAATTATGGATCCGAACCAAACCGAAGTACTCCGTAGTTGAATCTCACTCTCGCGTACCGAAGGAAGAGCGATTCTGATAGATTTTGAGCGGATTGGATCAATTTCTGCATCTTTAGCGCGAATACTGTCCCCATCTTGCGGTATAGAAACTCGAAAGGACCTCCCGTCCACTATGATGAGCGAGTGAGTGAGTATGAAGTATGAAGCATGACTGCATGAGGTATGAGGTATGAAGGATGAATTGGTAGCTCCAACCGCATCGGATTAGGTATTACTTACGTACTATGTAAGCAATGCTCTGGTACGGTACCATTCCCGATCGGATTAGCGCGTTTCTTGACGCGTCTTGTCGACTCAACATCATTTCGTGGGAGAGGGGGAGAGGAGGAAAGTTCACTTAACAAGAAGAGTGGAAGGCTTCAGTGCTACTATTAATACTTGCCATTGCTGCACTTCTACCTAACTTCTACCTCACTTTACCTTACCGCAGAACCATCAATCATCAGGGACCGAGCCATCTCCCTCTCGAACACCTTGGCTCACTCTTCTGCATCTCAGGGTCCTTGTTTGTTGATCCATCCCACCCATCCTTTCCACCCCCGCCATGGAGGGCGACGCACTGCGCGATGAGGTCCTTCGCGACCGCGTCCGCTTGGCGGAAGAGTTTTTGGATCCGAGTAAGTTTAAGTGACGCGTGTGAGCCTGCGCCGCCGCTGACAATGCACAGGCGACATGCGAGCTCGAAGGTGCGTGTCCCATGGACGAAGCATCGCCGCATGCTGACCGAATCCTAGCTACCGCGCAGAAATCATCGTCATGCTCAATCGAGGGATTCGAAGACTCACGGTATGTTCGGCTCCGGTATAACGGTGCGATCGGTTCTGACACCATCAGGTCAACCTGGACGAGATCCGAGCCCACAATCGAGCGCTCGCGGATGGGTATGGCTCAATCCAGGGTTCGGCGCTCCGAATCCCCCTCGCTCACGCATTCCAGCCTTCTGAACGAACCTTTCGACTATGCCGTTGCCTTCGATCGAGCCTTACAGAACATTGTTTCCACTTTGCCGAATCGCCCCAAACGAGACCAAATACATGAGATGGTAAGGATATCCGGGCTTCGTCGGGATTCATGCTAACATTCGGTGCGAAAGCTGTACTACTGTGCCTATGTAGGAAGTTTTGGCGAGTTTTCCTGCAATCCGCGAACGTTGTCATCGCATCACATCAACCACATGGTGTCCCTGGAAGGGATTGTCACCCGATGTTCACTCGTTCGGCCCAAAGTCGTGAAAAGCGTCCACTACAATGAGGCGAAGGAGTCGTTTGTCTTTCGAGAATATCGAGATGCAACCATGGCAGCGAATGGCCCGACGACAGGCAGCGCATATCCGACCGACGATGGGGGGGATCCGGTAACGTCCATCCCGTGCCTGGAATAGATGTCGCTAATCTCGTGTAGCTGCTCACCGAGTATGGGATGAGCACATATCGCGACCACCAAACCATCTCGATCCAGGAGATGCCGGAGCGTGCACCGGCCGGACAGCTTCCACGCTCGGTGGACGTCTTCCTCGACGACGACCTGGTGGACCGAACCAAGCCGGGCGACCGGATTCAGCTGGTGGGCATCTATCGAACCCTGGGCAACCGGAACGCCTCCAACAACAGCGCGATTTTCCGCACCTTGGTCGTGGCCAACAACATCATCTCGTTGGCATCGAAATCGGGCGGCGGGATCGCACAGGCGCCAATATCGGATGGCGATGTCCGGAACATCAATCGGATGTCCAAGAACAAACGGATCGTGGACTTGCTGAGCCAATCGCTGGCGCCGAGCATTTACGGTCACGACTACATCAAGAAGGCGATCCTGCTCATGTTGCTGGGCGGGATGGAGAAGAACTTGGAGAACGGGACGCACCTTCGTGGCGACATCAACATTCTCATGGTCGGAGACCCATCGACCGCAAAATCGCAACTGCTTCGTTTTGTTCACAATACCGCTCCACTGGCGATCACCACCACGGGTCGGGGTTCATCTGGAGTAGGATTGACGGCCGCAGTGACGACGGATAAGGAAACCGGAGAACGACGGTTGGAGGCGGGTGCCATGGTTCTTGCCGACCGCGGCGTGGTATGCATCGACGAATTCGACAAGATGAGTGACGTGGATCGGGTCGCCATTCACGAAGTCATGGAGCAGCAAACCGTCACCATCGCCAAGGCAGGCATTCACACCAGTCTCAACGCCCGTTGCTCCGTCATCGCTGCGGCAAATCCGATCTACGGGCAGTACGACACTCGCAAAGATCCTCACCGCAACATTGCCCTTCCCGACTCCCTGCTCAGTCGTTTCGACTTGCTCTTCATCGTGACGGACGATATCGACGACGCGCGGGATCGCACCGTTTCCGAACACGTCTTGCGCATGCATCGGTACAAGGCTCCTGGCGCGGATGAAGGCCAACCGGTCGTTGAACAAACCGGCCAGGTCCTTGGCGTGGGCGAACCCCGGCAGGACACCACCGCCACTACGGAAGTGCATGAGAAGTTCAATATCATGTTGCATTCAGGTGTCACTGTCACCATGGGGCGTGGCAGCTCGCGTCGCGTGGAGGTGCTGAGTATTCCATTCATTAAAAAGTATATCCAGTATGCAAAGAACCGCCTCAAACCCATCTTGACCAAGGGGGCGGCCGACCACATCGTGGCAACGTACTCGGCGCTTCGAAACGATCTGTTGGAGGGCAATCAACGTCGCACCGCTCCCCTGACGGCTCGTACTCTGGAGACGCTGATCCGTTTGGCCACGGCCCATGCGAAAGCCCGTCTGAGCAGTCGGGTGGAGACCAAAGATGCGCAGGTTGCAGAAGAAGTTCTTCGCTTCGCTCTGTTCAAGGAGGTCATTGCCGAAGAGCGCAGGAAACGTCGGAAAACACGGGCGGACAATGCCATGCTTTCGTCAGATTCCGACGATTCGTCTGACCACAATGATGATGATGATGATGATGATGATGATGATGACGATAGTGGTATTCATCCCGCACCGAGCGGTTCCCGGTCCCGCCGCCCTGAAGGCCCTCGAACTCGAAGTTCCAGACCTGTTGGGCCTTCTAGTGCGAATGGAACCCCGACTGGGGACGGTGAATGGGACGATAGCTCACAGTTTACGGGTGCTGCATCCTCATTACCGGCTTCCCAGCTGCCCCCAACTCAATCTGAATCATCTCAATCGCAATCGGTGACACAGCCACCATCACAGTTCCGGAGCGCCGCCCCAGTGTCCCATGATCTCGATGCAGATGAGACGGACGGGGATTCCAGCGCAGCGGAAGAGAGTGCTCCGATGCAACCGAGCGAAGAGCGCGTTCGCGTTTTCCAGAGAGCACTTGGCCAGATGATTGACAGCGCGGTCTTCGCCAATGATGCGGCTGACTTCGAACCCTTGTTGACCGCTGTCAATTCTCGGATGAGCGCAGTTGGGCAGGCGGTTTTCGCCGCTTCCGAGGGCGACAAGGTGCTCAGGGTCTTGAGCGACCAGAACAAGATCATGTAAGTTCCGTGCCTGCATGGGTCTAGAAACGACGACTGACAGTGTACAGGTACTCCGATGGAGTCGTCTACAAGATATAATGATCGCAACGACATTGCCAACGATGTGGAGTTTGGAGGATTGCGATATAGGATTAATCGACGGGGAATGGACGCCGCTTTTCAGATTTGGTGATGTCCAATGGTTCAGATATGGGAAATGGAGTTTACGACAACCACACAGCCAGGGCAGGGGTCATTCGAAACTGATATCAGCATGCATACTGCAAATCCAGCGTTGGAGCGACTACCTCTAACCATGAACTTGTCCACTGCTTTCGGTTGCATCTCACTGTCCACAGCTGAACCCTGATATCTGAACGGATGTCCCTAATGACACTAGCAATGGATTTCCGCTGCATGTTTGGCTTCCAACTTTCACCGATACTTGGACGCCTATCCCTGTTCTTGAAACATCGTGCAACTTTCTTCCGCCTTCATTAGCCTCAATTAAGGATTTGTCGACACATACGAGTAGTAAATGCAGGTCAGTGGGGTATTTTTCCATCCTTAATTTTGAATGTATGGTTGGATGCAGGTGACCCAAACTTGGGCGTAAACGACTTATCACATCGGCACCTTCGTCTACTGCTGTGTACCATGGAGTCTCGCCTTCCCCAAGCCACCCTCAAAATCACTTGAATTATGCAGATCTCCGCGTCGCTTAGCTGCAACTGGCATCGGGGAATGACAGTTTTGTTTGATCTACGGCAGATGCTTGCGTTTGAGCCAGGTCCAGCCGCCTAGGACAGTATCAATCAGATGATGACTAGATTCTTCCCTCTTCATTGTACTACATTCATCGATTTCTGCCAAATGCCAACCCGCGGTTTGGTGGCGCAAAGAACCAGTCGAGCAGTCCGTGGTGTAAGAACTGCGGAGCTGTGGAGATGGGGATGTCTGCTACCCAAGGTCTAACTCACGCGTCGACGCGTCGACGCGACTTCTACGTGTTCATTGATTTTCAATTCTAGTATAAACTCCACTATACTCTGTTCTCAATCTCGAACCTTCCTCTATCATCCCTCCATATCCTCATTGTCTTTCAATATCATCACGCCTGAATTCGAGGGTGTTCAATGCTCGCTGCAAGTGCTCACGAGCAAAGGCTGCACAAAAGTTGGATGCCAACTCGAGCCAATGGTCTACTTTGGAGGAATCTCGTACATCTGAAGACGGTTCGTCGATCGAAATACATGTATGCGCAAACTTCGGCCGATTCAGGGTTGCGATTTCGTGGAAAGACTTCATTGGGGAGTTTGTGGAAGTGTCAGTGCTATGCTGCAGCCGACAACGTTCCGGATGCCAACAGCGACTGCTTGCGCCAGTGTCGTGCTCCATCAAGAACAGATGTGGGCTCGTCGAATGAATCCGTCGGCTCGTTCCGAGCACCGGCCAAGTGCCCGGCTCTGTATCGGAGAGTCACTATGCCGTAGCAACAAAACGGGGTTCAATGGCATCAGCAAGCCCTTCTATTTCCAACCGATCGATTCTTTGGACCCCGAAGTTCATCATGCCGAGGCCTACATCCGGTTCGACTATGATTAAGTCAGGGACTGAAAAAAAAGGAGACTGAAGTTGTTCACTGAAATATTCCGGACGTATGAAGTCCAGAGTTTCTCGTTGGCGGTTGGAGCGGGGCTTCTCCAAGACCATGGTTGTTGGAAGACACTTATTTTGTCCGAGCAGAGAAGAGAAACCCGTTTGCAGAGTTCCTGTTCAAATACACGGCCCCCAAACGCCGAGTCAACAACAACCTGCGTTTTGTTCGCCTGGAATCGATCGCCCCTGAAGGGCGACAGTTATGGGAATTGCATCCCCAAAGGTCTTCGGGTCTTCCAAGCCCAATGACTCTAAATCCGGATGTGAGGATGATTTCATCCCAATAGAGGAGATTCTCTCCGAAGCTGAGGATGGTATCCAATCTGCCTGCCACTCGGAGTTGTCCCATCACAGTGATATGTTGCCTATCCTGGCGAAGGAAGAGATCTAGAAACGATCGATCTGTCGGAATGTGCTGAGATAATGAGGTAAATGGTTGGCAGAGAGCTTTGAAAGCCGTTGTTGACATTGGTGCCTAACCTTTCGGAACCACATAGGGGATTAAACGAAGCCACGAGCTCCAACCGTCCACAGTCTCTAGATAACTATTATCATTCTGCCCCAAAGTCTAAGCACCAACCATTTCCATCACGACTAGCGATTATTCCCACACGAACAGACACATCTAATGCGCCGCACAGCTGGAATATGGTATATCGTGATGGCACCGACTCGCCCGTTGATCGCGCGCCATGGCGGCAAGGCAGCACGGATACTGAGGGACACCAGGATAACTCCAGGTTCCCGACTACATGCACTACCTAATCCATTCCCACTAATCCGTGAAACCACAGGACTGCTACGAGGTACTCGTATGGCAAGAAGAAAGGAAAGCTTCCAGCCTCAGGGAGCATTTTTGCGCCGCCGGGTCTGACACACACCGCCTCGACGAGAATTGAAGTCACTAGCGAGATCAAGGTGACATCCATTATCTCTCCCTTTGTATTGATAGCACCTGGCCTCGACAGACCCGTAACAATGGCCAACCCATTCCATGCAACCCACTCACTTGGCATAGCGGGCTGATCCACCCCAATCGCCTCCAACAAATAGATGTGACACCCTCTTCATTCACTTTCGGCATGAGAGAGAACGAACCACATGCTAGAATGCATAGTACGACGTCTGGGAATTCGCTTGTAGTGAGAAAATCTACTACCAACTCCCCAGCGAGAGCTTCCGGTGAATCTGGTGCACGTGGCCTAGTGCCGGCGTTAGCGGAGGAACTGAAAGATCAAACTGACCAGGCAGGGCGGCAATTCCAGGGGGACGACCAGGTCCTTATCGCCACTGGTAATAATTTCACAGCGGAGGCATAGAGGGGCCATACCGAGCGTCATCCTCCACGGCAAGGAACTCCCAGGGGTTGACCTCTACGATCCAGGATCAACAGAAATTATATTCAGGTGCAATTTCGACGCGATCAGTGCCACCGTCCACAATCGGGCCTCGGGCAGCTCAGCACCAGGCACCTGACTTCCCATCTCACGGTCCAAATCCTACAAAAGGCCACAACATCTGGTTCGGTCAAAAGGTAGACAGGATCAAGTTGATGACCAAGTGAGTACTCGCTGCCCACTGAATGACATTCGTCTTATGTTTTCCAGTGTCTCATAGGGAATCCAACCACAATTGTAGCAGAGGAAAATGGTGGGAGAAACCCTTCACTCGCACAGATGCTGGAAATGGAGGTGGAGAAGTGGAGAGCTGTGGACTGTGTTTGTTTGTCATCGCCCTGCCGGCATAAAATCAACGACGCTACTATGACTGAGCTGGGCCAGGAGAGCAAGACCGAAACTGAGTTCTGGTAGCAGCTCATCCATATTCACAGCAAAGCAGTGCGGAACTTATTTTAAGAGACTCATTCGAGGAATCGACAGCTTTTGTGGTTACTGTATCTGTAGGGCTTGACTGATTTGACTAATTGGTCGGGCAAATGTTTTGGTTGGAGAAGCGGGATCAAGACCATAGATTTCAACTCTTTCTCGGTATGATATATATTTCCAATAATCTCATCGCACTTGTCTAAACTTTGATGGAGGGGACAGGCCAATTCCTGCCAAGTAGCTTCTCGTATGTGGCTCCCGTGGACAAGCAGGCCGTGAACATTGGCCGATTCAAATTCGGCCACCACTTGCCGCATATTCCGGACGGCGCTGCCAATCTGCTATTTTGTGCCAGGCCTCAGGAGCTTTTAGTGCGACGTGACAGTTTCTCACATCTGGACGGTCAAGGTATGGACTCCCGTTGGGCGGAAGGACGTGCGTGAGCCAGGCCGCGGGTCGATAGCACGTATCCGCAATGCATACTGGTGTTTTGGGCGTTTCCACTCTCGGCGATCTAAGTGACCATCTAATCGATCGAAGCCTGACTACCCGTGTCGAAACTTGATACTAGGCACGTCCAAATAATCACTATGGCTCCAGCCATCCCCATATGGTGCCCATCCTATGCGTCGAGAAACGCCCGCCTTCGATACTCCTCAGTCTCTCCAATACCCCCAACACCACTCCCTTCTATTCAAGATACCCGAATACCAGAGCTTCAAGTGCTTTATTTTCGTCCCTGACCATGCAGAAGACGGGTTATGGGAGCGTTTGCGCGAAGACAATAGGCGCGAGGACGTTGTTAATCGGAGAATCTCGATATGGATAAACCCCAGGGCGCCTGGGTCGCGCTTTCATGTGCACACCAAACAATTGAATTACATTTCAGACTATGTACAATGGTGAGAACACCTCGATAATTTCGTTTAGCCTTGAAGAACAGGCTGGCACTAACATTCAATTCACGTTAAGGGAAGTCATATTTGGGGACAATGAGGAATTTGGGATTCAACGAATCAATGCTGCGCCTTTTTCTGAAAGTAATTGGGAGTACACCGATTGTTTCAGGGGCAATCGGGAGGTTGCTCGGAATGGTGATGATTTTATTCATCGTTGGAAGTTTCCGAAAGAGCCAGAGGAGGAGCCCGAGCGGATCCGAAAGATCACGGTCCGGGCATACCGAGTTCGGATGCTTGGGGAGAAGCCTCTGGAGTCGGACTCGTTGGAATTTCTCGAGGATGCTACGGACAACAAATGTGCTGGTGTGGAATTTGAGAGGGAGCGTGCCAAGTCGAATGGAAGTCGCGATCGACATTCCTATGTGGTTGAAAACATCGATCCTGAAGATCGACCGTTTGCCGAATTTATATACCGCTTCAAATCACCGATCAAGGCCCGAAAAAGGCTTGGCCGACCCAGCAACCAACCACAGCAGAGGGTGTTCTTAGTCGACGAGGAATCTGATTCGGAATGTTCGGTTGTACCGCTCGATACCCCCCGACTCTATTCGGAACGAGATTCGACCTATACTCCTGGATTATCCGGCCATGTCTCTCGTCGCCTACCGACGCCATCCGAGAGGAAGCCCGATCAATAGAGTCAGACCAGCAGGCGCCCCCTGCAACGATTAGAAACATACTAGGAGTGCTCGGTGGGTTCTGACGAGGAACGGTATTCGCCAGCGGAGGCAGTCGGGCTGAGCAGCGTTCCTCCTATGGGTGATCATTCTTGTGGATCACCAGCCTTCGTACCACACCGCGATCTGACAGCGCAGACGCAATCGGGACATACGCCTGGAGGGGCTCCGGTAACCATGAACCGTACCCAACGGCCCAGTGCGAGCTCTTCCGACCGCAACGAGAGTATTCCAGCTCTGACCCCCGCGGACAGTTCTTCTTCGTTTGGACTCGTCGAAAGTATAGCACCCGATAGTGAGCGGCTGGGTTCCAACAACACTGCAGAGGAACAGCAGGGGGAATCGGTTCATACCTATATCAATCGAATCCAACATCTCAGGTGTCAGTTCGAGGACCCGCTCGAGACCATTTCTGGCACCGGAGAAACCATTCAGACCGGTGTGCTGTTCGCAGAGATCTCAAAGCACTATTTAAGCATTGCGAAAGCGCTCGAGGACAATCCATCTAAATTCGAAATTTTGACAGCTCGTGACTATGGTTGGCTGCTGACGAGCGTTCGTCCTGGTAAAAGGGCCATCGGTTCCAGTGCTGCAAGTCGTTCGGAATCATTGTCGCTGAAGCGAGCTTCACAGACGATTTCAAGAATGCCTAGACAAAAGCGATTGAAACGGCCTCCAATCCCAGAGACTAGTTCTGAGGGGGATTCCGACTTCTCCATGGATAGTGATCATATAAACTGGCGACCATCGGGAAGCGGATCGGAAAGCGACCTTCGAGGGACCAACGAGGGTGAGGAGGAATGGTTGATGATGAAACCGGACCTATCAGGGCACATCATTCCGCGTGGAACTTCATCGTTTGTCTCGCCTTACAACGCTTCAGGAAGATCTGGTGCTGCTCAGGGATCTACCGAATCACTGCGACAATCTGTAGCTTCAAGTTTAGCGGTCACGGATATTCCCCCGAACACCATTCTGGGCCATGTCGGGCGCTTGGAGATGAGTACGACGTTGAAGCGTAAACAACACAACATATCTCAGCAGCGTCGACCCCCTCCGTATGTGGAAATTGTGAAACGAGTTGATCGTACCAAGCGAGCGGAGCCGTCCAGTGCCCCAGTGGGTCCGGGTGATCGTCACAGCGGCACATCCGAATGCCCTCGCATGGGTCTAGCGGCGGATGTCAACCGTGAGCTAATGAGGGAAATTGACGAGGTTTTTGAGGCCGTGGAGCTTGGAGGTGCCAATTTTTAAAGAATCTCGAGAAGCGTGCGAAATATCATCGTCGAGCAAGTAATATGGCTGTTGTCACTTTCGACTCTGATAAGAAGTTCGATGGCATATCAGCATGCTTTTTGCTCTTCACTGCTTGTAAGGTGACTATACCGCAGAAGCATTCTCATCACAGCATGTAATATTAAAATACGAATAACAATGACAATGACATCCTGGAATCGGAGAAGCCTGGCTTGGGATAGTGCTAATTTCTAAGTGTTTCTTGGGCCGAGAGACGTGGATATCGCCTCATGATGTGAGCGTTGTCTCGGATCCGAAAAGGTCCTTGAAAGATAACTGAAAAAAGGACCACCGCATGGACTGCTGTCCCCATGGCTTCCGGAGGCCGACTTCTAAGTGCAACGGAATGGGAGGGATAAAAAAAAGCAACAGGCGAGAAGTATGACGCCGTCTTCAAAAACTTGCAGAGCGGGTTGTTTGTAAGAGACCCTTTAACCTGCCTACGGACGGTCGAGGGCTGCCGATTGAATTCGGGCCCTCAAAGAAACCGCAGCTAGGGTCGAAGCATTGATAGATCAGGACTCAGAAACGCTGGCCAATTAAGGCACTTGAATGGACTTCGAGTGTATTAGGGTTAGGAATGAGACTGGAACTGCTTGTATTGCACGGGATTGGAATTACTGAGGATATGACATCCACCGTCACAAAGGAATGGTCTGCGACGATAGGGGAACTACACAGGCAGGTGTTGCTGGTCCCTTCTAACCATGTTCCAAGCCCCCGCTGGATGCTGGCGAAGTTCCCTCGGGGCGATAAGTTAGAGCGTCGAATCCTCGATTTGGGGAGAAGACTACCCTGAGTGGAAGGAGAGAGTACATCATTGGGGCCAGGGTTAGAGTCTCCGGAGCGATACTGTGAGCCAGAAACCAGTCGGTAACACTTCGACCAATGCTATCCCACACTGGTGACGTTTGGGGTTGGATGAAGTATAAAGTCCCACTTGGGTGGCAGTCTGGATGATGTTCCCTTTCGGTGGCTTGTCAGAGTCCGAGCCTCAAAGCGATTCCCGCCACTGCTGTCACATGCCTTTTGAGAATCGAGGCGTAAAAGCTCTGTCTTTGCCCTCCACTGCGTTCCGACAGTCGACCGAGACGGTCCGAACTGAATATACGGATCCCATCGGGAGGGGAAACGGGAGGTTTACCATGTTTTATCGCGGCGAAATTCAAATCCCGGTTGGACGACGGCATCGGCGTGGAATAGGAATGAGCGGGAAATTCAGCATGAAAACCGGGATTCCTTCCGGCGCCCATCTCCCCAGGACCGGAGGTTGTCCGTTTCAACTAAGCAAGGATCTCATGAGGTATACAGAGCGTATCGTGACGCAGACAATGCCAGTGAGCATCTCCTATCTACACCGCCCAATCGATCGTAACATCATAATCTCGTACTTAGTCGGTCATGCTATCGCGACGATCCGTGTGCAAAGGAACATGGAGTTCGTGGCGGGGAACCGCGAGCTACAACCGAGGGAAAGCGGTCAGACGGTCGCTGTCGGGGCCTGCGCGGTCAACCGCCTCGTTTCTGTCAACACAGACAGATTCGTCCTCAAAAGCGAACTGCCCTCGTTAGCCTCGGTTTCATCAAGCAGACGTATAAACTCAACTACCACGGAGCACTTCCAGGCCTGCCACTGCCGTCCTCGACCGAGAATTCGCCCCCATATGATATATGTCGATGGCTTTCGGTTCGAATCGGCGATCTAGACCTGGTAAGACTCCTCTGCGCTAGTCGCACAATCCCCTCTAACTGCCTCGTCCGGACTCGGGACGTAGAAGATTTGGGCTGCCTGTATCCCGAAGTGTATAAACCCCAGCATAGTCCGTCATCAAAAAGGAATCGAAAAGGCAAGATCGGCAGTGGGCAGGTTGCGTTGCCTAGGAAATGCCGGCGCAAGCATCGCAACCGTTAGGATTTGATGCCGTCGTCGGACCATCAGCAAAGGCTGGTTGATCGAGCGTGGCTAGAGAAGTAGGAAGGAGAGAAGGAAGAGAAGAAAGGAAGAGAGTTCGGCCAACAGGCCAATTCCTGACAGATTTCTGTTTAGACCGAGCAATGTTGTTGAGGGGTCGATTCAGGAGGACAGGACTAACACACCCCTTGGTACCATCGCTGATGATTTATGACTATGAGACAGGTCTCGGATGCGACACTCCATGATTCTGGGAGCACCGAAACACACCGTTGATTTTTCAAGCCGACACTTGACTCTGGCTCCCAGCTGCGAGACAGAAATCTAGGAGGTTTGATATCAGCCACTAGTAGCCCTGGAAAGTATATCAAGGACAGTTTGATGAAGGACCACGACGGTACCTAGGCCCTGGCACGAAACTGCCGCGGAATAGCACCTATCTCCCATTAAACCTGGCACCATTTCGACTGCGCCACTACGCAAAATGGTGCCTTGATTTTGGATCGCGCCAGCTCTATTACCAGCCCTTTTACCGCCATCCTTCATGAGATGGCTTGGATTGCCGTTGAATCATGTATGTATGTCAATGAAGCTGACTAATCATTTGCCGGTTTCACATCACGTGCGGCTGGATATTTGATGTTCCGCCACCGAGCGGTATGATATCACATCCCCCATTATCACGAATTCACCATTCATTGTCGATCGAAACGAACAAAGAGATGCCGCCTGCCGATAGTATAGAAGGACTAGGAAGGTCAAAAGGAATGTTACAGGGACTGGGGATGATCAGTCGGAGTTCCGAAGCGCTCATCGACATGATTGATCATTGATAAGATGATCCCGTCCGTATTGTTCGACCACGCCCTCGACGCGGTCAGGTGGCCAGGAACCCGGACAACATGATAGGACCATCCTTGCTGGAACAGGCCGATCCTGTCATTCCAGTTGCCTAGTAAGGTTCGAATGAGAGACAACTGACACGATGATTAGATGAAAGGATGAGATCCATGGATGGCGAGGACACCTTTCTTGTCGACATGGATCCGTTTCTTTGCCGCTCCGCCATTGGCGAGTTAAACTTCCGGGGCCTGGACAGTGGACAGCCTTGACGCCTTGTCGAGATTGCTCAGCACGGCCTCCCGCCTGATGGACGTCGTTATGAATTAATATCATTGCGCTTGTCCAGTCCATGGCCTCGTTCCCTGATCCAGGACGACGGAGGAGACATTGGTTAGGGAAGGTATTAGCCATTGGGGAACTACTGGTTCCTTAGTTGGTTGGACACGTCCCACACACTCTAGCAGTCCAGGCAAGGCCAATTCCGCGAGATATCCACCAGTCGAAGCCGCGAGCCGGTGGATCACACGCGATTATGGATATGGCTAAACCTCGATATCCCCATGTTGGTTGGAATTTCAATGGTGCCCTGTCCCAATTTCCCCTCCCGTCTGCCAGAGTCCTGTCCTTTCAAATTTATGCCTAAGTTTCCAAGCCACACGGTCTGTGACACCCGTGACCCGATCCAGACCCCGGCACTCTCCCTTGTCCATCACTGACCACATCTCCAGAGAACCGGGCTCGACCATTCTCCAGCCGTATTGCCATGCATTCGGTATTGTTGATACCATGCCCTTGTCTACTGTATCAGTGAAAGGCTGATGGATATGAGATCCACTCTCTGGCTTGGCGTCCAAATACTGTTCTCACTGCTGCATTTAACCACACCGCAACAATAACGACATGGTTGCTAGAGACGATGCCGCAGACCATGAGTAATAACGCTATCACAGTGGGCCAGACCGAGTGGATTTACGGTGGTTTTCCATGGTTAGTGGTTCCGGTGTTCCACGTCCTAAATTGCGGATGAGGACGTGCTTGAGCCTTAACCATTCAGCGGATGATCGACAACACCGTCGCTTTGGTCACCTGGTGTTCTGGTAGCCTGTCCCAATTGGGAAGGCGACGATACGCCAACGTTCCTCAAGGGGTCAAGCTTTGGTTTCATGGACCTTCGTCGTCTCCGAGCGAGTCGAGACTCAATCGCCACACCTTATGTCCCCTGCATCTAGCCAACGCGTCATTAGTCTCTAAGGACTCCGTTAGCCGCCATTGGATATCTCGAGCAACGTTGCGCCGATCGGTATCTGGCTCTTTGACATCAGGCCGCTCTGATAGTCCTCGACACCGTGCATGAGCTTCTCTCCACCTCCTCGCATGGGCGGGGCGCATGGAGTGGGCGGCGGCGGGAGATGAGCGGAACCGCTCAATACTATGTAGGAAGTGACGTGAATTCCTCTGCCATTTCACAATTCTCCGGTCTTTTTCGATCTTCATGTCTAACAAAGGCGGTATTCCTAATTGGAAGTTTGAAGCCATGTGATAGCCTCCTAGTCAAACGCTCGTTCTTATCATCTTATGACGTCCTTTCAGAGTCGACTCTCGGTGCCGTTTGCCCAATGCCGTAGCAGCAGCATGCCAGTCGCCCAAGGTTACGCGACATTTCAGGAAGCTGGTTCTCACCAACCAAAACGGCGAGTCCCCCCGGCATCATCGCCCTACGTGCCTAGCATTCAGAAACGTCGTCGATCGTCCCTGTGATCTATATTGACATGCATCTGGCCAATACGACCGTGCAGATATGGTGACTGATCACTCCCTCATAAGTTTCGATCGTCGTTCCATGCATCCTGGCCTCGATATTATGCGATCCAATTGGCGGCGAATATCTGGATCGTACGAGGAGGACGATGTCCGGCTTTCCTTGCTAGGTAGGTCGGCTCCAACCGCGTCGTCGAGGGGCCTGCCGGATCGGCATCGTGAAATATCTGGACTGCCTTTGCCATGGGTATTGCAATGCATCCCCATTATGGGATATGGTTGCACTCGGTGATGAGTCCTGGGTAGGAAGGTCGGTCATCCAGTGTCTTCGCTCTGGCGGTGGTGCTGAAGGGAACATAAATACGGCCGAACCTTCGTCTTCGGTTACTGGTTCGGTATCCGGTTTCAATCGTCTTCCTCATTCATCATGCGTGGTTTTGCTGTTCTCGCTCTTCTGCCCTTGGCACTGGGTGCTCCCGTCATCATTCCACGCGCCGGTCAACTCATTCCAGGCAAATGGATCGTCAAAATGAAGGACGACGTCGCGGGGGAGATCTTGCAGGAGGCTCTCAACTTCCTCTCTGTCGAACCTGACCACATCTATGGCATCGGGAGCTACCAGGGGTTCTCCTCGACCATCGACGACGCGATTGTGGACTTGCTCTCCAAACTCCCCGGCGTATGTATCTCCCCTAAAACGAGGATGGGTGCCTAACGAATCTCCCAGGTCGAATACATTGAGCAGGACACCATCATCACGACCAACACCGACATCACCCAGCCCGGCGCTCCCTGGGGTCTGGGACGCATTTCTCACAAAAATCCCGGCAGCACCGAGTATGTCTACGACGACGGCGCCGGCGAGGGGACCTGTTCCTACGTGATCGATACCGGCATTTACACGGGCCACTCAGTACGTTTCCTGTAAGAACCTCAAGTCGGAACTGACGCATGATGCAGGAGTTTGAGGGTCGTGCCACCTTCCTTGCCAACTACGCTGGGGATTTGATGAACACAGACGGGAACGGGCACGGCACCCATGTCGCGGGGACCATCGGGGGAAAGACGTACGGTGTCGCAAAGAAGACGAAGCTCTTCGCCGTCAAGGTCCTGAACGCGGGCGGCTCCGGGTCCAACTCGGGCGTCATCGCCGGCATCAACTTCGTCGCCAAGGACGCCAAAACCCGCAGCTGCCCGAACGGAGCGGTCGGGAACATGTCGCTCGGCGGCTCCAAGAACCAGGCCACCAACGATGCCGTCAAGGCCGCCATCGACGCGGGCGTCTTCATGGCCGTGGCCGCCGGCAATGATGGCAAAGACGCTAACAACTACTCGCCCGCATCCGAGACCACAGCGTGCACGGTCGGTGCGACGGACAGCGACGACGCCATTGCCTCGTTCTCCAATTTCGGGAGCGTCGTGGATATTTTCGCTCCCGGGGTCGACATCTTGAGCAGCTGGATCGGTGGCACCACCGCGACGGTACGTTACCCTCGGTCGTCGAGACCATCGCCGCTAATCACCATCGCAGAACTCCATCTCCGGCACCAGCATGGCCACTCCTCACATCGCGGGATTGGGCGCGTACCTCTTGAAGAAGGATGGCAAAGTCTCCCCGGCTGAGCTCTGCGCTCGCATCAAAGAGTTGGCGATAAAGGACGCCATCTCGGGCGTCCCGAGTGATACCGTCAACTACATAGCCTTCAACGGCAACCCCTCTGGTTAACTTGTGTTGGCTTCAATATAATGGGGGTGGTGGATTCATTTGAACCACATTTCTTAGTCGATTTGAAATTCCGCTGCAGCTGAGGATCTGGGGGAATTGATTCGTTTGATTCCTGATTATGAATAGACCGGACCAATAAGAATTTGATGCTTTAATGAACATATGCATTGCACGGCTCGGGTGAAGGCTGTCGTATCTAGGGGTGTTCCCGATACGATATCGTCACGATCTTGCCATAATCGGTTATTGTATCGGTGAGGAAGAATCCCGCCGATTTATATCGGCCAATCATATCCGCAGAGACACGTCCAATGCGAATAAATATCGGCAAGATCGTCGCCGATACGATTATCGTCTCTGATATTGGCGCTAAATCATGAGTTCGTCCTAATTTGGTATTCTCTCCTGTATATCTTCTCGCAGCGACGGTAATGTCTATTACGCGCAATATTATAGATTCTACATATATTTTACAGTGACTGATAACTTTCTAGACTTTTTTTGGCAGCATAACAATCATGGCTTTGAATGAGAATAGAGCAATGGTTACCCGCCATAACCAACAGAATTACCTCTTACTTAATGATGGATACGATGAAGCTTTACCAGAAGATCAAATAACGGAATCTGGTTTTGAATCTTTGTCAATCTATCATCATCTGAAGTTCTGCCCTCAGAGTCAGTTTCACATGCCCTGACTCATTCCGAATTGGCTTTGTAACTGGTGGCGAGTACACAAGGATGAACTGCCTCAAATGGTAGAAGCAAGAGAGTATCTACTAATTCCATCGTCAGAGGTGTCAGTGGAACGATTATTCAATGTGGCAAGAGATATATTAGGTATCCGGAGACATTCGATGAAGGGTTGTACAATGCGGATGTTGACGTTGATAAATGATCCCTATGCAAACGCCCTAGAATTCTAGCAGCCAAGTTATCCAAAAACCTTTATAGAAATCAGATTGAAGCTAGTCCTAATGAAGTAGTTTACCGATTCACCGATTCGCCGATGTTGATAAAATTTAACGAATAAAATATCCGTAGAATAGAAAGGCTGCCGATATGAATCGGCGAATCGTATCCGCAAACCTGAAAGGTTGACGATATGGATATCGGATCCGTGCCGATACTCTATCGTATCCGTAAAATCGGGAAATCGGCCAATCGGGAACAACCCTAGTCGTACCCACTCCGATCCTTCGATCCTGGATTCCTGATGTGGTAATATTAATGAATGCTCATCCTCGCTGATAAAGTTGAAATGCGGGTCTTTGACGTAGCGGCAGATTTGCGCTTAAATACATTGTGCCTTCGGCCTTCGGAAGCAACACACCCACTCCCACTCGGTAGATTCGAAAACGTACACGGAACCCCAAAACGGACAAGTAGTAGCAAAGACGATAAGTGCAAAGATGTTATCTCTCTCATTAATCATGGGCACGATGGGTTTGGCAAAGGTCAAGTTGATTACCGTGTTCTCCCAACAGCAATCTCCCTTATCGTATGAGCGATAAAGATTCTCCGATTGTGAGGAGTGTATTCTCGTTATGCGAAAGGCGCTTGCGAGTGGCGTTTATTGTAGAATGGCTTCTTGGGTTGAACGGACGCGAAAAAGCACTTTCAGACTGGCGTTTATAACGACTTCATGGATCTGACCGGTCCTCAATTCTCATATGAAATTTTACCTTGCGACTCGTGGAGAAACACCTCATCATATCACCATTCCGTTCCTCGTAACATCGATCGGCAAGACCCATCTCCACACCCCCGGATCCCAAAGATAAGCCACGTTGTGCACACTAGACTACGACTCTACGAGTGCTCCAACATGTGTAGATCGAATCCTCCGCTGCTCAGGTCCCACTTCTCAGCGTGCCCAGGCGATATCAGGCCGAAATCATCCTAGCGAATCATTAGTATCCATCTGACCTCCCTGCCCATTTCCTTCGTCCCTTATGGATGCCGCATCTCGGACGGAAATGATGGAAGGAATGCCCCGCGATGCGGTTAGATAGCACTTATCAGGCCGTTAGTGACCAGTTGGCGGGTCGGATATTGGGGGCCGTGCGAAGTATAAAAATGAACGGGATGGATGGAGTTGCCATGGAAGAAAAAGAAGGTCAACTTTTCTCGATTCCGCCGCTATGAAGTCCACCACCCTCTTCGCTTCGCTGCTTGCGGCGGCTTCGGCCCTCGCAGCGCCAGTGCAGCGCGCGGAGTACAAGCCCGTCCAGAGGACGCTAGAGGGGGACGACATGTTCGAGCTGGGAGGCATCCAATACCTCGCGAATAGTCGACATCCCAAAGCGGTCCTGGAGGGTGATTGCTCCAAGGCATCGAGTGAATCCGTCGTTCCGCTGACCGTCGTTTACACGGCGGAATCGTCGATGGATGCGGCCTACCTGGAGGGCGTCTTGGGCAGCTTCGCACGGGAGGACGACGTGTATTCCGAGGACTTCCTGCACGCGCTGTACATCCGTTCCGAGTCGAACAGCCTCGATCTAGATGCGTCGGTGTTGTCGATGCTGGACTCGTTGTCGATCCCCAAGCTCTTCGTCACCCCCGAGGTGCGCGTTCCGAGTGGAGACCACCAGGTCACCGTGATTCAGGTCCAGAAGCCGTCCGTGCAACCCGCATCCGGTCCATACGCCGCGGTCATAACCCAGCAGTCGGTTTCGCTCGGAGCGGTCTACCGGTTGTACGAGGATTCATACAAAACCTTCCTCTACGGCACCTATGATTCCAACGACGGAAGTGGAACCTGGACCGAAGCGGGACGGTCCAAGGGCTGGAATCCTCTCATCCCGTACGTCTTCCGAACCGGCAGTGGAAGTGCTGGCTAACATGTGCAGGGTTCCGTCACGGATCTACAACTTCGGCGACACCCGGCCATTGGCGGGCAAGCGGGTCGGCGTCAAGGATCTGTACGGAATGAAAGGGCTGGTCACATCCGGTGGAAGCATCGCATATGCGCAGGTGATGCCGGTGCAGACGGAAAACGCACCCAGTATCCAGCGCCTGGTAAGACGAGCATCCCACGACCGTGACGTTGACTGACATGCCGCGTAGATCGATCAGGGTGCGGTGCTCGTTGGAAAACAAAAGCTGGCGCAGTTTGCGTCGGGGGCCAATCCTTGGGATTGGTATGATGAGGTGAGTCGATCCATGCAACCTGCGAGAACATTGCTCATTCGTCCAGCAATATCCGTTCAATCCCCGTGGCGACGGCTGGCTCACATGCTCGGCTTCATCGGCTGGCGGCGGTTGCTCCATTGCGGCCTATGACTGGTTAGATTATGCGATCGGTTCGGACACGGGGTCATCCATGCGACGTCCGGCGGCGGTGTCGGGGACATACGGGTACGTCTCATATTCGGCAATGCATGGAGCGAAAGACTGATTGCACAATAGAAATCGGCCGAGCCAAGGCTTCATGTCACTCGAGGGCGTGATGCCATTGGGAGGCTCCACCGACACGGCAGGCGTGTTCTCGCGGTCACCATACGACTGGGTCAAATTCGCCCGAGCGTGGTACACGCCCGAGTTGTATCAGGATACCAATACCACCGGACTGGAACCCCTCGTCGTCCCTCCGGGTCCTCTAGGGGGGGATGCATTTTCGGCCGATGCCCCAGCGCTTACGGCGTGGCCGTCGACGATCCTGTACCCGGTCGACTACCTTCCTCTCAACAACTCGGCGGCACAGCCGGTCCTGGAGGAGTTCATCGCCGGACTACAACGGGTGTTTGGGATGCAGGTGCGCGAGTTCAACTTTACGGAGTCGATCCTCACCGCATCGGATCCCGTCGCTCGCAACGTCAGTGCCTTTAGCGGTGCGACGAGCGTCATCGCCGGGTATTCACAATGGACCACAGTCGGGGAACCGCTGGTCCGCGAGTATGGCGCCAAATTCGACGGTCGCTTCCCCCCCATCGACCCTTCGGCACGGTCCGGGTGGTTGCGGTACGCCAACGCCACGTCCGGGAGGACACCGTACACCTACGCGGAGTACGTCGAGGCGCAAGCGGTCCGGAAATACGCGGCGGACTGGTACGATAGCGAAATCCAGCCGTCGTCCGACACGCAGTGCAGTGAGTCCATCATGCTCAACGACATCGGGACGGGAGGGAAGCCATCGTTCCGCGAACGGGACCTCAACGAGGATCCGGCGGCGTCGTACTTGGCGACGAAGAAGAAGAACACCCTCATGACGGAAGCCAACATCTGCCCGATTTACGCGTGTGCGGATTACACGATCCCCATCGGTCAAGTCGAGTACGTCAGCCCGATCACGCAAACAACGGAGATGGTCCCGGTCACCATCAACATCATCGTGCGCCGCGGATGCGATGGCATGCTCTTCGACCTGGTGGAGAAATTGGCGGACGAGGGGGTTCTGAAGACGGTCAAAACGGGGCGAGTCGGCTTCTAGGAATGACCGTGTAGAACTGCATCACAAATCTGTAAATAGCGAGGCCAATCTGGAGGCATCTAATCAGTAATTAATCATCATCAGCCAAGATCTGTTTCTCATCCAGCGACTTTGGTGGCCACGTCTTCCATTGCAACCGCAGATTGACTAGTGCGAGCCTCCTTAATCAAGACCTTGTACAACCACTCCGGCATTCGTTCGGTCGCATCCAGGTCCACGCCCGAGTGGTCCAGTTGATCCGAGTCCATGGGAGGAGTGATTTTGACCTTGCCTTCGGCAGTGAATGCGAACTGCGCACACGCGACTTTAATGACGCTCACGGCCGGATGTCGCAGGGAGAATGCCAAATGCTCGCTGATGTATCGATCCAACGCGGCGGTGAAGGGACCGGAGATGGGCGGGTCCGTCTTCGATTCGGACTGGCCACGATCGACAAAGGACGCAATATCGTCGTGGGTCAGGGAGATGTCGACGGTCCGTAGCAAGGGGTCCGTGGAAGGGAAGGCAAGTTGGATTTGGACGCCGCCGACGGTCGCTAGATCATCGTTTGGTGAGGAGGCGAAGGATCGCTCGAGAGATGCGGTGAGAAAAGCGCTTCGAAGTCGGAGGGGAGCGATATGAGCATCAAATGCGCGCTGGAGATATTCGATGACGGTGTCGCGAAGGTGCGTTGGCATGCGGAGAAGAAGAAGCGGGAACGAGGAGAAGCCCGGAGTGGGGGATGAAGGTTCGGGATCTTTGAGGAGCAAGGCGGAGTGTACGGCACGGTCGTACTGAAGTTCGATGCGAATCCCCACGGCCTCTGCCAAGGTCGGTTGCTCGGTGGATTGGGAGAGGTCGTCCTCATGTTCGCCAACCGTGAACGCATGTGCTCGATGCCAGGTCGGTTCGTCGCCAAACCGCTCCCAGGTGCATCGTTGGAGGGTGCCAGTGACCGGAGCGACCATGGAATCTCCCGTGGAGAGCTGGACTCCACGAACCGAGTCACCTCGCAAGACATCGCGCAAGCGGCGGGCGTGTTGCGAGAGGGAGAGATCGGAGGATGGGTTGGATGGACGATGGTATAGTGGGGAGACTCGAAAAGCAGTGTAGGTGGTGCCATAGACGGGGTACGGCGGGTCGTTCTCCATGGTGGCGGAGGGAGGGTTGTAGGGGCCAAGGGGAATGGTGATTCAAGTGCATTTGGTACATTACATGAAAAACATGAATCGATTAGTACCATATAATAAAATATAAACATTGACGAAGCCACAAAGGGAAGGAGACAACGGGAACTGAACGTCATTCGCTGGGCAGGTGCAGCCGTGCAGGTGGAGGCTGCAAGATTCCAAGGCATCAAGATCCCTCCATCAAATGTCTAAGGCTCCAAGGCAAACATGTTGGTTGAACTGGGAGAGTCACATGACCACTTATGATCCTATCACATGATCTCGATCACATGATCCCATATGATCTTTTCCAACGGAGCCGGAGTAATCTTCTTCTTTTCCGCTCCGGCTCCGGCTCCCTCATCCAATCGTCTCCCCATTCATCCCCCATTTTCCAGCAACGGAATCATCACATCGGCCTTCCACTCCGCTTCCGAATCGACACGAATCTGCAAGAATTCACAGAAACCCCTCGGATTGGTGGAGAGGGTACACCATTCCCTTTGATTGGTGGTGTGTGTTCCCTTGTTGGGCCCAAGTCCCAACCGTCTGAACTGTGAATCGTCATCTGCATCCGCCGCCGACTCGGTAGAAATTCTCTCTGGAAATCCCTTCAGATGTGAAGTGTATCAATACCGAGTCGAGAGAGAGAGCAGAGGGCAGAGTCCAGACCCCAGAGGGCAGAGTCCAGAGTCTTCGCGGTGAACAGGAACTGAGCAATCGTCAGCTGTGACCAGACGCCTATACACAATTCCAAGTGTTAATTGCTTGCTCCTCTATTGAACGGAACAATCGGGTTGCGTTTCTTCCCGTATACAGAACAACAGTCCATCCACATGCAAATGGCGCTCATGATTCAATCAAATCCATCGTTCTAGCTACCCACTAATTAATCTTCCTCCGATCCCTTCTCCATTTCTTCTCTCTTCCTTCATCTTCGCCTCCTCGGTCGTCACACCACGGCGGACGCTTCCCTTTATATTGTCTCCATCCCACCACCCCATCCTTCACTCTCACCTGTCCTCCACTCTGTCCTTGCCCAGCTGGTCTGAGTCCTGTTTATCACCACTTTCATCTGCTACCCATCTGTCCGAATCCGTAGTCGTTTGGATCTCGGTGGCTTCGTCTTCCGAACTCACGCCCATCATGTCGGGCCCAATGGTCGACGGGTCTCTCGATCCCGCCGTTCTTCCCCAGCCTTCCACCATGGACGCTCCGACCGATACCACCCAGAAGTCCACTGGCAAACCCAAACCTCACATCGCCGACACCGTCATGACGCGCCGGAACTGGTACCAGCACATCAACTGGCTGTAAGCTTTTCCGTCCATTGCCACGGTCGTCGACCACGCTGACCACGATGCAGAAACATCACATTCATCATGGCCGTCCCTCTGCTCGGCTTCATCAAGGCGTACTCCACCCCGTTGTACACCAAAACCGCCGTCTTCGCCGTCATCTACTACTTCATCACCGGTTCGTCCATGTCTGCCACATGCGCCTCGGCTGTGCTAACCACTCGTGCAGGTCTCGGCATCACTGCAGGATACCACCGATTATGGGCGCACACATCCTACTCCGCCAGCGTCCCATTGCGGATCTTTTTAGCTTTGGCAGGAGCCGGCGCCGTCGAAGGCTCCATTCGCTGGTGGTCGCGAGATCGTATGTCTCCCTTTCCTTCGCATGGCGAGTCGACAGCTGACCGTGACAGACCGAGCGCACCACCGATACACCGACACCATTAAGGATCCCTACAGCGTTCGCAAAGGGCTGCTTTACTCGCATCTCGGCTGGATGATCATGAAGCAGAACCCGAAACGCATCGGCCGCGTCGACATCGCCGATCTCAACGAGGACCGCATCGTCGCTTTCCAGCACCGCCACTTCCTGAAGGCCGTCATCATCATGGGCCTCGCCTTCCCTACCCTGGTGTGCGGATTGGCCTGGAACGACTGGATGGGCGGCTTCATCTACGCCGGACTCATCCGCATCTTCATCGTCCAGCAAGCCACCTTCTGCGTCAACTCGCTCGCCCACTGGCTCGGCGACCAGCCCTTCGACGACCGCAACTCCCCCCGCGACCACGTCATCACCGCTGTCGTCACCCTCGGCGAAGGCTACCACAACTTCCACCACGAGTTCCCCTCCGACTACCGCAATGCCATCCAGTGGTGGCAGTACGACCCCACCAAGTGGTTCATCTGGACCATGAAGAAGCTCGGTCTGGCCTCCGACCTCAAGACCTTCTCCGCCAACGCCATCGAGATGGGCCGCGTCCAGCAGCTCCAGAAGAAGCTCGACCAGCGCCGCGTGAAGCTCGACTGGGGTGTCCCCATCGACAAGTTGCCCGTTATGGAGTGGGACGACTACATCACCCAGTCCGAGAACGGTCGCGCCCTCATCTCCATCGCCGGTGTCGTCCACGACATCTCCGACTTTGCTGCCCACCACCCCGGCGGCAAGGCCATGATCCGCAGCGGCATCGCCAAAGATGCCACCGCCGCCTTCAACGGCGGCGTCTACCGCCACAGCAACGCCGCCCACAACCTGCTCGCCACCATGCGGATCGGCGTCATCCGTGGTGGCATGGAGGTCGAGATCTGGAAGCGCGAGCACCAGCAAGGCGCCTACATCAAGGACGAGGGCGGCAACCGGATCATCCGTCCCGGCGCGCAGGTCACGAAGATGGCGGAGCCCATGGCCACGGCCAGTGCGGCTTAAACGAACCGCAAACGCATGGAAAAGTTCGGCATGGCATCGGCGTTACGGGGATTCTATTAATATACGAACCTTTATGGCGATGAATTAGATGGAATTGTATCCACGGTTGCTTGATGTTAAGTGACGCTTAGCCAGTCTGGAATTCTGTTACCGTCTTATATCGGTATCCATCATGATTTGACATCCGCTCCCATTTCCGACTCCCAGTAGCGCAAGACCTGACCACATCTGGAAACGGGATAAGCTTGATTTGTTTAAATAACCAATTAAAGCAGAAACAATCTAATACTCCCGGCGCCTACGTTTTGTTAAAAAGGAGGGTAATCCGCGTTAAGATTGGCCAGAATCTTCGTAATTCAGAGACTGTACTGGCTAGACCGGTTCCCGGATGTCGTCCAGTCTTCCGGTATACGATCATTATTCCCAGTCCTCAACTAAGATCCTGGCTCGACACACAGGATATCTCGCTCCGGAACATTCATGGATCTTGGGTTCAATAGGTCATGGCCAGCACGTCCTCACGCTGGCAAATTTCATTTCGTGACTACGTTGGATAGAATTACACCTAGGTTGGTGTTCGGACGTCGTCCGTCCACCCGTCATGCGACTTAATACGCACGCACAGCGTGCGGTCGCCGCCCATTGTACGCGTTCCGAACCGTCCCCAGCTCCACTTCCGCAAACGTCACCTCGAAGGACTTGGGGTCCGCCGGCATCGGAGGGGAGATGTTGAACCCCGTCCCTCTCGCCCGGATACGGCGTTCCGCCACCACCAGTTTCTTCCGGAAAATAAACGTGGTGAGCCAGCGGGGGAGGTACTGACCGGGATGCCAGATCGCCTGGATGATATATACAGCTGGGAGTGGTGAGCGATGGATTTCCAGGAGTCGCAATCAGCTTACCGAGAGTTGGAAGGACGTCAAACACCCAGAAGATCCATTCATGCTTGTTCTGGGAAGCCATCGGATTCTTCAACTCCTGGACAGTGACGATCGAATGCGTGGCACGGAACTGGCATTGAGTTTAGCGGTGTCCCGTCCGTGAATTCCTCGGCGCTTACCATCAGGATTAATGCACTGGCCTCGACCGCCACGAGCAGTTTTCGCCACTGCTTTCGGTCGGGATAGCACGCCCACGACTCGCTCTCGATCAAGAACCGAGTCGCCAGGACCACAAAGCACGCCAGCGTGATCCATTGGATCCACACGGCGAGAAGGACGATATTGTCCAGATGGAGCTTGCCGCCGGCGGCGCGGATGATTTCGGCCGCGGCAAACATGAGTCCGAGCAAGAACGTGACCCAGTCAGACGGCAGCCACAGGTGACGGATCGTGATGCATTCGTCTGGGGCGACGAACCAGATGATCCGGGTGAAGGTCATGAACAATCCGATGGCGATCATGGTTGGGGGGATGCTGTTGCAATCAGCGCCAGAACCTCGAACGTGGGAGAGCCACCTACCCAACGGCGATCGAGTAGATGATGTACGGTTCCATTTCACCCAGGTGAATCGCAGCGAACGTCCGGATAGACAATGCCACCGTCGTAACTGCAGGAGGTCAGCGGTGCCACTCACTTCCACGCATGAACTCGTACTCAGCGACGCTTGTGCCCACAGATGGAAGTACCAGCTCCGATATTTGATGCACTGAAAGACCGCCGTGATCGTGATTAGGCCAAACACCGCGGTCCCGATCACGTTTCCAGGGACATTCGGCTTGTACATGAATGGATTGATTGGTCCAGCCCCGAATCCAGGTGGAAGACCGCCAGCTGACATCCCACCCGGCATCATTCCAGGAGGCATACCAGGAGGCATACCTGCCGGTACTGCTGATTCTGAGGCCATGACGATGGATACGTTGACTGTGGACGAGTATAAGGGGTATTCCCACGCTGGAGTCTTATTGACTTTCTAACCACCTTCCAAACCATGAGCGAGATTCGCTGGACATATATCCTGTCATCGCCGCACCGGATGATGCTTGGCAGCATAAAAGTCAGTGTCCACATCATTCTACGCGATACGCATGCACAACTTTGGGGCTCTGGGAGCACGCATAGAGAATGTGGAGAGCGTCGATCACCCCGTAAGATCAGTATCGCACCTAAGCAATCACAAGCATATCTAGTTGAGAGCTTCATCTAAAGATTTACCGTTAACGTAGAATATACAGCCCTGCGAAGTCTGAGAGTCTAGAAACATTTTAGGGAGGGGGGAACCCGAACCCAAACCAGACTAAAGGCTTGGCTTGGAATGCAAAGATAGAGGTGATTAGCTGAAGTCCCTCGTGAATAATGACGATGAAACTAGGCAGGGTAGTCGAGCAATATAACATCAACGACAATGCAAGCATAGCGTCGCAAATCACTCGGCAATCGTAAGGAAAGGTAGACATTGCAGATTCCAAGAAACACCATCAAACAATGCAAGAACAAAAATACGAGTGATGGAAGACTGATCCCAACAACGGTTGTGTTGAAACATGAAGTCGTCTCAAATGGAAAGATAGAAATCCGGATGAGGAGTGATGTCCGTAGAGCATAGGGCAAGGCCCACCTGCATGATAGTATTCCACTCATCTAGAATGCATCCGGACGTCGTCGAGATGCGATTGACTCTATTTGCTTGACCGTGACGCATGGGGTGGGCATACGGAATAGGTATCGGTAGTTACTATTAGGTAGGCATCAATTACCATAAATGATTCCTCCACGTCACGGAGCATTGAGCAACGACGGGATCACCTAATAGGCGCGTGAAGATCATCATCTGCCTCGATGGTTCCACTTCATGCCGGCCATAATTAATAACTGATCAAAAGTACGGAGGTGCATGGTCTAAATGAAACGGGATATGGAGTATCACCTACCCTACTCAAGCAGAATGTTCAGGTGGTTTCAACTTTCAAAAGGCCGTTGCGGGATCAGACCAATCATGAGTCGTCTTTTGAATATTTCATGGGGTGAGCCAATCATCCGTTGGCTGTGAAAGCTACGACATAGATGAGCCAATCAGAACTGCGATATTGACAGCTGTTTATATCGGACCAATCAATGCAAAGCTACTTGAAGTCACAGCCATCACGTGCGCATCCTCGCCAACAACCGCATCGACAGAGGAAATGGTGAAATCGATTTTCCTAACATTCAGATCCCGATTTGGGAGACACGAGAAGAATTGGCCCGAAAAATGGTGAAAAGAGCAGGATGTGATTGGTTAACGGGCGGGCCATGTATCTTGGGAGTCGAGACCATAACTTGTTGGGATGGAGGGGAACCCGAAATTTTCCAGAGCATCATCCCATCACAAAGTCCATCCCACCTCCACCCTTCCCCCACAATCTTACCACACACTTCCCAGCCAATTTTGAAGGACACACCGTAACTGTAATCGATCACGGACGAGACCTTCCAAATGTCTTCGAAAACCGCCATCATCTCCGTCTCCGACAAGAGCGGACTTTTGGACTTGGCCAAAGGTCTTGCCGATGTCGGCGTTCGACTGGTTGCGTCCGGGGGCACCGCCAAAGCCATTCGAAATGCTGGCATTGCCGTCGATGACGTCTCGAGCATCACCAATGCTCCCGAGATCCTTGGTGGGAGGGTCAAGACGTTACATCCAGCCGTGCATGGCGGTCTCCTGGCTCGGGACATCGAGAGCGATCGGAAGGATCTTGCCGACCAAAAGATCGATGCGATTGACTTTTGCATCTGCAACCTCTACCCGTTCGAGCAGGCCGTCGCGAAAGATGGCGTCACCATCGATCAGGCGGTGGAAGAGGTGGACATCGGGGGCGTCACGCTGCTGCGAGCCGCCGCCAAAAACCACAAGCGCGTCACGGTTCTGACCTCGCCTTCCCAGTACGACGAGTTCCTCTCCGAGCTGAGGAAGGGCAATGGCTCGATCCCCGAACGAACTCGCGAACTGTATGCCTTGAAGGCGTTCGAGCACACCGCCACCTACGACACCGCCATCTCGAACTTTTTCCGCACCCAGTACACCTCCCCTCCAACCGACGAGCCCCACAACATCGCCCTTCGATACGGGACCAATCCACATCAGAAGCCCGCGGCCGCGTGGAAGGTGGATGGGCCCTTGCCGTTTACCGTCCTCGGCGGCTCGCCCGGATACATCAACCTTCTCGACACGCTGAATGCCTGGTTCCTGGTCAAGGAAATCCGCGCAGCGCTCGGTATCCCCGCCGCCGCCTCGTTCAAGCACGTGTCCCCCGCCGGTGCTGCTGTCGGAGTGCCCCTAACGGAGGAGGAGAAGAAGGTGTACATGGTGGAAGGAATTGCCGGGCTGGATGAATCGCCGTTGGCGTGCGCCTACGCCCGAGCTCGAGGCGCCGACCGGGTCAGTTCGTTTGGCGACATCATCGCTCTTTCGGACACGGTGGACTTGCCGACCGCGAAGATCATCTCGCGTGAAGTGAGCGACGGTGTCATCGCGCCGTCATATTCCCCCGAGGCCCTCCAGGTTCTCACGAAGAAGAAGGGAGGCAAATACCTGGTTATGCAGATGGACCCAGCGTACCAGCCGTCGGAGTATGAAACCCGCACCGTACATGGCGTCACGCTTCGGCAGAAACGGAACGACGCCACGATTTCCCCGTCGTCCTCTTTCTCTTCGTTGAAAACGGGGAGCTCGCTCTCCGAAGCGGCAGAGAGAGACTTGACGCTCGCCGCCCTCGCCCTGAAATATACCCAGAGCAATTCGGTCGCCTTCGCTCGAAATGGGGGAACCATCGGCATCGGCGCCGGGCAGCAGAGCCGCATCCACGTCACCCGTCTGGCTGCCTCCAAAGCGGACGTCTGGTGGATGCGATTCCATTCCAAGTGCACGTCGCTCAAGTTTGCGCCCGGCGCCAAGCGACCGCAGAAGACGAACGCCATCGATCTCCTCTGTTCCGACTCGGTCCCGACCTCCGGCGACGAGCGGACGGCGTTCGAGCAGGCCTTTGCGAGCCCGGGCGACGTTCCGGAACCGTTCACTGCCCAAGAGAGGAAGGAGTGGCTCTCGCAGCTAACGGATGTCGCCGTGGTCAGTGACGCATTCTTCCCCTTCCCGGATAACGTCTTCCGAGCTGCGGAGAGCGGAACGAAATTCATCGGGGCGCCCATGGGGAGCCAGAACGACCCGATCGTCCTCCAGGCCGCGGAGGAGCAGGGGATTACGTTTGCGGAGCTTGGCATGCGACTGTTTGTGCACTAGGATTGGATTCAAGCACATAGACGAGACTATATATACCACGTCTCCGTTCATAAAGCGCTTGACCTACCGTGGGAGGAGCATGGTACAAGGTAGTCTTGTGCATTTGATGACGAGTCTCAACCGTGCAATGATGATAAGCGAGTAACGTTGGGAAACCAGGCAATGTATTGGTACCACGCAACCCATGATGGGGTCGAAGTCATATCTGATTAGGCGCCTGGCGCCTCAAAAATGTTTAGCGATGCGAAGAAACGAGTAGTTTCGCTCCTGATGAGAAGTAATCACTATCGGTTTTAGAAACGTTGTTCCACTGAATTATTCCCATTTCCAAATCAGTCTTCGGGAACTCGATTCAGCGGGAGCTATTTCCTACATCGCCGGAGCAAGCTTTCAATATCTCTGGCTAAAAGGCACAATCCATTGCATATGAATTATTGTGCCCGGGATTCTCTAGACAAATCCCGCTCCAATTCCACCCAACCGGAAAGGTGAGATAATTATCTGATCTATGTGGCCATATCATCATCCGTAACTTCATTCCCCGATCAATATCGACGCCGCCAAAAGCCGATTTAAGAAACCCCAGGACATGCTTCCGAACATGGCGTATTCGGATCGCGCCTCGTCGATTGCTCCAAGCAGAAGGATGATCTAAGTCGGCTATTCTCAACGCGGTTTCTCCAAACAACACTTCTACTAATACGACTGGAAAAGAATGACCTGAACGCAGACGAACTAGGCATGACCGCGAGAAAAGTAGAAGGTACGTCCTGATTTGAAAACGGATTTCTATGCAGCTCCAAAGAACACGGACAAAAGCATGGAAAAGGATTCGGATGAAATGGCTGAGCATGATGACTGCATGTGTATGGTAGAGGTCCCCAATGAATTCAAGACTGACCCACTGCTCCCATCCAATTTCCCTCTTCGCACCTCTGTTGCAGTTCTGCACTCCTTTGGCCGGCGATTTACATCCTGCCCTGTAGTTACGAATAATACTATTCATGAATGGTTAGCAAACGCTATTCCTGATACGGTAAGGTGATATGGGTCGCAGAAGCGGCGAATGTGAAAAGCTGGTCCGTGGCTGAAATATTCGATTGCGCTAACCCCAAGTGGACCATGGACAAGCCACAATGTGCGTCATAGGGATAAGAATTCCACCTCTGTCACTGATCGCCCATGGGGATTCAAGGAATGTGATACTTGATAGACAGTACACTACACTTTGACTTGGTCTGATGAAGTGGTTATTCCATTGGCGCGTGCAGTTGGCAAATCCTGGCCTTGCCTGATTAGGATTCGTCTGTTGGCCTATATGGTCATGGTGACGTCGTCGGTTCAGGTTTCTCGCAGATCGTCTCCTGCCTTGCTCTCCTTTTCTTTCGCCTTGCACTCGTGTGCTGTGGACGAGTATATATCTTAGTTTTCCTCGCGACCTCTTCGTCCATGCTATTCTCCCATTCCAATATTCAGTTCCATACCTCGTACTCCAAGAACTGCACATCAAAGCCTTTTCATATCCATCCATCAAAGACCCTTAAACAGACCCTCAACAGACCCTCCAACAGACCCGCCAACCGCCAACATGGGTGCCGTTGTATCTTGCGTACGTCTCCCTCCTCAATGCTGTTCGTTTAGACCAGCTTCTAACGTCTCTCTCTAGATAACATCCGTCTTCCGGACCATCGGAAACTGCCTGATGGCCATCGTCAACGGCATCGGCAGCATCCTCCACGCCATCATCGGCGGTATCGTCAGCCTCTTCGATATCATCATCTCATGCCTCACCTGCGGTCGCACCTCGCGACGACGACGCGGGACGAGGAGGACGCGAACCCACACTACATCGCATATATAAATCTTCAACCGCGGAGTTTCAGACCGAGTTGAGCGGGATATGGAGAAACAATGCATCCAATTGGGAGAAGGAGAGGGCGGTGGGATTGACGAACTTGAATCCAGGACATCGTCTTTAGCAGATACCCCGGGCGTTTTTTTCGGTAGCAATCATGAATCAATGATCATCATGTTATGTTTCACTCCCAATTCCGTTCGTGTTCCATGAAACCGTTGTGATTTGTGTGCGTTTCGAGCGTCGCGTTCTCCCGAATGTATCATTGATCCCCGACTCCCAATCCCCGCAATGACAGGTAGACGTCCGTCCCCCATCCCCACATGCTCTGCACTGCGATCCCTCCGCCAAAGTACTCCGCATATGCCCTTCCTAGCGGTAACCCGTACCCCAACCCGGCGAGGCTCGTGCCCGCGTCGGCGCCCGCCCCGGAGATGGCGTTCAGCGCGTCTACGGCCGAAATTGCCCCGGAACCGCCACCGTTAGCCGCGCCGTTCATCGCCGCGCGGATCGTGTCCTCGCTGAAGGTCGTGAAACTGTAGTTCCAGATGCGCGCGTAATTGTCTGGCGCGATACCTCCGCCCCGGTCGCGGATGCGGATCGTCACCCCGGGCGTGGATGGCGATAGCGTCCGGATCGGGGCCGTTGTTGCGTCGAGGTGCCGCGCGGACGGAGGCGCCTCGTACCCCGTCAGGTCCGCCAGCTCGTTACTCGCTCCAATCAGATGGGATGCCTCGTCGAGGTTGCCCTGCACCGCGTGGGTGATGGTCGTCGCGTGCAGGGCGGGCTTCGAATCGGCGCCGGCGAGCGGCTGTGGCTCTTTGCGTGGCGCGATAGTGACCTCGATGGGTTCGCGCTCGGCGCCCTTCTCGATCGTCGCGCGGAACGCGTTCTTCAATAGCTCCGTGAGGATGTACTCGAGGTGGACGGGGATGTGAGCAAACGTGTACCCGGGCTCTCCGTTGATCCGGACGCTAGGTCGCACCCCGTACTTCAGTTCGCAGATATCGGACACGGTCGACTCGCAGTGACGGATGGTGGAGGCGGGGCAGAGCGCCGTGTCGATGACGCCGATGAACGAGGAGTCAGGGGAGTCGCTGCGAGACGATGTCCCGGACGACGGTTGGTCGATGTGGGGACGGGACGACATGTGGAGGGCAATGTGCTGTTCCGCGATCAAGCGCGTACCGATTCGCGCTCGCAGATGTTCGTCGAGAAAACGGGTGACCTCTTTCGGTGAAATATACTTTCTCGCCTCGAGGAATCCCCGGGCTAAGATGCTGATGGTATCCGCGTGCGTCTGCACCAGGTCGGCCATGACCTCGGTGAAACGGATTTCATCTTCCAACGTGGTGATGTCCCGCTCCGCCCACGGGAGGAGGGAGGTTAAGCTTCTCACGTAGTTGCCATGGATTTTGGAGATGTGGGGATTCGACACGACGATGAAGGGCAGATTTCGAAGCGACTGAATTCGATGTGCCAGTCGTGCGGGGAGGATAGAAAGCGTGAAGTTGGCCGAGGCGAGTAGCGCTCGCTTGGACAACGGTGGTCGTCCATGTCTAGGCGGTCAGCATCCGCTTGCTACACCAGAAGGGCCCCCTTACTTTGCGAGATCAGCCAGCGTCAACGGGTGGAGAGGTTTGGAGGCGAGCTCGGTGATGTGATCGAAAGTCACCGCATCGGTGTGAATAGAAGCTCGTGCTGCTTCTCGAGGTGCGGCGTTACCCAGCAGCCGTGATCGACTCGGGCAGTGCAGCAACCGGACGGCAGCCGACCGGATTGCGGAGACCATAGTTCATCGCTCGGAATTGTGCGAAGAGGAGGGGTGAAGAGGAAGGTGCACCATGATGAGAATGCAGCCAGCCCCGAGTCGAGAGAGTGGAGAGGAGTGGTGAGGAGGATTGATATGATTACCTGTAGTGAGGCGGAAGTTCGAAGTTGGGTATCAGTTATCACGGACGGATTCTGTACAGAGCGGCAATGGACCAATCAGGATGAGGGTCGCCGGCTCCAGCCACCGGAGATTCCAATCCCCAGATTCCAATCCCTAGAGATACGATGGAGATACGATGGAGATACAATGGAACGATGATATCCATCCTGCGAAGCCACTCAGATCTATCCTATATCAATCACACGGTCTGGGTCGATTCGCCATTCCTGTATTAAACCGTCCCCTCGTAATGGCTATTCTACCATCTTTTGGTTATGATGAACCCTGCTATTGGCTTTGGCCAGAAGCATTGTGATTGGTCTATTAAAGAAAATAGAAATTCAAATAGTAAGGCGTTCGTCGCGGCGGGGTAGAGGTGGTCGGGGGCCATAGGCGGCAGAGTATGCCCAAAGCAGGTGGTGGAGGGTGCTAAAACAGGTGATGGGGTACTCAAACCAGGTGCCGGTAAGGGGTCCTTTGAGCTGGTACCGCGGGTACCTAAAATGGGTAGGGGGCGCCTAAAACGGGGTGGTGTGGATGAACAAGACAGGCGGGGACATGCCCGCACCGTAGGGGCTCGGTCACATTCAGTCCGGTGCTAATCAACTATTCAAACTTCAAAGTGACCCAATCAGAGTACCGGATCCTGACGTAATTGGGATGTACCTTAATAAGGGGGGAAATGGATGTATATTCAGTGTTGAGGGTGATTTGGATGTATCTGCAGCATCACCCTTATAATAATGCCAGGCTTGATGTTGAGGCGCTTGACGGGGTAAATTGACAACATGGATGCATCAACAATCTTGGTACAGTATATGTTAGGAGTTCTAGTTCAGCCCAATTCGACCGTTCTCTAGATATCTCGTAATCGACGCAGACGTTCCGAAGATTTGCAGTGAAGATGTAAGCTAGTCATTCTCAACCCGAGCATTATCACCAAGCTGCTACGAGTGGTCAAGTCTGGGTTTTAATGCGTGCCAGTCAATTGACCAAGCAGCTTCTGGGATTCTAAGACCTAACGCTACATTGGTGTCTCGTTGAATTGTCCGTTCTTACGTCGGGACCTCCTCATTGAGTCCTAACCTCCTGATCCGCCTCGACGGTCCAGTTCTCGTTCGTTGCCAGCGTGTGCACTTTATCCGTCGGAAACTTGGCGCTATCGATCGTCAGCAATCGGCTCGATGGCTTGCCCACTGCTGGGAAGGGACCAACTGGATGCTCTTGATCAGCTTGGATTCATGCGTGATTTCGCCGCCCTGGTCGCGGATGTCGTTCTTGACTCTGTTCCCGCCATCGTTAGTTCTTCATTCCCCTTCACCGATGAACTGATCAACGGTGGAATATCCTACTTCTCCAGCTCGTTCGCATCAACCCCGCTCTTCAGAGTGATCTACCGCGTATGTCAGCAGGGTTCGAAGTCAGACATGCAGGTATTGGACTCACAATGACGGTAGACATGGTCGCCGGAACAGGTTGTAGGGTGTTGGTGATTATGATTTTCAGTACTTCTTTAGTTCTTGCGAGACAATAAGATGGCGGCGGATTAGCAGTCGTATATGTATTGCTTTCCTCCACAGCGTCTAGGAACTTGGAAGCGGAAGGCACAAGGCTGACAGGAGGGAAATGGGAATCCCCGCGATGACGTAGTCCGCCCCAAACCGGGTTTACCCGACCCCTACCTACAGTCCTATAGTCCTACACTGTGAGAGGTGTGAGTTCACTATATCATGAGAAGAATCGGAGAAATAGGACTAGTATTAAGGCAAATGGAGCTGAAAGTCTGATTGCCCTAATCAACAACTTGCCACCTGCAGTATATTCCCGCATATCATCATTCGGATCCAACGCCGAGCCACGATCGTGAGGCTTCAAAACGGACACTTCTCCAGCAAGACCATGGTATAAACCTTCAATCTACCGACCATCGTGCATATTCATTCCCCATAAATCGTCCCTTTCCAACCTTACGCCCTTGATGCAATGTTCTGAGAATTCCCCGGACTTCGCATGAACAGCAATGTCTCCAATGCATCCTGCTCGGCCTGTCCAAGCCCATCCTCGGTTCCGGTCGAGGCACCGTTGCGTTGAGGCATGTAGAGTGTACCACCAGCTGGTGTGGGCCCGGGTTGGGAGATGGCTGTGTTGTTGGCTGCACCCATTGCGGAACCGCGACTGCTGCCGATGGTATTTCGTCTGGGCGAACCCCGACTCATGAGTTGAGGACCGAGACCCGCGGCCGCTGTGGACCGAGTCGGGGTAAAGTGAACGCCGCTGCCAGTCTTGACGTGTTTGGGTGTCCGCTGTGTTAGGGAGTAGCCTTGCGGTTGCCGCTCGTCCTCGTTGGAACCCTCACTCGCCGTCTCATCTCCCAACGCTGACGGTCGAGGAAACGTCGATGTGGCAGGACTGACATATGTTGGGGAGAAGGCGTATTCATCCAGTCCAACGTGGTTGAGCCCCTGAGATCGGACGCGTGCGTGGGCACGTCGACCTCCCGGGAGGGTGCTCGGGGTTGCTAGGGCGGCACCGGAACCGGGGCGGGATGTTGGTCGGGTTTTGGGAGTCGACGGGACAAGGGCGGCGAGCGCTTCCGGTGCCGATTGCTGTTTGGCCAGGGTTGCAATGCTCCGGTTCCTCGCGTGTGATGCCCAGGGGTGATGCGGTGGTTCACTGCTGCGGTTGGACGGGGCGGTATACATGGGACGGCGTACTGGGGAGAGGCTGAGGGCCTGGCGGGAAGCTTGTTCTTCGAGGTCTTCCAATGATCTCGATTCCCAACCGTTCTGTACTTTGAGGAGAGCATAGGATAGATTCGTCTTGAGTTTGGAGGATAGCTGTGATTACGTCAGTCTCGATCTCATTCAACCAGTCACTACACATCTTACCTCGCTCGTCACACTGCTAGTTGACGCGCCGCGGGTATGATGTGATCGTCGAGAAGTTGTGTCGAGTGGGATGTGTGCTCGGTAAAGATGACCGTCGGTCTTAACGGCACCGCTGGCGGTTCTCTTCGCTGCTCGTCTGCCAACGGCACCGGGACTGGTGCTTGCGCTGATCGAGGACGGACCGATCAGTAACGCCGGCGACGTTTCCGTCGCCAGTGGTGCCTGCATATCGCTCTCGTTTTCCGAAATGCCGACGCCGTCAAGAAGCGCCGCTGTCGCTCTCTGCGCTGGAGTGGGTTCTGGGTGCATGGAGGAGCCCCCATAACCAGTCCACGTCTTTGGTGGGACGTGAACTGACTGTGTTGAAGATACTTGCGTGACTTGGGTTTCGTGCACGTGCATGTCGATGTCCGTTCCTGCACTCCCGGAAGAGATGACAGAAACGTCGGAGCTGCTAGCGAGGAAGCGAGGCGGTTGACTCGGGACCGATTCTCGAGAGTCAGTGACTGGGCGGGTGGGTGATTCCATCGTTATTATTGTTGTTCATGGATAACAAGCTGGGTCATCCAGTGGGCGTTTTGATCGATTGCCCACTTCACGGCCTTGAGTGAACCTGACGCGTCAGTCAGCAAACTAATGCGCTAGGATGAACGTTTTGGAAGGGGCAGTGTTGGCACACATACCGTTTCGCACTCCTTGGGTCCTCTGCAAGCGAGGAGGACGCGCGGAAACGTGTCTCGCGGCGGTTTGGTCGGTCGTGGATGTGGGGTAGAGTCGAAGAGGGTAGGGCGCTGATAGGAGGTTCAGGGCGTATATAGATCCAAGGTATCACCGAAAAGTAACTGGCAGTTCCACTAGACCAACGACGAGACGAATGAGCGAAAAGAAGGCTCAATTGGTGGCTGAAGTATTGATAGCGATGGCGGGCTGGACGTGGTTCGGGACCGCGGTGCAATTGCGTCTCAACAGGACGGCAGCCGGGTCGGATTTGAAGCGGAGCCGATGAATGGGATAGATGGAATGAAGTGAATAATCAGTTTGAAGGGATCCTCTATAAATATTATCCAGAATTTCGGATTGTAATGAGAGAGGGGATCGAGAGTTGAACATCAGTGGTGGACGGTGGTGGACGGAGATGATGGAAAGGCGCCGCGACGACGCGGTTCCCGTGACCTGAGCAGAGACTGAGCACGTGCCCGGTGAAAGTCGCGTGGCTTTCGCGTTTTATGCCTCAGGTCATCAGGTGTCAACTTGGAGATCACCTAACCGGACTTGATACCACCACTTTTGCTCACTACTCCGTACTTGACTACACTTACGTTCACTGAACCTTCAGATGATAGGATGATTAGGATCCATAGAGGGATCTGTCATATTACTCAACCTGCTACTATCGTCACCTTCTGAGAGACGTGGACTCAGGCACACGGCCATCTTGCAAGGTATCGTAGTAGAATCCGAGACGCGCTTCTCTCGATGCCTGGAGGGGTATGATATTGAACTACGTAAACTGATCCAAACTGCGAGACTTCTCCCGCTACTCCCGCTACTCCGTACATCATCTCCGTCTCTTCGCTTGACCACCGTCTCCCTCCCATGCCTTTCGCTTCCTGCCCTCCCGCTTCCAGAACTCGTCCTTCTCCCGTTTCTCCCTCTCCGCCTTCTTCTCCTGCCCCTCGCTAATCTTCTTTTTGAATTCCGCTCGGTTCTCGTCCTTCTTACGCCCACGCTTCTCTATCTTCTCTTGCCGGATCGCCATCACCTTGTTCAACAGGTCGCGTGCTTTGCGTTCCTCGCCTCCGACCACCACGGCCCGCTTCTGCAGATACGTCTGCGTCTTCTGGGGCCGCATCTGGGACACTTGCGACTTGTAGGGGAGCTCGGCTTGCAGCTTTCGTGGGACGCGCAGGGGGTTGAAGTGTCGCGTCGGCCTCTCGATCGGCCGGTACACACTATTCGGGAGGCTCGGAACCGGTATGTTTTGGGTGGCGCGAACCTCGCCCGTCAGGCGCATCGGCTGCCATCCTTTCCCTGACGTGCCGGACGTGTCCTCGCCATCTTCCACCGGCGCACCGAGCAGGTCGGTGACGGGATTGTAGAAACGTCGAGGCTTCACCGGATACCAAGCGCGGAGGAAAACGATATCGCTCATGAGCAGTTTGTCCTCGAAGGTCGCTCGGAAACAGCCCTCGGGTTTGCTGAGGGCTCGCTTGATCTGGCCTCGAACCCCACTGACTGTTCGAACGCTGGCGCCTTCGAACTTGGCAATCTCCAAGGCGCTGTTGAACATGTCCTTGATGAACGCTGTGTTCTTGAAGATCTTGTACGGGTGGCCTGTGAGCTTCAGCTTCTTGACAATCTCCGCGTTCTCATCCACGCTCAGAACTGTGCCCGTGGCAGCGATGCGGAACCCCGGGTTCTCATTCCCCAGACTCTGAACCCCCACCAGTCCGGTTCCCGGCGAAATCAGGGGAGCGTAGAACGTTCCGAAACAATGCATATGCTCCGGGGTGTATTTCAGCATCCGGTTGCGAGTCCGGCTGTCGCTGGTGCTCAACACGGGGCACGACTGGAACCTGCGCCACCCCAAGCTGAAGATCAGCGGATCGTTCGTCTTGAGAACCCGCTTGTGCCATCGGTGGCGCTTGATGCGGGCCTGGACAAACCCAAATCGGTCCTCAGTCGGTGTCAGTCCTCCAATGATGATGGGGAATCTGGGGTTGAAGGCGGTAACGAACTCCGCGGGCACGTTTGCGAGAACCATCCGTACGTAGGTGCCAGCGGCATGACCTTGGACACGAACCCGGCTTGCCTCGTCCAGTTGATCGAATTCGGAGCGGTTGATATCGAGCTGCTTCTGCACCGTGGCTTTTTGCGCCTCATACCATTCATCTTCCCCAAACTCCCGCTCGGCATTCGCCCCGGTTGCCTCGCGCTCTTTGGCTTTGTCGTTGAAGATCCCTTCCGCGTCCTCCTCTTCAAAACGTAGTTTGAGTTCCTCCTTCCGCTTGGCATTCCTCTCCCGCTCCTGTGCGATGGGATCGGCTGGTGCATCGCCTTCATCGTCTTTAATGCCTTCAAACACTTCTCCGGTTTCCAGATCTTCGTAAGCCCCGTCACCTTCGTCATCGACATCGGCATCCGCTTCGGCTTCCTCATCAGAATCCCCGTCCTTTCCGTCAGCGAGGTGGCTGATAGCGAATCGAGATGACAGTGCTTCGAGTGCCCCCGGAGAAGTCCAGCGCTGTTCCAGGGAGGTCGTGTCATATTTGGGTAGAGTTCGGTATTCCGTGTCTGCAAGCTCGTCTTCGAGTGGGGCGCGTTGGAAAAAGTCATCCTCGCCATTCGCGGCCGCCTGCTTGTCACTCTCGCGGGAACTCCACCGGTCGACGACTTGCCTCGGTGTCAGAGCGTCATTGTAGAACATTTTCGCGAGATCTTGGATACGGTAGGCGCGCCCATTGGACAATCGCTGGACATGCTCCGATATCCCCTCCTTCCACCGCACCATGCCCTCATCATCTGATTCGCCCAGGCCAGGATCATCGTCCGATTCCTCGAGGTCGGGATCATCTTCCAGCTCCTGATCGGACACATCAGATATCGAACCCAAATCGGAGTCCGAGTCGGCGAAAACCGCATCGTTGCGGTTGGTAGCGTTTGGGGGGCGCCGATCGGACTCGGATTGGAGAGCGACCTCTCGCTCGACCGGCCAATCGTGGTCCTCGTCTCCCTCGGATGGGTTCTCCTCGTCTTCCGTGCCCGTGTCCTGCTCTTCATCGTCGCCGTGGTCCCGCTGGATCTCCCGAGCTTGACGTCGTTCCGTACGTCCACCATCGTTCTCGTCCTCGTCCTCGTCACCTTGGACCTTGCGCCCTGTTCGAAATAGTTGCACGCCGTCGTCGGTCTGACCCAAGAGCTTGCGGCCGGCCTGTAGCCGAACCATCATTTGCTCTCCAAATCCCAAATCCTCCGCGTCTTCCTTGAAGGTGTCGGTCTTGACATCGACGTAGACCGCATCTCGATCCACCAGTACTCCGCCAACGTCGCTCATGGGTGCCCACAAGACCTTCTGCTTTTCTTCCAATCGTTTTCGCTTCTTTCCCGATCGCTTCTCCTCTGCAAGTTGGAAATACGGTGTCGGACACGGATCGGGCAACGCCTCGACGCCGCTGACGTCCAAATCGCCGACGCCGGCTACGTGCACTCGACCGTTCTGGGCGGGGAAGTTGACGCCGCGCAGGTAGCCGTAGAACGCCACCGTCCGTTCGCACTTCGGGTCGTCCTCGATTTGCGCGGGAGGAGTTTGATCGAGGACACGGTCGGCGAGGCAATATGCATGGTTTTGCCGCCAGACGAGAGGGCGCGGGTTCTTCATGACGCTCAGAAATCGAGAGAGGTTGAGGATTTCGCGGTCGGGGTATCTCCCGTTGATCACGCCCGACAAGGCGAACAACTTGGCGCCGCGGTAAAGTTCGCCCCAGAACCGTTGTTTCAGTCGCTTTTTCGCTGCGCGCATCGTTTCGGGCTTGCGGAACAAGTCCAGGTGCGTCAAGACTCCCATGACGTTTCCTGGCATGCCATGGGCGGACAGCAGCGACAAGAATTCCATGGTCTCCATTTCGAACCCGTAGTTTGCGTCGATCAGGATGAGGACGATGTCCACAATCTTCGAGGCGTCGATCATCCCGCTGAGTGAGTCTGAAGGTACTTCGACGAAGGTGAGACGTCGGCGCTTCGAAGTCACCACGGTGAGTGGCCCGGATGGTGCGGAAATGGTTTGTTTCGTATATCGGCGAATGAGCGACTTGATCAGCGTCGTTTTGCCCACCTGTATGCCGGGTCGTTAGTGAAATCTGCAAACATAACGAAGAATGTGCAAAGTCGTATCGTCGTTTCCGGTGAGCACTTACACCTGGCGGTCCAGCGATACCAACGATGATGGGCGGTGCGTCCTCCGGCAACCTGTCCACCATGGGAACGTGAAGTCGTTTTTCGCGCACATCGTCAGAGCGAGCGGCTTGCTTGGCAAGCTTCCCAGGACGAGAATAGGCAAAAGCTTTCGCGTTGGGTCCTATAAGTTCCAGTCAGCCAAGGGTGTTCAAAAAACGGTGCAATGCAAATCTTGCGGGCGAAACCTACCTCCAGACGGTTGCTTCTTCTCCTTGGACTTTCGATGCGGGCGATTGGACTGCGGCTCCGACATCTTTTCCCCTCTGTCAACGACGGATTGAAAATATTAAGTGACGGCTAAACGCATGAGAAAGAAGCTAGGTGGTGATGGGAGCGAGAAGCACGAGTCGATGCCGAAAATTCGCTGAAATCTTGGCGTTGATGGGCGACTCGGACTTTAGTGAAGTTAACTCCGAGAATACCAGTCAAGCCACTCTGGCTGTGGCTGAAGTTATCTTTTCCAGACCCTGAACCCGGGCAGCGCACTGCAGCAGATCAATCAGATATCTTACCACCAAAGAAAATAAATTGAGGGCGCTATATATATAATCATATCTAAGTGACTAAGTCTCTACATTTTATCTCTACAACCTGCAATACTAGGAACAATAGGACTAGTCTAGAGATCCACCAACCTAATGCCTCGTTAGAACTGCCGTCAAACCACCAAAGCCGTGACGTATCACGTCGGTTCACAAGTGAGGCAAGTAATCCGTCCACTCAGGGGTATCATAAATCGCCTTGGGAACCTCACGAAGGCTGACGAATGCCTCAATGACGATGAAGACGCGGGCAACAGCGAGGAGACCCAAAATCAAGTACAGCGCCCATCGTTTCGCAAACGTCACCCACGGTTTCTGCTCTTTTCGATTGCCGATGACGACTCCGGGAGTGATGCCGGAAACGAACCGGTCGAACTCAGGCCACGTTTGGCGGGCCATCCAGAACGCCCACAAGAGGGCACCCGAGCTGGCCATGGTGAGAGAGGCGCAGATCCAAAACAGACGTTCCACCGTGCTGGGAAAGAATTCGTTCCAGGCAGACGCATGAAGCCCACCATACGCCGCGGCCGAAAATGCAAAGACCGATCGTAGCGCGTCCCGGTGGAGGTCCACTTGACCGAGTCCGAGGTTCGACATGGACGGGAAATTCAGAACGTGCAGGACCATGTACTCTGTCTCACCAAGATACGTCCCTAATGTCGAAGTGGTGAAGTAATAAATCTTGTAGTCTGGACGTGCTTTGCACTGTTTCCATAGTCGGTCGGCGGCTCGGGACGCTCGCTCGAGATAGGGCAACGAAACCGGTACATGGGCGGACTCCACCTTCGCATCGGAAAACGCTCGTCGACAGTACAGGTCGCCATGTCGCAAGGAGAGTCCGATGTAGGGTGGCTCGAAGAAAACCCGATGCTCGGGGGCAATGGCCGTCGAGTTCTCATCGATGGAATATTCAAGGGCAGTCATGGCACGACGTCCAGGGCTCCGTCCGCCAGAGGGGGGGCGTGATAAGCCCGGCCGAAGGTCGTTCAACGAACCGAGAAACCGCCCGGGATTTCGGGAACCAGCGGATCCAATGGATAACTCCGTCATCAGGGGGGCAAGCGAAACGTCCCTCGACATCGTCCGCTCCCCCGCCGGGGATGTTGCCGACCGTGCATCCGACTGTTCTGCGGGAGCAACGTAGATGAGACATCGGAAATCCGTAATGGCGTCGTCCGCGCTGAGGGCCGAGCACATGTACATTAGGGCGAGGGTCTCATCGAGGGATGGGTCCGATTCGAGCACGACCGGGGCTTCCACGTCCAGAGGCTTATGCCACCAAAGACAGAATAAAATGAACGCGCATAACACGTGGCCGCAGGTATTGATTTCCAACAACGAGACCGGTAAATGGTCCGCTAGTCGTCCGATCACTTGGGCGATCATCCAGCTGGCCTGGACGCACACGATGGATTTCGTGAGCCAATCCGCTTTGCTCTTATCCTGCACCTGGCTGTTCAAAACTGGTGGAAGTCTACCATAAAAAGACAGCAGTCGCACCGCCTCGACCGTTAGGGTAACTCGCAGGGTCTCCATCTGGTCATCCCCCACCGGAATAGTAGCAATGATTCCTCCCATCGCCGCATAAAAACACTGGGTCATGTTCCACGTATGCGAGGTGCACTCCGTTCCATCCGGGAGAAGGTGAGGGCTCCCTGATCGAAGCTGGGCATCCTTTTCGATTTCGACCTTGAGCCACCGGGCGGAGATATATTGAGCAGCGGCGGTGGCTACGACGAGTTCCGGGGCGAAGATGCCATAGACGATCCATTTGGCCTTGACGAGGGCACGGGAACGGAAAGTATGACCCGCAGGCGGGACGTTCAAATGAAGCGCCGACCAAACACAGAGCGTCAAGGTCAAGACGCACGATAGAACCAGGGAAAAGGTGCCACGACTATCCGGCTCTTTCGCCCAGCCTGACGTCTCCATCGCACCGACAGAGCCTGGTCCAAAGGATGCATGAACGCGCAAGAGTAGAAGGATAATAATCGAGCAAAGATGCATCAAGAATTAGTGAACTGCGAGAACCGACTGGAGATGTGCGAAGAGGGCCATGATGGGGACGACAAGATAGGATGCCGAAGCATGACCACGGGGATTCCCAAGGTTGATGCAGGTTAGGTTAAGAGAGCAATACACGGTCACGCAGCAGAGTTCCGGTCAAATGGGGGACGATTGAAGGTTGCCTTTTGGCTGCAGGCCGCACATTGGATACTGTGAGATTCTGAGGTGGAGTTGGGATTGGCAGTTTGTGACGAGTGAGGCAGGGCGCCGTCAGGTGATGCGTAAGACTATCCTAGCCGCTAGGAGAGGATCCAGCAATGGAAGTCAACGGGAGACAAAGAGGCGACCAATTAAGAAGTACGGTGCTTCATTGGGCCTTGATGTTTACAAGTAATAATAATATGCAATATATGTAATATATGAAATGTCATAATGAAATGTCAAGATGGGATGAGAACGAGGAGACTGAGATGAGACACGGAGATATAGAGATCTGTGATGTGGAATGGGGCAGGAGGGCAGCAAGGGCAAAACAGCGGAGGAACAAAACAGCAAGGCATCAAGGCATCAAGGCATCAAGGCAGCAAAACCGCAAAACGCACAGCAATGAGCAAAAGCCCTGAATAGGCAAAATGTCTGTCCACCAGTGAATGTACATAGCTGAGGCTTTTTCGTTTCGGGTTATCATTTTTCGTTATTTGTTGCAACTACGGGTAGTTGTTCGTCCATGTATGAAAGGTCCAGGAACTCGGGTTGGCACTCACCTGACACGTTAAACCATTTATTATCGGCTGAAGTTAGCGGGAGACGACCGGAATGCGGGCACGGCAGCGGGCAGCGTTACGCCTTGCAGAATCCTTGGTACTACGGGTTTCGCTTATGATGAAGATCCCCAGTTCTTTCGGCTAGATTGCCGGCTTGCAGAAGGATTTCCTCCAGTTAGTGTCCTTGCATCCCGTCTTCCCCAGATGTGGCGCTGTGAGCACTGAGCAGGTCAGCAGGGACTCAAGGGAGTCGGGGAGTCCATCCCGCTTTACTGAAACTTATCCCAGCTACAGCAACAATGCAACATGAATCAAAGGAAAGAGAAGGAAACATCGAATGCCAGATATCGGAGCATGCACACAATAGCAAGGCCTCGGAATCCCTGGGGCTTCGAGCTCGATGGTTGGAGATGCGAGTCTGGGCCGATTAGACGAGTTCTTCGGCTCTACTTCCATAACTAGTGTCCAGCTTTCGCCATCTCTCCGCAAAGTCCGTATCCGCGGTATGGCCGAAAACGGAAGCGCCTCGGTATCTCTGCCATTTTGTCGGCCTCCATCTGCCGCCCAAGTTTCCCAGCTTGCCAACTGCCGCAAGCCCGCAACGGGTCCCATTTCCCCACATTCAAATACTCCGCTTCACGTCTTGCCATTGCTTCTCGTGATCCTTTTTCTTCCTCTCTCATTAATCGTCCACACCCAAACACACCCATACACCACAACAGATTGCAATTTGCCACCCTCCAGAAACCATGGCTGCCGAACGATTGAGCTCCATCCTCTCCCAGCTTGCCCCGGGCAAGAAGCCGCTGGACGTCATGTAAGATCCTTTTCGATGCGCTCACCCCTAAACTCTCGGCATACTAACAGTCATATCCGTAGCACGCAGAAGAATGCCGATGATATTGTCATTACGCTCGCCATCCGCACGCCGCTGACCAAGGGCTTCAAGGGTGGCTTCAAAGACACCAGCGTTGACGGCATCGTCGTCAAGCTGCTGAAGGAGGCCGTCCAGCGGATGAACATGGACCCGGCTTTGGTCGAGGACATCTGCTTGGGCAACGTACGTTCTTCTCCAACCCTGATCCCTCGACATCGCTGACAGGCTGGCAACTAGGTCTCCGACGCCAAAGCCGCATACTACATCCGCTCCGCCTCCCTCGCTGCCGGTTTCCCCTACACCACCGGCGGCTCTTCATGCAACCGCTTCTGCTCCTCCGGCCTGAAGGCCATCCAAGACATCGCCAACCAGATCTCCCTCGGCAGCATATCGTGTGGTCTTGCCATCGGTGCGGAGAGCATGAGCACGGGTGGCGACCGGTTGAACCGTCCGTTCCACGAGGAGATCCTGGAGAACGAGCTGGCGCGAGACTGCATGCAGCCCATGGGTCAGACCTCGGAGAATGTCGGTAACGACTTCAACATCAGCCGTGAGAAGCAAGATCGTTACGCAACCGAGTCGTACCGCCGCGCCGAGGCTGCGCAGAAGAACAAGTGGTTCGAAGATGAGATCGTCCCGATCACCACCACCATCAAAGATCCCAAGTCAGGCGAGGTCAAGACCGTCACCTTGACCCAGGACGAGGGCCCGCGGTGGGGCACCACATACGAGGGTTTGTCGAAGATCCGACCGGCTTTCACCGAATGGGGGAACAAGAGCACCGGTGGAAACAGCTCGCAAGTCACCGACGGCGCCGCCGCCGTCCTGTTGATGCGCCGCGATATGGCCGAACGCCTTGGCCAGCCCATCCTGGGCAAGTTTGTGGGCGCCACTGTCGCCGGAGTTCCTCCTCGCATCATGGGCATCGGCCCGTCCGCCGCCATCCCGAAGCTGCTGGAGCAGTACAAGCTCACCGTGGACGATATCGACGTCATCGAGCTCAACGAGGCCTTCGCCTCCATGGCCGTCTACTGCTTGGACACCTTGAAGATTGACCCCGCCAAGATGAATGTCCGTGGGGGTGCCATCGCCTTGGGTCACCCGTTGGGTGCCACCGGGGCTCGCCAGGTGGTCACAGGGTTGAGCGAGTGCCGGAGGCAAAAGAAGAAGATCTTATTGACCAGCATGTGCATCGGAACTGGTCAAGGTATGGCAGGCCTGTTTGTCAACGAGCAGGTATAAATGCGAATACGTTCGATTGCCTAGCCATCCTTCCATGGCACAAAATTGTATATTGTAGCAATGTATTGACTCGGTAATAGAGCGCACGCCACGATCAACGTCATCACAAATTCCAGATTAGCATTTTCCATCACTCATTACAATCTCAAGTTGTGGAGAGCAATTCCGTGATGTCTAAGATTGACGGAGGATACTAAACTGAGTGCCTCTCCATCCGCCTTCGCTTCGTGAACCGCCACGGTGGTCTCATCCCGAAGATATCACTCCCTGGGAACTAGTAAAACTGAACTCCAGGGAGAAGCTATATCCGTTGAATGCCAATGCCAGGATTTGATGCCTCTGGCGTATCCTAATATATCCCGAGATTCCGGAATTGTGGTCTACTATTAGACAAGTGAGGATGGAAGTTTCCCTTCATGATAGTTGTGTCAACGGAGCCGTCATGCTTCGATTTCCTTGAGCGCATTTCTTAGCACCGTTGGTACGCCTCTCATTTATAATGAATTATATACTAATTCCTTTTCTATAAAACAGTATAGAGCCAGTCTGACGAAGCTAGGCCTGGTACCGTAAGAAGACAGGCTCAAGCGTATATTAGCTCCGGTGCTTCACTGGAATTTTGTTAGGGAACATTTGATTCGGTCAAAAAGGCTCCCGACATCCATTTTTTTCAGGCCCATAGAGCTGTTATTGAGCCTAGGATACACTGGTCACTACCAAGAACACTTCGGGCCTCCTATTACAAGGACATATTTCCGAATACATGTCCTTGACTCCCCATAGAAGGTTAAAACCTCTCACAAAATTCTGGAATTTTGGAATCGTATGTATATCCTGACTGACATTGATATTGGATTGCTACAAACTGAAGCACGGGAGTTCTGCCGAAATCCAGTGCAATGTTCTGCCCTAACCAAACAACGATTCGGCGATGAGTTCTCAGCTAATCTCCCCCGATCCCCCAGACTCGAATGAGACCGAGGAGTCCAAGTTCGATAGACCTCCGGTCTGCGGGCTATTCTGCAATCCTACACATCTCTCCGCCTGGCAGTCGCACGCATCGATGACAGGGAAGCCACAGACTCCAAACACTCCACCATCACACTTTGGCGGCAAAGGCTTGAAGCCAGAGTTAACACACTTCGGATAGTATCCGCAGCAGTTTCTCACGTCCTTGACCACGCAGTCTGAGGCAGCGGCGCAGCCGAACTGGGCGTCCACGGTGCCATTGGAGGAGGGTGGAGGTGTTGATATCGGATCTGAAACTGCGATGGACGTCGGATTTGGTCGAGGGCGTCGAGTACGTGAACGAGATCGCCCCGGCCAGAAGCCAGCGGCCGGCTCTGATGGAGGCGTCGTGGGAACCTCAGCAGCATCCCTATTCGTCTTAGCGTTCGACTTCGAGATGATATTTCCGTTTATACCTTTCATGTACATCCACCGCACGACCCATAACGGAGGTCGCTCCGATCGCGATAATTGCAAGTGCCCAGATTGACTTCATGATGTGGATGGCTGTATCGACGTAAGGATGGAACCGTTCTTACTAGCGAGCTGCAGTGCCGACACCATTCGGTTTATATCATCATTTAGACAATCTTGACGCAGCTATTTTAAGCTCCAAATCCACGCGAACCATTCCGAACGGTTACATTTGCTGAAATTGAAACAATTTGAGAGTCTCCAGACGAAGGCAAATATATTGGTCCGGGTTTCGGATGGCGATCCCGACTAGGATTGAGATGAACCGCCACGGTCCAAACTTTGCGTCTCTCGTCATTTGACCTTCGCATGCTCGCATCGATAGAGGTCGGCCCAGAAAGTAGTTTCCGACGTATTAACTCCTGCGGGGAACAGATGTCGCTGCACCATCAAACCAGGACCATGGACAGTGTCAATTCGAGTCGCTCCCCCAAACTCATATGATGTTCGGGAGTCTGGTGCCATGCTATGTCCTACGATTTTAGGGCTTTGATCGTAAACGTTACTTCTCACTTAAGACCGGATCAGCAGACGAAGGTGAATCTGTCCTTTTGCGATTGGCTGCATGGGGCGTCCTGCAATCTATATCGGTACTGGACTCTCTTTGTTTCGAACGACCGTCTGACGAGAAGCCGTTCATATTACCAGAGACATCCTCCAATATCAAGACGTCCTCCTCGAGTCGGAGGACATTTTATGAAACGAAGAGTGGCGTTCCCCACAATGGAAGAGCGACACTAGGAAGAGATGGCTCAGTTGATTTCACGAGCGGGGTCAGATCATCAATACTGGTACGCAGTCGAGTTCTTGACGTTGACGGTATTGTGTCAAAGAAAAGAGATGAAAATGCCCCGAAGGGTTTTTTTGTGCATTGGATTTTGCGACATAATTGACCACTTATGCTATTATTTCAAAGAGGGAATCAAACATAGGGTCGATTCGGGATTAGAGTGAGCCAACAACTCTTGGGGTCAAATCTCGCCACATAAATCTAACCGCACAGTCATGAATTAAAGCACCATATGGTGCTGCACAAATGGAATGGCTGAATATTCATTCTGTTGGACTTCAGTGCTTGCAGCCTCGGGCAAAAGGTATGTTGTTTAGTTGATATCAAACATGACATCGATAGAGATGAGTCGAAGGACTTTTGAAACTCGATCGCCATATCGACAGCTCTATCATACCTGTTTTCTCGGATGAAACCCCTATATCGACTGTGTTCATATTGGCAATTACGGAGTACTAGAATTTATTCTGCTTCGCAGGAGTACGCGGCTGAAGCTCACTGCCGAGCGGTGGTAGGATCAAATCGGTTTCTATGGTATGAATGATAGACATTGCACAGGAACGGGCGCAGCATCTTCCTTCGAAGTTCCGACCGTCCATTTGAATCTATTCAGAGGCAGGCGATACGGATAGATACCATTCGTTTGCAGGATGCCAATATGACTTCTCACATTCAATCCTTGCCTTGTGCAACCTCTACACATGTGTTTGGTCTCGATCAAGAATCAATTCATCGCCCCGAATTTGGGGTTTCTTGTCGCATGCTGCTTTCATTTCAGTCTGTTACCATCCTTCTAAGTTTTGTTGTTGTGCTGTCTCCAAGTCAGTTTGATAGTGAGGACTTTACACTGCGATCAACATCACGAATGAGCGTTGCAGTACGAATGACGAGATCTCATAATTCGATTCACGCTCTGCAGACTCCCGCAGCCCTTCAGACATTCTTATTGACAGCACGTCTGTTCCAAGGAAACCCGCTCTAGACGTTCACTCTTTAAATTTCACTCCACCTGTCAATCGTTGAAATTAGTCTCCCACAGCGTTGATCAGTTGAAGTCGATCTTGCGAATCCTTTACCACATTTGGTTCGATGCACAGCAGTAGATGGAACCAACATGCAAACATATTCAGATGGAGCGCTGTATAGACGCTGTGTCTATTCAGGATGCCACTGGCACGGCTTGGAGCATGAACATTGCATGCATATGCACCAACTCCATTCCAAACGAGAGACGCCGCGCCGATTTACAGGACTGAAAGTCCTCCGTGATCTTCGCTGGGCAAATATTCCCGATGAGCGTGGTTCGGATCCGGCACTTTCTGCTTCAAAGGGCGAGTTGGTCAAAATGGTGCTCAAGAGGTACAACCTTACCGTCCGAGACTCACCCTTTGCAAATCCTATCCTTAACGCGAGCGTCATTCCGCTCTCCGAATTGTCGACCGGATCAGCCTCACATGGATCCGATGGAAGTCCTTTTGGCGACAATGAAAATCAGAACCCACACATGTTCCAAGCACGTGTCTGGGACCCCATACTTGAGTATGCGAGATCGTCACAGATTATCCTGACCGGAATTCTTGACGCCGCCACCGTGGCAGCCGGCCAGAAAGTCGGTTTAATCCCACCGCCACTGAACCAGCGACTAACATTCCGCAGGAACGAGAATGGCAACTCGGCGCCCCCACGGTCAGTTCTACGGAGCTTGCAGAGCTGATCCTTCAGATCCACGACGAACGTACTGACTTTGCCCGCTCGCTCGGTTGGGTTGATATTCCGGGAATGATGGGTATATCGGAAATCGACGACTGTCCTCTACTCAAACAATTCGGGGGACTCGCGAGATGCTGTCGGTTTGGCGTCGGGATCTTCTCCAAATACGGCGACATCAGCGGGGAACGGCTTCGAAACCCCGCGCTCGTCACGTTGAAACGTGGGGGGTTGCTGTGGGTGATTTATCCACCTCATCGGCACAACCTTGAGGTCTGCCGACTGCTTTTTGAGAAATCACGTCGCTTGCAGTTCGACGACTCGTTTGATAGTCTGGAAGATGGGGTTCTTGTGTTCCAAAAGAGAGATTCGACTTTGTATATGCCGCGAGGATGCATTTCGTTTGCGTTCCCGCTGGATGGATGTCTTTTATATCGGGTCGATCTGGATTCGCCAGTAAGCATCCCATATCTAATATCGGATCTTTCACTAGACTTCATCCATGCCAGCTGGAATGGGGTTAGTATAGAGGATTTCATGCGCTCGACCTGCGATCAGATCGCCTTTTTGCGGAACGAACCCGAGTTGCACTACCCTGCAGTGCACGCCTGGATCGAGGGCAGCGAGACCTTGAATGAGCTGATCGCGAACGCCGGAGGTGTGGACAAGAGCGTAATTCGGCATATTCGGAAGGCGTGGAAGGGAACTCTCGCAGAGACGACGATCAAAACCTGTCCGGACGTGGGCTGCGATGGCCACAAAATCTCGTTCCTCAAGCATTTCTTGAAGCGACACGTACCAGCGCTGCCAGTCCATCCCATCGTTGGTGTAACCGACCGCAAACCGCACGACAAACCAGCAGAAATGGACTTGCCGGACAGCTTTCAAGCACTGATAGCAGCCGTAGACCGAAACTCTGTCGAGCAGAATGGGAATCCGGTGGTCCCCCAGCAGCTCAGCTCTCAGAACACGAAAGGTGACTCCACGCAAACAAATATGGATCACATAACTCCCCACGATAGCCATAAACAAAATCACAAGAAGAGCAAGGAGAGTAAGAAGCGGAGGCGATCAACGCAGGATGGCGACAGGATGAACGAAAGCGTTTTATCCTCAGGCAAGCTCGGACCAGAACCATCCACTTCCATCGTGTCCCCATCGAAAACGAAGCGGCATAAGAGGAAGCGCTCGCAGAGACTCCACGGATCCGATCCGCTGTCGCCGTCATAGTATACCTTTGTTGCGGAGAAGCGGTGGGCGTCCGTATGGAACCCAGTGTACTCGAGGGGTTGCGCGTGGAGGATCCGGAAGGGCTGTAGAGATGTACTCTGAAATTCACCATCTTCCATTAATTCATAATCGATATAGTGCTCGTTAACCATAGCCAGCGCCGACAGCCCTGGGCTGGAGAGTCACCCAGGCTTGTAGAAATCCCTGTATTTATCCTGCACCTCCCGCCATGCCCTGCCTTTTTCGAGATCGCTTCGAATATCCGACCCCACATCTCTGAACGGCTCTCCCTCATCCTTCTTGTCAATCATCGCATTGTCATGCTGCCCTGTCTCTGCATCGTGCCATCCTCTCCACCATGGATGGTTCAATGTGGGTTCCACGCCCTGCGAAAACTGCGCTTCATCGTGATCGCCCATACCGCTTTCGACATGTTCCCCACGTCCAAGATCGGGACCGTCAAGGTCCATCAACATGGTCGGATCATTCGGAATGTCCAACCTTGGCTCTGAGTCGATTCGAGAAGACTGGGTGAAGATCGGATCTCGTCTCGATGTCGATCGTTTGCGGCTACCTGGATGTGTCGACCCTGCCATCGTTCCGTGACTGGCATATGAATCTCGGCGATTTTCAAAGACTCTTTGAAACAATGTATCCTCCTCATCCGTGTCATAGTTTGCGATCGGGGACTCGACTGAATGGTTTGAAGGAGACCTTGGATTGACATGGGCGGTCGATATCTCGATTTCACTCAGGTCGGAGGTCTCCGTTTGCAAGCGCCGGAATGCTTCTCGCATGTCGTCAAGTTGAGAAGAACCGGGACCAACGTCCCCATCATCATCGACTCGCCATGCTTCCCCCAAAAACGGATCTGAACTCGACGGGGACTCCGCTCCGAGCTTGGCTTCCAAGTCCCGTGCCATGGTAGTTACAGCCTTAGCGAGAGTCTCGGATGACAGTGCGGAAACACGCGCCACTTCGTGGATAAAGGCGCTGGAAAGTACTTTCCCTTTCCGACGAGCTAACTCCTTGGGGTCTGTTGCATCTCGAGGATCCTGCCCTAACGGTTGGACTTCCGGTGGTTCATTTTGATCGACCCATTCGCCTTCGAAATCCAAATCATCGAGAAGCTCCTCTTCACTCTCTGCGGACCTACCACCTTGCTCGGGAACTTCATCTTGCCACCCATCCCGAAAGCGCTCCCTTGTTGCCAAACGTGCCTCCAACCGGGGTCTTCGGATGTCCTTCCATTTGCTGAAACCCGGCGCTTTGGAAGGCATGTTAGAGCCTGACTCTACAACGGGAACCTGTGTGGGCGGTTGAGCGAGCCGATCTGACCGTCTCGCGATTGGAATCGAACGACCCCCTTTGACGTGTGCCACGTCGGTATGGGCAGGATCGGCGGTCTCTCCACGTTCTCTACAATGACTGCGCCTTGAGAGATGATCATTCACTGGAAATGAATTCCGCTCTTGGGATACAACCGCCTCTGCCAAGGGCTGTCGGGTTTCCGTGGCGATGCCCCTGATACTCGCGTCCCGCGTAGGCAGATCGACCCCTTCGCCCCGAGAGACTCCTAGGGTAATCGGGTGGAGGCAGTCGCAACTATCCAACAGCCGTTTCAGACCATGCGTGATCAATTCCTGGTGCTCACGAAGACTAAAAAACGGGTGCGCCGATCCACTCTGCTGGTCCGACCCTGCAACTGTGAAGGTCTTCATTAAAGCGGTCAAGAGATTCCTTCGGCGTTGTCGGAATTTGCGCTGGGAACGTGGGGTCGTATAGATATGGTGATACCATTTCATGTAGGCATCGATTTCGACAGGTGCTACTTCGGCCATGGCGGAAGGGCGGGTTATCTGGCGTATCCGTGACATGCCCAGCTTCCCGGTTTTGGAAATGCGGCAACGGTGATACTCAGCTCGGTCTTGTAGCCATTCCTCCCAATTGAAAAATGGCTCGGTGTCGATGGCGCCAGTAATTGTCGTTTCCGACTCATCTAAATTGAGGCCAGCTCGGTAGTCGACCGTGTCATCGTCCTGTGGACTAGGATGCCCAGTATTAGATGTCATTGGATCCGATTGACATAAATTGTCATGCCCGTCGGCGTCAGGCAAGTGAGATGCATCTGAAAATGTCGAGGAATCGTCGGTATCGTCCCAATCCATGTCGTCATCGGGGAGGGGAGAGAAAGGGAATAGAAGAGCCACTGCAATGACGAGGAGTCCTGCAATTCGGCATTCTGGCATATCCTCGATCCGTGGACGCCGATCGTCTGGCATCGCAAGGGTGGATTGGGGAAGCACAAAGGCACGAAGACTTTTCACCGCAGAGTAGACCTCGATGGGGAGACCGAGATCACCCAGATACTGTAGCGTGACGACCGGCCAGTCGGGAGCCGGGAACGTGATGTGGAAGCGGGTCTGGTAGGCGATTTGCGAGTCAAGGATGGCCCGTTGAAGTTTGTCTGGCAATAGAGCTGGAATTGCCAGAGCGGATCGGCCCCTTTGGTCCAACTTGGTGCGAAGGTCTTGAGGTACGCCCTCGTCGGCGCGACAAAACACCAGATCCCATGAATCGGCCCAGTAGTGCAGATCTGCGATGCGGACGGGGAGTCGAAGCAGTCGACAAGCCAAGTAGCAGATGGCCAGGGAATCAATCAGTCGGGGGGGGTCGGAGAAATCGGGGACTGCGGACGGCTGGTATGATCTCACACCCGGCGTTTCCGATTGTGAGAACTCATGGACGCTGCTAGCGAGAGCGCTGAAACTGCGAGCATGTCTGCGGTGAGACCCCAATAAACGGCTGACAATCCCTCGGAGCGCCATCGCGGGATCACTTCTTTGCTCCGACCTGTCAAAGTCGCCATAGGGCCCCGCGTCGGAGTCATCTTCAGGACTGGATGGCAGGCGAATAGGAGGGGTGGATGGTGGATAGCCATGTGGCAGCTCGGGAGGATCGGATGAGCTCGCCTGTGCCCGAAATCTCTTCGTCTGCTCGAGCCGATGGTCAAGCGGCGGTGACGATGGTAGATCGAGCGAGTCTCCATGCTGGGAATAACCCGACAAACGGACCTCGTCATTTACTGAGGGATAACCATGTTCAAGCGGGTCTCTACGAGACGGCCCAGACCGGAAGGAGTGGACGCTCCTTGTTGACGGTGATGGTGGGAAGTCATGTCGGTGATGATCGAATAAAATCCTCGCCGACGGGGTGAACAACTGGAGCGTCCATAGATCCCTCACCACACACTAATGGGTAGGTTAGAGCGAAGCGGTTGTTCATGCAACGTTGGCTTACCTCAATATCAGCCGGGAGCTTGGCGTTCTCGATTAAGAAACGACATTGTTTTTGGAGAACGAGTTGGAAGACGAGGAGCCAGGCACGCTGGGCCTCAGATTTGCTCTCAAAACCTGTAATGAATTACAGTTAGAGCCATCGAATCGATCGGAAGCACGAAGACCTACTCGAGCCATGTTCATCCGCATCGGACATGTTCTTTACAGTTGGAGGATCGTCACGACCGAGACGTGATGGTAACAAGTCTTGAAGGCATCAAGGCAGAAACGAGGACAAGTCACTGAGGTAATATTAATGGATTGAACCCGAATATCAGATCACGAATGAACAGGAGGTTATGGATCTCCCGACGGAAGCGGGTCTTTGAGTATGTACGGAATACTGCGAGAGATTATAATAGCAGTACCATGCTTGGGGCGTACCGTGGGTTCAATGCCTTCAAAAATACGATTCACCATCGATGTCACACGGGACGAGGCACTTCAGAAAACTCGTGAATTGGTCGCAGGCGTCACATAGGAGTCATGTTGCAGCGTGTAATCATTTTTGTGCTATTAAGTATGCACGTGGGAGCGTGAGCGCCGATGCTGGGGATGGACCGGAGTCACTGGAGGGATAGGATGGTCCTCGAGTTGCACACACAGCCTAACAAGGCTCATGACCTGGAAACTCCCCCTTGTCCCGTCCGAACGGCTATACAGAACCCGCTCCTATGTAAAAATGAACACGTCTCTCCCCAGCACTGGCACTCCCTCCCGTCACGACGGCGCATCGTCGACAGCTTATTTGGGAGCCTCCTTGGCATCGATGGCGATTTCCTCGCCCATGGCGGTGAGAACGACAACGCCTGCAATTGGTCAGCGATTGTTTCGTGCAGGGAAAAAGGGGACGTACTCGTGTCCTTGTTCTCATCGGTGAACAGCTTCGTGATCTTGTCGCCAACCTCATTCTCGGGGACCTTGACATCGTCCTTGGTGTTGCCATCATCCGACATGAGGGAGAGGAAACCGTCGTCGGTGACATCGAGCTGCGAACGATGGATCAGCGGCCATGGCGAGGGGAACGAGGGAGGAGACGCTCACCAGCTGGTATTCCTGACGGCGGACGTTGGGAACGTCCATGTTGTGGGTGGACGGGCACAGCTCCTCCAGCTTCTTGCCGGTGAAGATGTCGATGGCGACCAGATGGACCTTGGCGTGACCGTGCTTGCCGGTCTTGGAGGTGCTCATCTCGACGATCTTGCAGGGACGGTTCTTGATGCAGACGTGCCCGTTCTTGCGGAGCGCGGAGCACTGCATGGGATAGGTGGCGGAGGCACCCGCATCGGCGCTCTCGAAGGTGTGCTCATGCTGGGACGATCGTCAGCGCCATCCGGCGGACTTGTAATGACTTGCAAGGACTCGCAACAACTCGCAACGACATGCGGCCAGCGATAGGAAGCATGCAGGAGGATGTGGACTCACCTGGGCGTCGTTGTCGGCCATGGTGGTAGATGAGAAGATGGACAGGTAGAGGGGAGCAACGGGTCAATGGACAGGACAGAAGTAGACGAGGGGAGTGGAAGAAAGAAAGTGAAGATGGAAGCGGGAAGAGAAAAGTGGGATGTTGATTGGAGGCGAGAAATCGGTTTAGAGGGCAACGACCGAGTGAGAGGAGGTTTAGTTGGTGAGAGCCTAAGAGAGAGGGAGCGGGGGGCGGGGGTTGGCTGATTTGGTGCTGATTTGGTGCTGATTTGGGACGATTTGGTGGTGGTTCGGTGCTGCGCTGTTGGGGGGGAGGGTTTCCTTGAGTTGGCAGGGGTGTTTTGTCATTCTGTGCCTATTCTGTGTGGCTTTTCCTCGTTTTCTTCGTTTTCTTCGTTTTCGTCGTTTTCGCCGTTTTCGCCGTTTTCGCCGTTTTCGCCATTTTCGCCTTCCTCAGGCTGCGCTTGGTTCGGATCAATGGATTCTCCGGTGGCTTACGACCTGAGTGCCTGACAGCCTGGAGGGACTGGAATTGCTGCTCTAGTGCCTTTGTGCCTGGATGAACTGCGGCTGGACCGAGTGCGCGGCTGAATAGATTGTGGCTGAATAGAGTGTGGCTGAATAGATTGTGGCGGGAGGTGTCACGTGCGAGGGCTACTTACAACCCACGTGATATCCCCGGATTATGTCATACTTTATGCCTGACATCGGCCTTGTGTCCTTGCGATGTGGCTCGGGCTGTCCATGTATCAGATCCGATGTCGATTCCATCAATGTCATGCCCAACAACAGTCTCACAATAAGAATGCGTCAGTCTATCTCCCATTAAACACCGGGTCAGCATGCTGAGCATTCCCACCCCTCGCATGAATCCTATCCTGTCTCTCTGACACGATCACCACCTCTCTCACTGCATCCGAGCTCTCCATCCCCCATGTTCCTCGACCGCTTTTCCACCGCCTCCCCATCCGGCACTCCTCCGCTCCATCGTTCCTATTCTCCGGCACCGCGCCGCACCGCGCCGTATCCCATTGCTCCGGCCAATCGCCCGCTCTTCAATCCGCGCTCGTCTTCGCTTTCCCTCGCGTCCACCGCCTCCAGCAACAGCACCACTCCGGCACCGAGACCCCCAAACGGATCAAGTCTCAAGCATGAGCTGCCCCCGTCCCAGCCCGTCCTCGACCCCATTCAAGTGCTCCAAAGCATCGTGGGGACCGCAGCTGCTCCTGACACGCCGAATGATGGAAAACACTCGCCAGTGCTGGTGAAGCCTGCCCAGCTCGCTCGGAGCATCGATTTCGATGGCATCAACTTGGACGGCGTTGCCATCACGGCATCAGGGCCCGAGCTAGGTCGAGACAGCGCATCCTCGGAGCCAGTGAAGGATTTCGAGAAGGAAAAGGACAAGTTCGAGGATCTTCACCGCTCCATTGCCGCCTGCGATGATGTCCTGCGGTCCATCGAGAGCTACCTCACCGGCTTTCAGGCCGACTTGAGCACCGTCTCCGCCGAAATCGAGTCCCTACAGAAGCGATCTGCCACGATGAACACGCGCCTGGAGAACCGTCGCGTCGTGGAGCAGCGGCTGGGTCCCTCGGTCGAATCCATTGCCATTCCTCCCGCCATTGTCCGGCACATCGACGAAGGCCCGGTCGACGAAGCGTTCGTGGTGGCCACGGCGGAGCTCGAGAAGCGCGCGAAAACCCTCCAGTCCCGAACCCAGGACGGGATCAATATCAAGGCGATGGGAGACGTGAGACCTCTCGTGGAGAGCACCACGCTGCGGGTATGAGAATCGATCTGGCACGTGAAGCAGACGCTAACAGTTCCAGGCGGTCGAACGAATCCGAGACCACTTCGTCGCACAAGTGAAGGCACTACGGTCACCGAACATCAACGCGCAGGTCATCCAGAACCAGGGCTTTCTGAAATGCAAAGACCTGTACGCGTTCCTCGCACGACACCAGCCGCCTCTGGCCGAGGACATCCGCCAAGCCTACGTCAACACGATGCGCTGGTATTATTCGAGTCACTTTGCGCGGTATGACAAGGCGCTCGAGCGGTTGAAACTGCACGTGGTGGACAAAACCGATGCCATCGCGCAGCCGGACGACTCCAAGAGGAACGCGTCGAAAGGCAAACCGTCCGCTGGCCCAGAAGACCCGTTCACGGTCGGCCGTCGACTGGATCTATTGAAAGCCCCCCTCCACCAAGCCATTTCGTCGTACGTGGCGGAGGAGAACAAGTCGACCCACTACCTGGAGACGCCCTTTCACGCCTTTAACCTCGCCCTCATTGACAATGCCTCGTTCGAATACTCATTCCTAACTGCCTTCTTCTCCCCATCACAGAGCTTCCACGCCATCTCCCGTACCTTCTCGGCCATTTTCGACCCGACCTTCGCCATCGGCCAATCCCTCACCAAACGCCTAGTCGAACACTCCACCGACGCCATCGGGTTGCTACTATCCGTCCGAATCAATCAACATCTCGCGTTCGAAGCGCAACGGAGGAAAGTGCCGTCCGTCGAGGGCTACATCAACGCCACCAACATGCTACTGTGGCCTCGCTTTCAAATCGCTATCGACCTTCACTGCGAGTCCTTGCGCCGCGCCACCTCATCGTTGTCAGGACGTCCGTCGTCCGCCGCCCTGCTGGCGAGTGGTACCGGCGGGTCGTCCACGGCTCCAAATCCGCTCACCCAGCGGTTCGCCCACTTTACGAGCTCGATCCTCGACCTCAGCAAAGATGCCGGAGATGACGAACCACTGTCCAACAGCTTCTCCCGGCTTCGAAACGAGTTCGAGCTGCACCTCACGAAACTCGGGAAAAGCATCGGGGACGAGAGAAAGCGCGCCAGGTTTTTGTTCAATAACTATAGTCTGATCTACACTGTCTTGGAAACCAGCGAAGGACGCCTTGCGGAGGAGACCAAGTCGCATTTCGAGGACATGAAGGGCCAGTACGACTCCGTCTCCTAATGGATCAAGGCAGTCGGCGCGTACAACTACCCAACCAACTCCGACCTGTCGACCGCGCTCCTGCCGCATGTCGGCTCGCATTCGGTTATTGTCCATAGGCTGTCACACGGTCTATTGCAAGGAACGAAGTGGACTGAACAATTGCACACTTCTGGAATCATGTTGAATGGTCCATGCAATGTTGTGACTGCTACCGCAGTGGCGTTGCGACATTCCCATACGGCATCCCATTCGGACAGATTGCCAGCGATAGACTGATCGGCAACCCAGTCTCTGCCCAACACTCATCTGAAGGACGCTGGGAGCCGTGGCCGCCGGCATTTATTGCAGGACTGACGAGTAATTGCTAGAGCCTGTTGCGCTTTATAAAGCATGCGCGCCATTGGTTCGATGTATTTCGCTTATGAGGCACTGCTCTACGAGAGACCCTACAGGGGTCGGCTATCTAGATGCTACTGCTCCAAGCCTTTGGATGGATAGAACCGAGAATGGTGACGGCGATCATATGAGACTTCTCTTATCACATAGAACCAATTCAGGATTAGTCAGGGCGAAGCAAGCCCGACTCCCATATGTCACAACTAAACTTTCCTACCTGTATATCTCTGCGAACCAAACCGTGGAAGGAACGTTGCCGGTGAGACGGTACCGATTTTGAGATCTGGCTAGTCGACTTCATTTCTAGGTTCCTCTCTTCTGATAATGACACCACCGCGTTTGTTTCAGCCTGTCTCTTGGTCTACCTCAATCGACTGATACCTCCGTCTCCTTTCTGAGTTCATCCCTCGCATAACAATCCGGATGCCACCCCTACTTTTCCTGTCATGTTGTACGGAAACAGCCAATGAAGAAGAGTATAGGAGATCGGTCAGAGCCAGTTGTATTCCGTACAAAGTTGCCAGTCTCCGTCTCGCCGAAATGGAACTCGATATTTCAACACAATAGCTTGTCACCGAATCAAACCCCGTGCGAGATGTTCAGGGCATGGATTTCGAGCGCTGTGCGGCCCTTCATAACCATTTCGTTGATCTTACTTGGACCGGGAGACCACCCGAGGAGAAGGACCGTCGAACTTGGTGGAACTGTGATAGCCAGACCCAGCGTCGATCCTAGTAGGACTGGTTTAGCCATGATACAGACCCTGTCGAGCATCGACTCTCGAATTCGGTTATTCCATTTCTCAAGCGCGTCCGAGCTGAGGATTAAATCGAGTCAAGTTATGGCGTTGCGCAGTTATTCTATTTTAGTTCCGGAGTCATGCCCCTAGCCCTCTAAACCGCTCTGGGATCTATCCATGACCACAATCCATTCAGTCCTGAGACCACCTCCCTCCCCTCGCAGTTATCTTGATCGGCTGGATTGGGATGATTATTTAGGGCAGAGTATGTATCTGGCCGCGCGCCGAATAGTAATTTCTCATCGATAAGATCTATAGGACCTGGACCTTCCGTCACAATTGCCCACGACTTCCACCAGGATCGAGGCCGAATGTCGAATATATTGCTCCCGGGATCTGACTCTGCACCGCCGTCGAATATCAATACCAGACGTTCATCTGGCTGATAATGATTGAACGAGGTCATTGGTATGTGAATGAGAACTGTGTGGCAGATTTGGTTGAATTAAAAGTATCACGAGCTTCAGAGCCTGAATGGTTGTGCAGGTGTTAGCTCGATCACCTTGCTCTTTGTCCCCTCTTCAACACGTTCCGTTGCGATGGCAACGTTGATGTGCTTTGGATTTATTGGACACCGATCATGCAGACACCAGGTGACTTTTGACGGTTCTCCAATCCATTGCACTTCCTTCACAGCAAAATCTGCCACAGACCCGTCATAAGGTCGCCCGTCCAAGTTGGTCCTTCCGGCAATTGCAAGGACCGCAACATCGGGCTTTGGGACCAGGTTCTTCTTTTAGGATGCCTTCGTAGCCGCCAAGGTGCCCATTCCAGAGAAGCGCTTTGCCGTCGATCAAAAAATTGTACATGATTTGGCCGCCGTCGAAAAATGAGTACCTGTTCATGTCCCTATCCTTCATGTACGTGACAAAGTCTTTCATATCCTGATGCATCTGCGGAGGAACTAAGTCCATTTTGAGGAGACCTCCAAGTCCGTACGTCAAACCGCGAGTAACGTCCAGGGTGCAACTATGGCTTCCAGATCCGGTATACACAGTACCGGTATCCATCACCTCTGGGAATGACCTATGGTCCCCAAGAGGCATCAATGCATGAAGAGATGGCCAAGCGTGGACCGTGATAATCGCATCATCGGGATTTGGCGTAGGTGGTCCAGGGGGGCCAGAAGGAGGTCCAGAGGGAAGTCCATGGGGACGCGAAGAAGAGGCAACTATCACCTTATGTCGCTGCTCTTTTATGAACAGGGGAATTCGTTCGCCACCAGAGATGGCCGCTAGCTGCGATTCCGGAACTCCCACCGCACGCATGACGTGGATGGCCTCTCCATTCCAATAATACTGGCTCCAGTCTCCTTGGCAATCCGATCCGCACTGGGCAGGCTGGAAATATATGAGAATGCCGCTGGAAGATATACCGAGGCTGACTTACTGATCAAAATGAGCATGGGAGATGAAAATGTAGTCACATTCATCAACCTCATCAACGCTTAGATACTGGTCGAGAGACGCAGGGCGCTCCAACCACGCATCCAGAAAGATCGTTAATAAGCCTTTTGTTTTCAGGCGAAATGTCGTTGCACCTATTGAAATTGAATTAGCAAGCGTTGGACTTGTGGTCCCTAGTTTTCGAAGAGGCTCTTACCAGACCACTCTAGTGTTGAGCCGTCCATGCTGATAAGCAGTACCTGTACACACTTCTAGGATCTACAGTCTTCTTAAAGGATATTTCTCCATTTTTAAGCCTCTTGCTTCTAGACGACCTTGCGGCGATTATGCAGGACACGCATGGCCTACATCATGTTAAGCCCTAAACCGTTTCGCAAACTCCCAGCGGAGCCGAAACTTGGACAGCAACACTTCAGCGGGGTCCATGATTGATGCCATTGTTGGCTTAGTCTTCCACTCGAAAACGTGCTCCTCGAAATCATATCCACGCCGGAAATCGAGAGTCATCGATATTTCTGTGCTGGAAGGTGAGTGCTCAGGCATTGTTAGGCCCGCTAATGTGCTTCCCTATTACCTTGTAATTAAAACTTGCTTTGATTTCTCCACAGAGCCGAGCAAATTATGCCCATCTCTAGGCATGAACATACCCGGTTTGCCTAACTCCGAAATCGATATCTTCGTAGATATCACGCTGGTAAACAGGATGAGTCTTTTAAGACGCCTGAGTGCAAACTTTGTGTCTGTCACTTGCTGAAACCTATATCATGGCGGCGTCTTTGGAGGGGACAATATTTCTCGCGCACCATTTGCTGCGTTATGGGATTATTTATTTTGGAATCTACTTACTTGGGAAATCTAGTTATCGAATCCTCTTGCACCCTCTCGCGAGATATCCGGGCCCGGTACAGTTCAATGCTCAGCCCATGTCCAATCTTGACTGCTGATTCTGATGACAGGTATTGGCAAGAATCTCTCCCTTTTGGCGGACGCACGCGCAGTATTCAAAGAGGGCGCACTTGATTTACCAGGACCTACACCAAACGTACGGCCCGGTTGTTCGTGATGGACCAAATTCGCTGTCGTTCAGTGATTATCACGCGATCAAGGTAATCTACGGCCGCGGGAAGGACTCCTTCTCCCGTCCTAACACGTTTCCCACTATTGGCATCAATTCGGAGCACCCTCCTATCTTCTTCGCCGTCGATGCTCAGACACATCAGTCTGCTCGCCGCAAGGTGGGTGGCGCGTACACCATGACCACCATCTTGACCATGGAGGACCAGATCGATAAGATTGTACAGCAGCTAGAGGATCGCCTGGACGAGGAAGCAGCAAACGAGTCGTATTTTGACTTCAGCAAGTGGATCAACTACTTCACAGTCGATATCATCAGCGATCTAGCCTTTGGAGAATCATTTGGATGTCTGAGGACGTGCATAGACGCCAATGGGATCATTTCTGGGCTCCAGGGCGGACACGTATTCGCTATTATTCTCTCGGTGGTGCCATCGCTCGGCACGCTGTTTAGTGGTCCTTTATCCAAGTATTTGAAGCCTCCAGACAACCAAGGCATTGGCCTGGCACTCAAGGTAAGAGCACCGGAGATTTCAGGAGCACTGGCTGACTACCCCACAGGTTGCAGCAAACATCGTTAGCGAACGCTATAAGCAACCGAGCGAGAAGAAAGATCTTCTGAATGCCATCATCTCGTCAAAGGATCCTGACCGCTCTCCTATTCATCGAGATCAAGTCCGGGGAGAGGTTGTTGCCGCTCTGGTGGCTGGTGGCGATACGACAGCCATGTCAATTCTTGGCTGCGTCGGCTTTCTCCTCCGCAATCCAGGGGTATTTTCCAAACTTCGCGAGGAAATTGATACTGCATACTCAGAGGGACACCTACCCCAAGATCAAGTCCCTCGCTATGCTGATTTGGCCAAACTTCCCTATCTCACCGCAGTGATCAATGAGACACTTCGATTCAGTCCGTCGGTCGGCGCAGCATTTACACGAAGAACGCCCGAACAAGGTGTGGAGATTTTACCTGGCTACTACGTCCCTGGGGGGACGGAGGTGGGTGTAAACAACTGGGTCATTGGTAGGAGCGCGGACTTGTACGGTAAAGATGTAGAGAAATTCCGACCAGAGAGATGGTTAGAGGACGATGCGAAGACTAAACTTATGAAGGACTATGAGTTTGCGTTTGGCCACGGAGCGAGAATGTAAGTTTGTGCTTTGACAACCTGCCATATCCTTGTTATACAACCACTAAGTTTCACTTCAGATGTATCGGACGCAATCTTGCCTTTGTCGAGCTGTTCAAGACGATTGCTGAGCTGGTCAGGAGATATGACATTATACCTCGAGATCTGAACAGGCTCTGGACCGAGGAGCTGAAGCTTTTCCTCTACAAATCGGATATGATGGTGACGGTTAAGAGACGGCACATTTGATGGACTGTAGAGTCTATTTGAAATTTCTCTCAAGTTCACATCGCTTCATGTACAAAGTCTCTTGGGGATGTTTCGAGAAGGATATGCTCCTGATGAAGTACAGGTGACGGTTATAGATGAATATTGAGGATAGGTCTAGATGAAGTTTGAATGAGCCTTTCAACCATTGTTCATGTCCAGTGCCTAGTGACCCCTGGAATTGATTCTGATGAGTCCCATTGGCCCCTGTCCTGTGTTAGAGGCGACTCAATCTGATTGAGTGTTCCGTTACACTTATGGCCAGTCAAGACGGAATTTGATGCTAATCTAATCTACCGCGGCATTGCGATTTCAAATCGAAGCTAGAGTTACTCTGTATCCCTTTGACTTACCCGGATGACGAAAGATGCATCAGTTGGGCAACTCCGGTGCATCATCTGGGGGGGAGTATCCAAATAGTCGCTGGGCAATTGAGTACACATAGGCAAGATCCAGGGCACGCGCCATGAAGAACAACAAAATTCGCCCTGATATCCCAGACATCTCAGGGGGTCCCTACCACAATTAGTCTCATCATGTTTCGGGCGCGATGGCAGAGAAATTTGGATCTGCTTTACCTTATCACCGGTCCCTCCACTGGTACGAACCCATCCAAATGCTCGTGGAAACATTCTACTTTCGTACTCTGTGACGGCGATGGAGAAATCTTCGTCCGAAAGCCCTCCTGCTTCCGCTTTCTGAGCTAGATTCTTTATAACCGGTAGTAGATCTGCCGTATCGCACATGGCTTGATTCCCACCCATGCCCCTGCCATCTGGTTAGCCTTGAGAAGACCTAGATGGTTTCAACTCACCTGCTAGGGAGCATGCAGTGGATGGCATCACCCAACAGCCAAACATGGTCGTTGCCCAAGTTCGGATCCTCTGGTGACTTGACCTTCTGTCGCCAGTGCTTGGGAGGTTCTTTGCTCGCCCGTGCTTGAAATACGTTGATGGATTCCTCCCCTATCGATCGTAGCATGTCGTGACTAAGGGCCGTAAGCAGAAGGCATGATGCTAAAGAGCATCGTACGTACTATCGAGGGTCCCAATCCCTGATCTGGTCCACACAAAAGTCCAGCTTGTTGGAAATGCCTTGAGCGCCGTTCTTAGGCACACGGTCCGCAGGGACGGATAAGCTCCAGAAAATGGACGCTATATCGGCATCGTAATCCAAATTCTTATTACCATCCTTATCAGAGCGAGGCTCATCTTTATATCCGTCTGGAAGATATGCTGTCCATTCATTAGCGGCGCCTTTGCGTGAGGACTGTCGAAACGAACCTGAGATGAAGAGAATCATGCCGTTGCAGAGGACGGACATTGGCGCCCTTTGTATCTCCGGGCCGAGCTTGAGCAAAGTCGATGGGGGAAGATTTCCCTTTGCCAAAAAGTTCCATTGCCGCGTCAATTGAACAATGTTGTTGAGACCGATTTGGCGATTCACCTACGCACCAGAGTTAATACGATGAAGGTTGAGGATGGCGTTACATACCCTTGAGCTCGTTCCCTCTGCGGAGATGAGGAGATCGCATTCATCCTCGGAGCCATCATCAAAACTGACAACGACTTTGGTCCCCGATGCGCCATTGACCGACCGGTATCCTGCGAAACGCCTGCCATATCGAATCTTGCCTGCTACTGCAACCGGTGACGCGAGAAAATCTCTTAATATTGCGCGATTTATGGGCGCCGACTTAGTGTATGCCGGGAATTTGGGCAAATCTAGGAGCAGATTGAGCTTCTCGTCGTAGAGAGCAGGGGCGGAGGATATCACGCCGCCTGACCTGCCGAACATGGGGTAAAGCTTGGTGAGTTGATCTTCTTGCAGACAAGCCTTGAAACCAGCAATGGCTGGAGCCCCCAGCCGGATCTGATAGCCTTCCCTTTGGGCGGATTCGGGGTCGGATTCATAAACGATAAAGTCGATTTCATTTTGAAGCAGCCCATTGCTGAGGAGCGATCCGGCCAGACCGGCACCAATGACGATCAATTTGAATCCAGACATGGATGAATGGGCTTCCTGCAACATGCAGCAGGATTCGTACGATCCAGGATTTCAGCGGCCGGAATTGACCAGCTTTGTGGCATACCTAACGATTTTGAAATTCCACGACCGAGGACTACTTGTACAAACATGGCTGTATCGGATGTGTGGGAGTATGTCGGATGTGCGGGGGTCAGGGGATGAGACAAGTTTCACCAGCCGCGTTAGACCGATGTCTCGAATACAAAGGCCTTGTAGAGGAGTAGAGGAAAAAGCTCGAGCCTTGATATAGCATCTCTATCGCACTAGATATTGAGAGAAATAGAGGATCGAAGCGGCTAATCAAAGAGTATGTTAACATCGTGAAAGAACCTAACAAGAAATTAACTTCCAGAAAGGTTAACTTAATTTAAGGTTACACACTAAGTGTTGTTGATTTAGCTCATTTGCTGCAAGATCTGCGAGAACCGAGCTTCATCCCCTAATTAATATTGCATAGCCAGCGGAAGAAGTGCCACAGACTCACAGTACTTGAGGGAGATCTGCTTGGTTCTAGTCTAATTTATTGAATAGCTAACTAGCATAGGACCCGAGGAAAGAAGAAAGAAATGAGAAAGCATAGCCCCGCCATGTTCGGACTAATAGCTGTGATAGTTCCCACTTCATCAGGCCACCCTAGCTACCGGACGGAGGAAATGCCGGAATAAATGCCTAAGCAAATGCCCACTAGCGGCAATACACGCCAAATCTTTAACACGACCCTCTTAAGCTGGTTCCACATCCTACAAAGGCTACAACATCCACGTTTTACATGCGACTTAAGCTGTACTCACGTCCAATCACCCTAAAGATCGCGGGGAAGGTCCCTGCAAGACGCGGGGAAGAGCTCGCCGAAGTGGACGTCACTTTCGCCTCCATCTCCATCCTTCACCACGTCGACGATCACTTCCGGCCATGGTCTTTCCTCTTCTTGGGTTTCTAAAGATTTTGTCTACGCCTAACTCCGTCGTCATGTGCAGTAGGACGTGCAATGCTCCTCGCCATATATTAACATCGATTCTGGCTCTTCGCACTGGGATTTGGGCACATTATCATCGCACGTAGCATGCATGCTCAGCCCCCGGCGGCGCCTGATCCTGCGAAGGACAAGGGAAATTCCGGCTCTCATGTGTGCCCGCTTTGTGATACTGGCTTCGGGCGTCTCGAGCACCTATCGCGTCATATAATCTCCCACACAGGGAGCAAACCGTACTCATGTTACGTCTGCCACAAATCGTTTAATCGCAAGTAGGTCAACGTGTTATAGGTCGTCTATCTCTCCCGTCTCTGACTTTGCACGCAGGGACACCCTTCTACGTCATCTTCCTATTCATGAAGATACCGGCCGAAGCTCTTCCAAGCCAGGCAGTATTCGCATTAGCCGAGCATGCGCCCAGTGTGGAAAGGTTCGACTTCGCTGCGACGGAGAGTCCCCGTGTGCTCGCTGCCAGTCCAAGGGCATCAACTGCATGTACTTAGGGAGATCACGGAAGCGTATTCCCACCATCGAAGAATTACGGGAAATGCCCGTCAAGGGGAACGAAAGCGACCCGGGAGAGCTTGGCGATGACCAAAATGTTGAGTATAGCACTTCCGAGCGTCGCCCTTCACTGCAGAGCCGTCCTCCATCGTTAGATCGCTCCGTCCGCATGGATGAAACGGCTACATTCGTCGAGACCTCCAGTCTGCTTCCATCGCATCTGACAGACCAGGTGCCCTTATCGTCCTCGGAACCGTTGGTGATCGATACCCAGCAGGAATCCGTGCAGGCCTCGCAGGATGCACTTGAAAGTTCGGCGTTCTTTGGCAGCGGACCAAGTATTGGGGATATTCCATCAACAGCCGTGCCTACATGGAACTTCAACTGGAATGGAGACAGCGACTTCTCTGTCATGGACTGGATTACCACCGACAACTGTTTTTTAGATCCGGGGCCGTCTATGGCATATGACGCTTCCCGCACTTTGGGCTACCCCGGGTCCTCGCACGACACAGGTTTCGGTCAGAATGACTTCCCAATGTCCCAGCTGTACAAGCCTCCAGATCAACATCCGCCTACGCATCAGGTCCCGATGGGCCACATCACGGGGCATTGGGGTCCAACAAACCAAGGCAAGCTAGGGGATCGCCCTAAAGCAAAGGCAGATTTGGAACGAGAATGGCCCACGAATTGGGATCCAACAAAGTCCGACAACTTGGTTTCTTTCCCCGATATGAGTGAATTTCCCCTCGACATTCTCGAGGCGGAAAGCTTTGGTCATGTTGAAAGTCTGAGCCCACAAGCGTACCATGAAATATATCAAAGTATGAAAAGGGTTGGATCATCCCTCTTTCGGCCTTTCCATAACGCCAATCTACCCTCGATCGAGGCGTTTGATTGTTTTACACAGCTATATTTCGAATACTTCCATCCCATTTTCCCGCTGTTGCACAAACCATCCTTTGACCCACGAAACGCTCCTTGGCAATTGGTGCTCGCTACTGCAACCATTGGCTTTCGATACTCCAAGGTACCGTACGCTGCCACAGGGTCCAACGCGCTCCAAGAGCTCCTCCGACGATCACTTGCCTCAGCCGTAAGTTGGTTCAACTCAGCATTTTGCTAATTGCTAACTCGTCAAGATCGAGGGGGACAATTCGCATGCTCGAGAGCTGTGGTTTACTCAAGCACTTCTCCTCGGGTCTGTCGGAATGACATATTCCGGAAATAGGAGGCTATTGGAAATCGCAGAGAGTGGACGAAACGCAAGCATTACTCAATGTCGTCGAAAAGGCGTGCTCCGAAGAATGCCAACACGAGTATTAAACTTGGACTCCATAACCGAAAAGCAGTCTTACCAGGAGGAGTGGCAGCAGTGGATCGAAGATGAATCACGTCGACGACTAGGCTTCTGTACCTTTGTACGTATCCCAAAGCCCTTGCATGTTGCTAGTACTGAGGAAGATAGCTCATTGACGCTCAAAATGAGCTGTATTTTGACGCGGTGCCATACCTATCTCTCGCTGAGCTAGAGCTACTGTTGCCCTGCTCTGAAGACCTATGGGCCGCATCCTCTCCAGAGTGGTGGAGGAATTTATACTTGCAGCACAGTATCCCCCCCCTGTTCTTGGTTCTACGAAACAAACACTAAACTTAACCCAGACCACGACGATGATTTGACCGTTCAGCAGGCATTGGCCCAACTTGGAAATAATAAAACCCTTCCGAAAAACATCAGTGATTTTGGACGATTAATTCTCACATTTGCTCTCTACCGGACGATACGGACGATACGAACCCTGTCTGGAAACCCCTTCGTTTCCAATGCGCTTTCCGAGCGGTCTTTTATTAACGATTCAGCCAATGAAGCGATTTTCCTCCTTCAAGGCTGGTATTCGGGCCCCCTCAATACCAAGTCCATGCTCAACTCCAGTGTGGACTGCCACAACTTGTGTGTTTCTATGCTTCTATGCAGCCCCAGGCAAGCTCTTCTGAGTTATGTGCACCGCCGCAATACCATGCAACATGAGAAGGAGCCAAAAGAAGTCATTGATCACTGGATCAAGGAGCAAAATGGCTGCGTGGCAAGGCGTGCCGTCTCTTATGCAGGATTACTGCTTGGCAAGTCGAAGGGGCTCAAGTTCCAAGCCCCGTGTACCCCCATCATGATTGCGCTGGCTACGGTAACCATTTGGGCCTACAGCCATATGACCGAGGTGGTCTCCTCTCCCTCATACTCCCACGGTATCCGGGCCAGAGAACGTGGTTCGGTGATTCGGCTAGATGACGGGGAGCTGGATCAACGGAGGGAGGCGTGGATTCAAGGCGATGAGAGTTTTAGAGCTCATCTGAACGATGTCGGCAATATATGTCGCCAGAGAGCATCGTACCGCATTGCCGATGTTGGTGTGCAGTTACTGGACGATTTAGGTGGCTGGGGTCTAAGCCAAGGCCTGGAGCATTGGTTATCGACACTCCGAAATCGCGATTGGTCACGTCAACAGGCGGATTTGCGGAGTTTTTAAGGGGTCGGCTCTGTGGGGACACCATTTGGTGTATACGCTAGGGCGACACGACCCCCCGTCTTCGAGATCTCAACCTCTTGGTGCCAAATTCCATGAACTTGACTCAAATCCCAAAACAATTGCCGTCCATGCCACATACACAATGTCTACACTCAACACGACAGCAACAGACCTTGATCGAGCCACTATCCGGCTCATCGCAAGCGACTATGCCATCCATCAGACTGGAAATAGAGATTCAGAGGTTGTGGAGGAAGCCAGGGCCGACCTTGCGGTACAGTCCGAGGCGGAGCGGATCGATCCAACTACAGAGCCTCACCCCGGAGTTCCCGGGGTAACCAATCCGACATGGTGGCCGTCCACTCAACATCGGCGGGTGCCAGACTATGCTCCTATCAACCACGAATTGGTTCGTGAAGTCAGACCAGTCGGCGCAAATCTCGTCATAGGTGTACTGATGTCGATGACCTTCTCAGGTTGCAGCCTGATCGCGGTACGTGTTCTAACCTCAGTGGGCATTTCGGCCGACGGCTAACTGAAGCAAAGATGTATGCAGCAATATGGAGGAACACTGGTGGTCGGGTGTTCGATCGGGCGTTTCGATATGAGGTTGGAGGAGAATTCTGAGCTTCACAACAGCGGCTCGCATTGCACAATGATATTCTATTTTCCATTTTTCTATACCCACTCACCCAATTGAAATTGAGTGTTCGCCATGGCCACAAGCTCCCAACACTCCGCAGTCATAACATTCTTCGTTCCTTCGTCTGCTTTGTCTCCTGCAGCTCCCGCTATGAAACACATTGGGATGAAATGCTCATCGGTGCCGTGCGCTTCCCGATAGCGTGGGTGTTTCATCAACCGAGTAACTGCTCGCCTCAAGGCTGGTCCACTGTTCATCGTGATGGCATCCTCGACTGCCTGTCGGAACTCGAGAGCAAATTCCCCTGGTGGCTGGGGCATAGCAAAGTTGTCACGGTACAGGACCATCTGCATCCAGTGGTTACGATACAGATTGTGCACCGCGCCGCCCGAGCCGATCAGAAGTACGTTCTCGTAACGTAGTGGACGCAGCACCACGCCAATCTTTGCGTGGAAGTGCGGGTCAAACCGAGAATTGGCCGACACTAGGACGGTGGGGATATTACTCCCGCGCTCAGCGAACATGCGAATGAGTAGTAGGAAAGAGTCATGGATAAAGTTGAACTTGTGATTAGGTTCAGCGTTGAAACCACCTTTGCGGAGCATCTCAAGGACACGTTCGCCCATGGGCAGGTCGGGCACCAGTTTAAAGTTCTCGTATCGTTCTCTCTTTACGTATGCCACCTAACGCAGTTAGTCTGTGAATCTGCGTGTATTCTGAATTGTTTGCATACTGGATTCTTTCCTGGGCTCGGACTCATGGCAACCTGGATCTTATCGCCAACACATTCCCAGTGGGCACCTACAGCCAGTTAAATCGAGCGACACCTGGACTGGAATCGTACTTGCCCATCATCACAATGCTCTTAACTCCTCGTCGGAGCGCCTCATTGCCCGCCTGTTTCCAGAACGCCGCCGGCTCCGAGTCCTCCCCCAACATCATGGTTGAGCCATGCGAGAAGAAGAACACCGGAGTTGGATCTAAAAATTCATCAGTAATTGACTTCGGAGGTGGATGGGTAAAGCATACGCGACAACTTAGCAGACGGCATTGTATGTGCTAATCGTAACTGGTACGATTACCTTAGAATCAACAAAATCACTGAACACAATGGCATGATCTTCGAAGCACCATGATCGAGTTACTCACCTTTTTCCACTCTGGATCCTTACCGAGTGGTCGCAATCTCAAATCGACATCAGCATGCAGCACATATATCCGGGTAGGGCGGTGGACCCCGCATATCCGGGGCATCCCACACCAGATGTCTGACGTTGCGCGTCGTGTGTGTAGAAAGATTTCTCCAAAACCTGAACGAATACTCCCTCAGAAATAAACCCCTGCGCTTTGAACATTGTTCATCTTTGATCATGGATATCATCTCGCAATACGTGGCGCTCGACGGTAGCAGGCTGGAAGGTCGACTGGAAAATCCTACACAACGACAGGAGGAGCTGCAGGCAATGCACCGTGCCATTCTTCAAAATGCGCAGGGTTTAACCAATGCTATTTCGTCGGGTAACTTTTGACCCTTCTAAATTGTCTTGACTAGGTGGGATCGCTAACTGATCATAGATACGAATCGAGGAGTGAACAATTCATTGCTCGAGATCATCGTGGTGTTGCGTACAATTAGTCAGCTTTTCGGACAACAGAGCCTATCTGAAACCCTTAAGAGGGAAAGGGAGATTGAGAAGAGCGCTGAGGATCTAGATAGATATAGTGCTTTGGGCAATGTGCTGATTCTGGCCGATCCCTTTCTGCCGCTGGCCTCCAGCATTATTCCTCTCGCATGTTCTATCGCAGCGGGCAATTCAACAATGGTTCTCTTGCCGGCAGCGACCCCGACCTTTTCCAAAGAGCTCCTGGAAGTCTTCAAACAATCTTCGCTTGATGCTGAGGCCACTGCCATTGTTTTCCCAGAGTCAAAGGAAGATGCGGTGAATATTCTTGCAACCCTGAAACACTCCCGGTTCAATGGGATTGTCCCCCAACTGGAAGAGCATCTCACGATATTTCGAGAAAGCGAGTTCCTGTTAGCAACCCCAACTCTTCGAGTTTTGTCTTCGGTTCCAGAGGCTAGTATTGTGGTTGTAACGCGACACGCGCAAGTTCGAAATGCCACCGAGGAAATACTTCAAGCCCAATCAGTGCAGCCGACCCTTGGACCCAGTTCTACGACACCGATTTTTTTGATCGACGAGTTCGTGCTGCGAGAGTTCGAGACTGAGACTCTAAGAGTTTTGTCGATGAGACAAAAAAGCAACAGTCTCGACGGAAGCCAACAGGGGTTAAAGAAATCCAACGAACTCTCTCCGGACCAGGTCTTGATATTTGAGAGTCATGCAGGCCGTGTCTTGCATCTGCCTGGTGGTGTTACCATGTTGATTGGAGACCCAAATTGGAAGTAAGTATCTTCACCCTCTCAAAGGTGATCTTTGCTGACTCTCTAGGACGTGGGAATACTTTCCATCACTTGAACACCTATTCATTTCTCCCTCCAGGTTGTTATATGTTATGCCAACTACCAGCTTAGAATGCACCATCACTCTAGCAGGCCAATTAAACCCCGAAGGATTTACGAATTTGTTCTTGTACGGAAATCCGTCGGAGTCGCGATATCTCTCCTCGTTCATCACAGCGGCTGCCACGTACATTAACTGCATTCCTCTGCAATCTATCTTTCTTCCGGCAAATCATTTTCCTGTCACCGCGGTTCCGGGATCGCTATACTCCACTGCGCGGCCCGTAGCAACCGGAACACCTGCAGCTGCCGTTATCCCTTCTCATATCTTAGCGTTCCCCCCTGTTGTCCAAAAGAACAACTTGTTGGCAATCCTGACGGCGGAGAAGCTCAACCCACCACGGCAGAGGAAAGGTCAGAATCTTGGATTTTTTGAGCAAGGTGCTATCGTTGGTCTGTCTCATGTTCTTCTCACTACTAGTCTTACCTGCATGGGGCTTTGGTTGGCTACCAAGATACTGTTGCGCAAGTAGGCTGCGCATGTTAGGGCAGCACGAGATATTTTCTTCGGAAGCAAAACAATGCCCTTGATTTTTGTTCATCGGGGCTTAGAGTAGTAGAGTCACTCCAAGATATAGCCTCGAGATATTCCATGTGCTCTCGCAGGGATGCAGATTTTCCTTTCTTGTCTGGGAGGTGGCGTCAGAGCAGGTAATGGTTCTGTATATACGCGATCAGTGGAGAGTCTTTTCAGAAAGATAAGGGATTTTCACTAAGTCAACGGACCCAGTTTCCGTGCACCCCCACCACAACTCCAATAGGACACAAAGACGAATGGATTTTGCGGAATGTAACCACCACCATATATTTTTCTATAGCTGTAATTGAAATTGTGGATAGAGTGACTTAAAAATTGCCTTCTGCAATTATTAAGACGTTTCCTCCGGGTTAATTTGAAAGCGTTTGTTCCCTCTCCCTAGCTGCCTCCTAAGCCGCAACAATCTGATCAATCTGAACAAATCGTTCGTTCAGATTGGGCTGAACCCGTTTCCTTTTCTTGCCAGCAGGCCCTCCTAAGTCTGCAACTGTATTTTCAGCCCT